CCCCACTCACATCCACGTAGTTGCTGGCCCACACGTCGTAGGGGACGATGAACTTGGCGGCGAATTCCGCCATGAGACACGTCGTCCGGTTTTCCCGCACCACGAAAATGTCCTTTTCGGGGTTAGGGGAGAGCCCGGAGAGATTTTCAACTTCTTGCTCGGCAGCCAGGCGAGCCGCGGCGTCTGCGGGCAGAGAGGCGCTGAGCGGCGGCCCTTCGCCAGCTCACCTTAACTCCCCACCTCCCCGAGCCCGCTGGAGCAAGCCCCCCTGTCGCGACGGGAGGTCCCTGTCGCGACAGAGCGGGCAGTGGAGATGGGGCAGCCGGTGGCGGTGAAGCAGGACCGGTGCTCTAGCGGCACCGGGTCCGTCTCAGCGCCAGCGGCTGCCCCATCGCGACAGGGCTCCGTGTCGCGACTCGCCGCCGCGGTACTCACGCAAGAGGAAGAGCAGCCCCGGGAGGCGCCCCCCGGCCATCCTCCCTGCTCGGCCCCTCCGCGGCTGCTGCTCCTCCAAAAGGGTCTGCTTCGGAGGAAAGAAAGAAAAAAAAAAAAAAAAAAGAAAAAAAAGAAGAAATATTAAAAAAAAAAAAAAGAAAATAAAAGAAATAAGAAAGAAGGGACCAAAAAAAGCCGAAACACCTCCTTTCTCGGGAGCTGCACAGGCTGCAAAAGCACTCTGCCGCGGAGTGGCGGGGAGGAGGGACGGGGAAGAGTGTGTGGGTGTGTGGGGAGGAGGAGGAGGAGGGGAGATGCCGGCGGAGCTGATGGAGGCGCCCACGCCGAGCGACGGGGCGTACGCGGAGGCAGGGCAGGCAGGAGGGATTCCCCCCCTCCTCCGGCGTGGGGGGCCCCGCCGACCCCCGCGGAGGGACTCTCGGGGATCCCCGCGGGGATGCCGACGGAGATCGGGGACCCCGGAGGAGGGAGCAGGGGGACCCCTGGCCCCGACGTGCCACCGGAGCGGGTCCGTACCGCACGGAGGGCAACCCGGGGTGAGCCCTACAGCGGCCCGGGGCGCAGGGGCTTCCCCCCGGGGTCCCGCCGCCCGGCGCCGCCGGAGAGGCAGCCGGACCGCTAAACCGGGCCAGCGGCGGGGATGGAGGAGGGGAGATCTAGTCCAGCGCCGGCTGCTCACGGAGCGTCAGTAATTTCGGTGAAGGCGAACAGCTGCTCCCTGTTTTAATTTAGAAAAAAACGTGCAGCTATTTTTGTGCGGCAAGGTCAGAAGCAAAGCCGGCACCCTTTTGTAAACGGCCGGCAACACACCCGAGCTCTTGAGGTTGTCCTGACATAGCACAACGCGCACGGTAACGCGGAGCGTACTACTATCGCCTATAGTAAGGCGACCGGTCCCGACAGCGCCGAGAAGGCGCATCAAAACAACCCAGGCCGTGCCTGCACGGAGCGTTATTAGGAGGGGGGTGTCGGGCGCACCCGGGGTTGCGTCTCGCAGCTGCGACCCGTGGGCACAGGGGTCTCCGGGACCAGACCCCGGCCGAGCCCGGCCGCCCGCCGCCGGCTACCGAGGCGGTGCTGGCGCCGCCGACACCGCGGCTTCGCCTTTCTGTTTTACCGGGCGACGCGATGTTAAAAGGTATATAATTAATTCCCCCCACATCTCTCATCGTGGGGTTTTTACGGTGCTTTAAGCGCTGCCACCCTCAACCCGCATGAAGAGCGCATCCGAATATTTACAATTTACACAGACCCAAGTCCCAGGAGCACAGCACAGGAGCCTACTACCAAGAATAAATTTTTCGTAAAAAGCCGAGGGGACAGCAGCTATTTGGCGTGTGTGGTGTTAGACGGGTTCACCAGCAATTCGCATTTCTAGTTCAGGAAAAGGAGTCTGGAGGAAACGGCCCAGGGTTTTGCGAAGCAAGGTATTACAAGGTGAGTTTTGATTGTGGGAAGCTGCCCTTTCCCTGCCAGGGCACGCCTGCAGAGAGGGGCGTTCTTGCTGGGAAATAGCTCTTTAAAAATAAAAGCTGAAGGAACATACTGTTTTTTGTATCTATTCTGTTGAAATTCCTTTCCTGCTTGCTGTACATATTAAATATTATATTCTGGCCATTTCCTCTCTCTCCTGTTTCATGATAAAGAGTCATTCCTGTCCCCCAAAATAGAGCCAGACCTGTGTCAGTCATGATACAGGATTAACCTACAGATAATAGTTTCAGGGGACTATATACAGGAAAAAATATAAAATCTTCTATATGAAGCTGTATTTCTGTGGTGACTTTAATGCCTGGCTTCCTCGGGTCTTCCACTGATGACCTCAGTGTTTAACTAGTCTCTATTTCCTCCTCTAGCCCCCTATTTAATTTCTTATTTTTTCAGAGGTTTCTAGGTAGCTTCTAAGCCTCCAAATAAATCCTGAGCAGCTTCCCTGCATCCAGCCCGTGTAAAAGGATACCACAGGGAGCAGCTGGGGGGTTAGAGACACGGACGAGCCTGACCCCACAGCCCCCCAAACACCAAACCCGGCTCTCCCGGCACCCACCAGCTGCAGAGCACAACAAAAAAAGCCTTCAGGTTCAGTGACAATCCCCACTCACAGCCTGCAGAGCCATGTTTATCCCTCTCACCATGGCACAAAACGGAAAGGCTTAAGCTTTACTACTACCAAGAAAGACCCAAAACATCGACAAAGCAGAAAAGTCTCACCTGAGAGGGCCAGTGCAGCAGTAGCTAACCTGAAATGCTGTGACCAGGGCCAATTTATGGTCACAGATTGGAGCACCTGGAACCAGCCCTGCAACCTGCCCTTACCCTCAGCTGTGGAAACTGGAGGCAGTGTGGACACTTCAGAGCCTATCTCTGAAGGCTGAATCCCCCTCGCTACCCCCCAACCACCAGAAACTCTTACCAGCCTCCTCGCAGGGAGCCCGCAGCGTGGTGACAGCGGTGCTGCAGCGCTGGAACTGCTGCAGGTGCATCCCTTGGAGCGAGGTTTTTCCAGCCAAGCGGCTCTGGGATGTGTCTGCCACTGGCAGCGGTTTCACAGGCAGCCTGTGTGCAACAGCATGTGGAGTCTGCAAGGAAATCAGCCCCCGAGGGGTATTTTGGGTCTCTGGAAATGCAGTGTGACTGCACTTGTGTGGGGTGGGGGTTAAACAGACCCCCAGGTGGAAACAATCAAGTTAATGACCAACCCTCAAAATACTAGAAGTGAAAGAATAGCAGGCTGCCTTGTGAGGCTAGGGTGTCATGACCCTGCCCATCACAGCTGCACTGAGTTAATCTGACGAGCTTCAGAGAGGGAGAATCTGCCACTTCCCTCAATAATATTTCAGTGAAGTAGAATCCATCACCCCACTGGAGAATGACATTTTAAACTGCTTTAACTCAGTATCAATGTTCAAATTGATTAGCCTGTTTCATCTCAATGGAAATTCTCACCTCATTACATTAGCGGCCAAACTTCAAATATTTTTCAAATCAAATACTACTTAAACAGTATTTCAAAATACTTAGCTGACAAAATTCATCACTTAATTTCAAATTACTGTCTGTGTTTTATGCTAAATTGTCAATGGATGAAATGCGCAACAGTTCTGGGAGCTGAGGCTACCCAGCTTTGCGGTTTCACAGAAGTACATTTTCTCTTTGACTTGATAAATGTCTCACTCCTGGCTGAGCAGCGAGCAGAGACTCAAAAGCAGGCCGTAGATAGCATTTTCTAGCCTTCCAAAACCAGCTTATTCCCTGATGCACAGGATACTTGCCAGGGAATTAAGACAGGCAGGTTTGATCTTCCTCAGAGAGGGAAGTGAACTGAACCCAGATCCTCCATTTCCAGTTAATTCTTTACCAGGCAGGGCTGGTTTCCAGCCAGGCTGTGAGTGAGCCTAAGAAAACTAGTAATGTTCAATGCTTCACCACCTGGTTCCCTGTGTATCTGGTCTGTCATTTGTTTCTCCTACTGGCTAGAAACCACTGCGGTAGGCAAGTGTAAAATTCCAGCTCACAGCATTGTCTCCACCAGCTGTGTTTTAAAAGACATTTTTAATTTAAAATAAAAATCAAAATCACTGCCTTGTTTTGAGATGCTGGATCTTTTCTGGCACTCGAGCCAAATTTAGCAGGGAGAGCTGCTCCCAGTACACAACTTGTCTTGTAAAACATTATGGATCATAAGGAACAGGAAGTATCTCTGCAGGTTAAGTGGCATCAGAATGGGAATTCTGAATAGGCATCACATGTTTGTTAAAATCCTACCTTAAACACCTAAAAGACTTCACTGACCTCTATCTCAGTTGCATTCTCAAGGTAGTGCTGCTACACTGTACTGGGGTTGCTGCATCTCAAGGTAGTGCTGCTACACTGTACTCGGGTAGTGCTGCGAGGACCAATGCTGCACAATTCTTCTATCACTTAAAAGAAATAAGACTCCTTTGAATAAATAAGCTGTGATAGAAATATATTTACACTATGAACATTTTTACAGGAAATACAACTTACTAAAAATTTGTCAGTAATAATACCACCACCCTACAATTCACTACAGTCAAAACTAAAGGTTTTGAATTTTTAAGATTTTTATTAGAGAAGTTGAAAGTTTCATCTCAGGACTGACAATAACATAATTATCTCTTTTCATTTATCTTGTTTATAGGAATATGTAGAATTTGTTTGTACAAGCATATACAATAAAGTAATTGGTGCTTAGTACATTGAAATCAGGAATCTGATTTGTTCTAAACTACCAGTTTTCCATGCAGTCATCTTTGAATTGGCAGCATGGACAAATTCCAAGCAGAATGCTTACATGCATTGTTTCGCAATATAACTACAGCAAGCGCTGGAAACATGCAAATTAACACATTAGCAAATTGTTTTTATATCTAATGGACATAAAAAGGTTATTCCTGATATGAAATTCTGAAAATCTGCATAAATACTTTTGTGTAAAATTAAATTAGTTATGTACTTTTCTTTTACTACAAGTATCAAGAATGCCCACGTAATTAATATACACACATATATATAGAGACCTCGTTATGCTAAAAGTCTTTGTAATTAATCAAACAATATTCTGTGCCATACATTTATTCAGTATTTACCAGCTAGTAGAATGACTGTGGTCATATAGTAGGCATTACAGTCTTAATAGCTTTTGTATCACATGCAAACATACTCTTAGCATTTCTGCTTACTAATTTTATCACGTGGCAACATGTATGTCATTTTCTACAATGTTGTGATTCTGAAGTGTATAAATACTTTTTACATTTTCACAGTTACAAACTTTTTGCCAAAAGCCATTTAAACAATCTTTAAGTTACAATGAACGGTAGTATCTGGGATCTGCAGCAACAGGATGAAAATGCAATTTCTATACAAGCAATGTAGGATGTAAACTTTTCTTAAAGTGCCTAATACATAATTCCTTAGAGCACTGATCAGTTTTGGCACAAATACACTGTATTTCCCTCATGCCAACCATTGCAGTAACTTTTACAGGATACCGGTTTCTTTCGGACATAAGAGTTGATATGGCACTTGTGAATGGCATCACTGGACTGCAGAAATAATCCTGTCAAGTTACTGTTACAGTTGATGAACTTGGCCGATGACTTTGTACATATTGTACGTTTGAATATACACAGTTAACTTTCAACTAACTACTGCCTGCTGCCTGAAAAATACTTTGAAATGTAATTTAAAATTACCCAAACAACTCCTTACTATACTGATTATTACGCTGACTTAGCAGAAGATCCAGTTCAGTGGGCTTCATGGCATCAGGTGCTGAGCATCTGAACGAGTTGTTGCTTGTCGGGATCTGGCAGCATGAGGGTTCTACACAACATAGAATCATAGAATGGTTTGGGTTGAAAGGGACCTTAAAGATCACCTAGTTCCAACCCCCCTGCCCTGTGCAGGGACACCTCCCACTAGACCAGGTTGCCCAAAGCCCCATCCAGCCTGGCCTTGAACACCTCCGGGGATGGGGCATCCACTGCGTGGATGGATAAGAACACATATCACACATAAGAACACAAATGGAAAATAGCACGACTTCATTACAGTTTTGTTGCCATTTGAGATGATGTTAAAAATATCTGTTGTGTTTCAAGGTTCTGATTGTGTAATTCTGAGGCAGGCAAGCTGCCTGTTGAGTTACAGAAAGAAATACAGGACTGGGTTTAAAAACTGTCTTCATCATCTGATTAGTGGTTTTCTGAACAAAGGAAATTCAGTGCCCAGTGTTAAAAAAGAAATAATGCAAACCTTAAGACTTGGTGGTCCATAGCTACACTTTATACATTAAAAACAAAAAAACCAACAGCCGCCCCCCCACCAAAAAAAAACCCCCCCCCCCCCCCCCCAACTTTTAAACCTCAGCAACATTATTGTGAATTTTGCTCTCATTTTAAGGATCCTGTGTTCTCCAAATTCAATTTGTTTGTTGAGGCTTTAGACCACTGTTGCTGGCCTGCGATCCATCTCTGCTTCCAGCTTCACCATCTGCTGCATCTCCTTTGCCTGCAATCCAAAACAACCGCATGAAGCACTGCATTAGACCTTTTGTTCAAAATGAAACACGTTTTATATGATAGTGTCTGAGTGAAATACAGGCAAAACACAGTGAAATACATGTAATAAAATTATGTTTACACACCCACCCCCCCACCTCCCTCCCAGTGCCATTCTGTTTTCAAAATCAGATGTAGTTCTAGTTCTAATGTCTACAAATTCCTGGGAAGTATTTTTGATCCTATTCCAAGACTCATGGCTGGACTCGTTGAAGGCATGTATGGTAAAATGCAGAAGCTCTGATTTTGGGTTGGAAAACTAGGCAGATGACAATTTGACTGTTCCGCCTGATACAGCATGTCTTTGGGAATGTATGTTTCACTGCTGTTGTGCAAGTACTGCAATGTGTTACTTCTTTAAATGTTTAGAGATCTAGATCTATGATCTAGACTAATTTCTTTCATAATGACAATGAATGTCAAAAATCCATCAGTGTAACATCTGCCTTGCAGTAGGCAAGATTTTTATAAGTAACAGTTTTTTAAGTAATTATTTTTTTTAAATAATCACCATCCGTCCTGGAGATCCTTATGATGACAGACATGCTGTTTTTCACCTCAGGATCAGACTACTCCTATATGCTCCACAGGATTACACACACTGAGCCCACCTGAAACTGTATCCAAATGCACTGTGCAGAACACAGCAACGAACGTATGCCAGATCTCGCTAAAAACTCTGCATGCCTCAGGCTTTGCAAGCAGTGTTAAAGCCTGGGAATCCCCTGCTTAAAGAGCTTTTTTAATTCCCTTCCTCCTCTCCCTCCCTCTCTTTCTCTCTCTCTCTCAGACACACACACACACACATGTACTCCTCCTGTGGCTCAGTTACAGATTAGAAATTGCACAATGGTCTGAAACTCTGCAGTTTAATGGCACTGGGAGTCACCATCTCTTCATTTTCTCTGAGGGCTCTCAGTCTGGGAAGTTATTTAAATCCATAACCCAAAGGACTCTGAATAGTTGACCCAAAGGGCAAGCTAACCCATCTATCTTTACAACCAAGCTCCAGAGGATTAGGACAGGTTTAGGACGAGGCAAACAAAGCTATTATTTTATTTGGTGTATCTGCTTTCTGTACCACCATACAGTGAAGAAGGGTTACTGGACTTGATTTACATCAACTGTGCTCTTCAAAAATTAGTAAATGTTGCTTAGAAAGGGAAATTTGCTATATAAGCTCCTACTTAAGGAGTCACGTATTCCGGATGCGCAAACACATATTTGCATATGTGAAAATGGGCAGATGTAGCTCTAAACTAATGAGAGATGCACAGCTATTCATTTTGCAAGGTAAATGTGGGTTTGTGCAGATGTGATATATGTGCCTTCTTGAAAAATCTAGCCCTGTACTTTCATAATCATCATCATCTTGGGGAAAAAAGTAATTATGATAATAGCAAAGCAACTTTCATAAATATGATTAAAAATTAATCAATGCTCTCCATTTAAATGAGTTAAAAGCTTGAAAGTAATGAAGAAATAATTTTAACATGAAAATATGGAAACATAATAAATAAATCAATATGTACAACCTCTTCTGAAATGTTGGCTGGATTTTGCCTGTGTGTGAAATGAAATTCCAGACAAAAAAAGCCTCCCTGTGTTTGCTTCCTAGTGACTCACACATTTCACGTTTTAAGCTTGCGACTTAACTACTGGCACATAGCAGTATATAAATACTCTGCATGCCAATACATGACGTACTGAATTATTTTACTGATAACTTTGTTTCAAAGAACACACTAGCATAGACCAGGATGCCCAGTTTTACTAGTCTGAGGCTGGTTCATACACTGCATTCTGACGAGAACACACAGGCACGACACTTGAAGATGAGCCTTCTGGAAAGCAGTGTTGAAGGTACAGTGAATTCATGAAGTGAGTGGCAGCTAATGGCCTCTGCTTTCAAGATGCTTGCTACCTAGTGAGGTCTAAGACAGTCTAAGAATTACACATAGTAAAAGAATATATTTTTTTCCCTATCTTAATGAATGCTTTTTTCCCCTCATTATATGTCTATAAATAAATGTTATTGGAGTGGGTGCTGTCAGACTCAGTGGTGCAAGGTACAAGTATGCTATCAATTCAAGAAAATTATTTGGATCAGGAAATACTATACAACTGGATGTTCAAACATAATGTAATTTCCCCTGGTAAGACAAGGGTCAACAGAGACACCTTGTGAGTAACAATTATTTAGGAAGCCATAGCAGCACAGTCACATGGTAAATGTAATTGCCATACCTTGTGATGTGTTGGATTTTGAAGTGAATTTTAAAGTGCTGGAAGCCTCTCTTCTTTAGACACTAAAAAGCTATTTCTAGCAATCTGTTCTGTATTTTGCTATTCTAAGTGTGGAATTACTTTTTTTTATTACCATATGCGGATACTCTTCGCCTATCAGCATTAACAGTTAATCATATGTATGTTAACACTAAAATAATTTTCTTAGATTGCATTAGGTTTGTGTGGCAAAGTTTTGCTTGCAGAGGGGCTGCAGAGGTGGCTTCTGTAAGAAGCTGCTAGAAGCTTCCCCTACATTGATAGAGCCAATGCCAGGTGGCTCCAAGAGGGACCCACCACTGCCCAAGGCTCAGCATATCCATAACAGTGGTAGCACCTCTGTGATGACGTATTTAAGAAAGGGGAAAAACTGCTGTGAAAACAGCAGTCTGGAGAAGAATGAGATGTGAGAGCAACAACTCTGCAGACACCAAGGCCAGTGAAGAAGGAGAAGGAGGAGATGCTGCAGGCAATGGAGCAGAGATGCCCCTGCAGCCAATGGAAGACCCATGCCAGAGCAGGGAGATGCCCGAAGGAGGCTGTGAACCCATGGGAAGCCCCTGCTGGAGCAGGCTCCTGGCAGGACCTGTGGCCCCATGGAGAGAGGAGCCCATGCTGAAGCAGGTTTGCTGGCAGGACTGGTGGACCCACACTGGAGCAGTCTGTTCCTGTACGACTGCACCTCGTGGAAGGGACCCACACTGGATGGAGTTCATGAAGAACTGCACCTGAGGGAAGGACTCACACTGGAGAAGTTCATGGAGGACTGTATCCCATGAGAGGGACTCCATGCTGGAGCAGGGAAAGAGTGTGAGGAGTCCTTGGGAGTGAAGTTGAGCCCAGCAAGAAAGGAGGGTGGGGGGAAGGTGTTTTAAGATTTGGTTTTATTTCTCATTATCCTCCTCTGATTTGATTGGTAATAAATTAAACAATTTTTTCCCCAAGTCGAGTCTGTTTTGCCCGTGATGGTAACTGGTGAAAAATCTCTCCCTGTCCTTATCTTGATCCACAAGCCTTTTGTTACATTTTCTTTCCCCAGTCGGGCTGAGGAGGGGAAGTGATTGAGCAGCTTTGGTGGGCATCTGGTGTCCAGCCAGGGCGAACCCACCACACAGATCAACAGACACTTCTCACAGACAGTTTAGAACTCTAAGCTATCCTTCAGTAACGACAGGTAATGTACAAGTTAATCTCTAAATATTTTCTCTGCACATCACTACTCATATACATCTGAATTTGGGATGCTAAAGCACAAAATACTGTTAATATTGTGTCAGGCTCTAATATCTGTGTGCAAACAAGATTAACATTGTGTTCACTATGTCAATGGTACTTCCAATGGTTGCATTTACAAGGAGGACTCCAATGATAATGATTTAATTTAGAAGGAAAGCACACTGAAATAATAGTTTGCTTATTATACGTCCATCCTACCTTGTGTTTGAGACACTGCATGACAGGATTTCAAAAGCTGTTTGTACAAAAATAATAATGTCAAAATTGAGTACAACAAGAAGCAAATTAAATGAATGAAAACTGAAGTGAGATTGAAAAATTAATGCAAGAAAAACATACATAAAACAAAACAAATTTAAATTCATAACAGTTTGTATTGAAGGCTGTTTCCACCCATAATTCTACTTTTCTACACTGTATATTTGTATGAAAAATTTCTTCCCTTGTTTGACCAGGACAAAAGAAGTCACGCTTTGAAATTCTCATAAAACAAATACCACCTTTATCTTCATCCAACTAGCTTTTGTACATCAATGTGTATAACAACAAAACCAGACCCAGCTGGGGGTTTGCTGTGGTGCACTTTTGGGACTAAGAGGAAGTGGTTGAAACAGCAAGTATTAAAATATATTCTCTGATGGATCAAATTAGGGTGAGTTTAAAAGCTGTTAAGGACTACTCCTGTGGTGGAGGCCACCACTTGCCCACACAACAGTGATAACCAGCATGTGAATGATTTTACTCCACTTAATCACTGATGATTTAAGCTGGCTTCATCTCTGCACTGAAATGGAGTATAAGCAAGCTCATGTAGGCTATTACCATCTCTCAGCAGTGGAAGCTGTAACCCTAGGTGAGGAAAGTATCTAATTGCTGAAAGAGGTGACTCCTTTAACGACTCACACTTACTTCCCAGCAACCTCCCTCCCTTATACATAACGTGTTTATTGCATTGTAGTTAAAAGCACAACTATAATAATTCCCTCTTGTCCTTATGTTTTCAAAAATTGCATCCAAAGCTCTGTGAAGCCAGTGGAAAGAAACCACTGAAAACATCTCACTCCAGATCAAGCCCACCATTTTTTGTCAACTATCACAGTTCTCTCATACTCTCTACAGTGATACTACAGATCCACTGTAGTCCAATGGCCTTCCCTGGCTGCCTGCCTCCCCTGCCTTTTGATTATGTGCAGATACTGCTCAGGAGCAGACTGACAGACAGATCCATTCACGCTAGATGTTAGAGATGGCATCTATAAAAACCCTGTGCAGGAACAGACGAGAAATTTTGGTTGCTGTCCAGAAGGGAGGTGGAGCAATCAGAAGACAGAGCCATGGTGGCTGGAGCTCAATGGTAGCAGCTGCCTATGATCCTACATGCTGTCACCCCTCCTAGAAGTTAACTACGCTGTAGCTTTTGGGGCTGTAGGACTCTCTCCTGACAATGGAAATACTTGCTTTGCATGTACTCTTCTCTTCCGTTCCACTCTGCAAAATGGCTTTAGTTCAGACTATAATGTCTGCCAGAGAGTTCCAGTTCTGCACATTTAGTAACAAAGAAGTACATAACTCCTCAAAGTAACGGGGGTATTAAATGCACCCCTTCTCTCTCACCTCACTGAATTGCTGGGTATATTCCCCTTGCAGTTTACATTTGTGAAGTGCACTACTGCAAGTCCATGCAATTATTACAACTCTGCGGGCTCAACCAAGGGAACTGCTCAGAATATAGCGCTGCTTCTACCAGAAATAAGATTAGAATTTTCCTTTCCTTGCCAAGTAGTTTTTCAATTAAAAAAAAAAAAAGAGCTTATAAACTAGCAGAAAATAATAAGGTATTTTAATTAGGAAAGGGTGTACTAGTACAGATAAAACTCCCCATGCTACTATACATCTCTAGAATTCAGTCCAAACTAACTGTCTCTTAGAATTCAGAGATGCTCTGTGCACGTTTCATCTCCATTTTCCAGTCAGCTAGAAATGAAAGTTTCCAAAATGAAGGAAACAAATTTGCTTGAGGTACTTTTGGGGAGTAACTAAAATGGATATGATGGGCCTTTTATGACTGTCATATCTAGCTAACGAGTATCAACATGGCTGAACAGCTGAAAAGACAGACTCTGGCTAAGCAGTCTAGCTTTCACATGATAATCTGAAACAAATAATGATAAAGAACCAGATTTAAGTCACTTCACCTCTTCGTTTTAACTCCACAAGTAGGTGAGTGACCACAAACAAGGTAACTTTCCCAAGTTCAGTAATAACTTACATTTAGAAGCATTCTACTCAGCCTGATTCTGGTTACTGTTTTCGCTAGCTTGCTTTTCTTTTAAACCTTTAAAATAAGATACCTGTTCATTCTGCTTCTCCAAGACTTCTAAATGCTCAAGTTGAACTTTTTTCAACTGATCCATTTCTTTTGACTGCTTCATTGCCAGCTGTAAGCAAGAGAAGATAATGGGCAAGAGGGAAATGGTGGGGAGGGGGAAATGTAACACATTATTAACAAGTAAAATAAAAACTTCCTTGAAACATATACGTACATACATACACTATGTTGCTCCACTTGGTGGCACAAAACATCACAGGAGGCCTATTGTATCACCCAATCTTAAGAAGAGCTATTAATATAATATTTATATCACACATATATAATATATAATATATAATATATATTTTGCATAAAAGTAGCAAATAAAAAACAATGAATAATAATTGTGTTAATTTAAAATAGCATCCTCTCATATAGATGCTGCATCTTTTACACTACAAGTATGTGGAACAAAGCAAGGACAAACATCTGTTTGTTTACTAGAGCTGGATTCGCAACACAGAGAAATGAAAATGAATATCCAGAAATAGTGCCCAGTGACTTTGTCAAGGTTATAGTTACCCTTTTTCTCTCTTCCAAGAACTTTTTTGTGTTGCTGCTGTTCAGTTCTCTGACTCGCCTGAAAAAAATGCAAATGTTGTCCATGAAGACTCATTGGAAAAAAAGAAACCCAAAAGCTACAATCGAGAGAATCACAAACTTAAAAGATATGTTTTGGTTTCTGATTATCTTTACCATATGGGACTAATGGAAAATTGTACACTTCTCTGCCTATGCACCTGTACACTTAAAGGTTTCCAAGTACATTGACAGTATGATTGAACACTTGGAAAAAAAAGACCAGGACCGTTGTGAATCAAGTTTGCTTTTTTGCTCAGTCAAGAGTGGTGGACAGAACTTAAAAAAAAAAAAAAAAGAAGTTTAATTCATTTGTGCATTCCTGACTGCACTCTGCTCTCAATTTGTTTTGGTATATAAAACATGCTACATCTTTCAACAGTGGTAATAAAAATATCATCTGATCATCACAAGTTGCAGCTTACCAATGCTGTAAGGTTCTTAAAGCCGTTATTTAAGCAAACAGATAAGTATACAAATAATATTTACATAAAGTACCTAACTGCAAAGTGTTTCTTCCTAAGATTTCCATCAAGAAATATACCAAAAGTAGTTCAAAGAGCTGAATCAGACTAATAGCAGAGCCTGAAAACCAGAACTGAATTCAGACTGCTTTCAAATCCAGGAACAGATTTATCTCAGAGTCATTAGTGGATGTCTTGCATTAACTAAGCATACAGTTACCAAGGGCTTCAACAACTCATCTTCCTGATAAACTTGGAGTCTGTAATACTCAAGGGACTTAGTTCAGTGGGAACAAGTTGAAGCCTTTTGACCAAAATAGCATAGTGCCAAGGAGGGAATATAAAAGAGGAAAGAATGAGATGGCAGATGGCAAGCCAAAAGTGAAGGGGAAACCCTGAAGGCTTATGTGACATCATCATGTAGACTCTGCTTTTATCTATTTGGAAATTTTTAGGATAAAACTTAAAATAGCTGTAATGTAGATTAATTCTCCAAAAGATCTCAGTAGCTGGTACTGACAAGTGTCTGTCTAGTCTCTCCAGTCAATTAAGGCTGTCATCCCCAAGCATGCTGTGAGTAACCCCCTTTTGCAATTGCAGCAGTGCCCTTGGTTTGCTAAGCATGGGTGCTGGCCAGGTCGCCAATGCCAGCGCATAAGAGAGCTGCAGTTCAGTTCAGGAGTGGAGAAGCAACATGTGTGCTGCTGTGGAGTACTCCTGCTTCTTCACTCTTATCTTCCATCACCCTCTCTGCTGATTATCATCACTTTTAGCGCTCCTTCCTACTGTTTCACCTCTCCTCCGTGTTATCAGTAGATGAGGGGGAAAGCCTTTCACTGGCACCAGCTTCTTGTGTTTCTAGTGATGCTGCCTCTCCAATTGTTCTAACTCCAGCTAGAATCGAACCTCAGGCTCCCTTTTCAGTATAGCCCTAATTTAATTTAAAAAGCAACAGAAAAAAGGTTTAATGCACTTTAAGGGTTAGTCCCAGCTGGCAATAAAGAACCATGAAGCTGTTCACTTACTCCCTGGCCAGTGGTGGGATGAGGGGACAGTTGGAAGGAAAAAGGCAAAACCAATGGGTTCAGATAAAAGCAGTTTAACAGAACAGCAAAGGGCAAAACAACAGTCATACTGATAAAGGAATACACAAAACATGATTAGGAACCTGGAAAAGCCCCAGACTGCTCCTGAGCAGTGATTCCTGCCCCCACACCAGCTCCCCAAGGTATACGGGGAGCATATATGATGTCACATGCTACTGAATACCCCTTTGGCTAGTTTGGGTAAGCATCCCATCCCAGCTCCTTGTGAAAATAAAACCTATCCCTGCTGGAACCAGGCAATCACATTTATTAAAGGGATAAATATGAGAAAAGCAGTATTTTTCCTAAAATGGTCATCTAAAACATATTCAGCACAATCATTAGACATTGTTTCCATACATAAAAGCATGGCCTTAATAAAATTAACCCGTGAGTTCACCTGTCAGCCTTTGACAGCATTCTTCCCTTCTCAAGAAGGGAGATCTAATACTTACCTCTCTCTCTCTGCTTTATTTTTGATAGATTTGTCTTGGCTTATGGCTTTGCTGTTCTCCATAGATATTTTAGCCTGGTTGGCACGCATTTCCTTGCTTTCCCTAGGCAAAACCAAAGAAAGTCATTAATGCCTAAGACACAATTGTTGAAGTTGGTTTCCTGATACTACTCTACACTGTGGTTAATTTTGTTCTTGAAGCACTAAGAAAGAGGAAACAACAAACCACATGAAAATTGCCTTCCTTTGGGTAGACTTTATACGACTTGAACAAGCATTCAGAAATCTCTATTTGTTCCAGAGAATATAATCTGAAAGATCAGTTTAAAATACTTTTACACTTCGAATGTTATAAAAGGGTATAAAATACTCATTTCTTCCTAGTATGTAAGAGTTATTCAAGTACGAGCTACTATTAGCCATTTAGGAAATGCAATTTGTCTTTTAAAACTGCGTAAAAAATTTACAAATCCTGCACTCTGCACATGACTGCAGTATGAATAGTAGTAATATTTGATGAATCGACAGACTTTCAAGGCTTCTAATTTAGGCCTGAAGAGAGCCCTGTGGTTTAGACCATGGTCAGCCTTGCGCTTGGTTTCTTCTTGTGGCCCCGCGAACCTTGTAGCACTTTGTGTGAAATAAGATAGCTTTAAGAGGAGGGTTATTCCAGGGATAATGTCCGAGTGGTGTGGTTTGACTCGGGAAGTGGAAAAACTCTTCAGTGTTTCAGCCAGTATAGTAGAAAAACAGAAAATAAGTAAATAAATATTTTGTTGTTTTAAAAAGAAAAAGAGATTGTGATTCTTTGTTGGGAGCAACAGCACAGATGCTGACTTTCAGAAATGGCTTATGAATTGTGAGTAAGGAGAAGGCTTTTTGTCACTCTGGGCAAGCCAGCTGAGCTCCAAAAAGGCCATCCCCGAAGGCTACCTCCAGCTTTCTGTCTGCTTAGCATTCCAGCACTTGCAGCTCCTGATATCAAGTGCTTATTTAAACTGGAATTATATATGGAAATTAGGCAGTGAGTAACGGATTGTAAAGACCCCAGTAGTGCATAAACATCTAAAAGTTACCCGTTGCAAGCCAAGGCAGTGTCTTAGGATTGTGTCCAGAAGAAGAGACTAAGTGGAGTCCTAAACAATTATTGTACTTATTAACCCAAAATTCTAAGTATTTTGTATGCACAGAAAGAGGAGGGGTACGGCACATAACAGAGTGCTTATTTTAATGAAATGTCCCTGAATCTTTTTTAGCTGTCTTTCATCTCTAAAGGACATGACTCATTAAGTACCACAAGGCAACTTTGTTCCATGACTTACTTTTTCCTCAGTTTAAATTTTTTATTTGAGAAATGCAGTGCCTTTTTTTCCTCCAAGAGTTCAGAGGGTGAAACATTTCCTGAATGCAGATTTAAAAGCAGTGATATCACAGCAAAAATTAGATTAGGTTCAAAAAAATATGTTGAAATGTGTCATATTTTGTTCCAACAGTCCTTTCTCCAAATAAAAGCTTTTACTTTCTACACTGAATTTGAAATAATTTTCCAGCACACTATCTTAAGAGCAGTATTGAAATAATTTATTTTTATTACCTGTGGCAGTAATAATTCTAAAATCCTATGATTTCATATCAAGGATATGACAAAAGTTAAGTGTAGGTGTTCAAATTGATTTAGCCTATTTGCATCAGATATGATCTTACAGTGAAAGAAGTTAAGAGGATTAGAGGACTACTGTGCATCACCGATGACTTCAAAATGAGGCTTTGGCCATGGATATGGCCAACACATGTATACGCAACTGTTTCTCTATTGTGCAAACTATAATCTAGCTATGAGTTGCACTGCTGTTGGGTTTTTCTGTGTGTGTTGGGTTTTCACTGCTTGCAAGAAATAAAAAGGATTATTAACAGAAGAAATGAAAACACTTTTCTTCCTTTTAAAAAAAAAAAATCACAAAGAAACAATTGTAGGGACCACTCCTTGTTTCTAAAATAGCACTTCTCAAAGACAGGACCAAAGTTCTAACATGACTACGCTTCTCAGCTTCCTGGCGTGGGGTTTTACATGACTCTCAAGTTCAGCCCATGCTGGCCTGGCTGGCAGCGCTGTGCCACTAGGGGAGAACTCCCTCCCGCTCATGGGTGATGCCTGCAGACAGAGTTAACTGGAAGAAATCGGTACGGCAGAATGGTAAAGAAAAAAAAAACAAACAAAAACCGGATTCTGAAAATGTGGCCCATGAACTGCAAGATTTAACTGCTGATTTCCTACTGTGTCATACTGACTGGCACCTCTGAAATTTATACAAATGTGTTTTAAAGGTATACTTAGCTTTAAGCATGTAAATCTATCCTTGGAATTTATAAATATATTTAGATGGCATTAAAGTGCATTAACATGTTATTTCATGTCACCAGTATTGTCTGAATGACTAGAAATCTCTTCTTCTATTAAAAAAACTACACATACAATTTTTCTTTCTGACTCATGTCATTTTATCTGGAGCACACAGTGCTTGCGGCCAACAGCTTCACGTCCCCAGTTTCTGCAATGCTGCAAGCTCCAAGTCCCTCAAGCTAACCCAGTCTAGGGTGGCAGAGGGCACAGCACCCCTGGAGTTCAATAAGCTTCCGATTTTCAGTAGTATCTGCTGCCTTCTGCTTTGTTTTTAAATGAGCTCAAACTGCAATTGCTTTTTGTATAGCACATGGAGAAAAAGTATTTACCCTACAGCAGATAACTGCATCACTTTAGATTACTGATCTTTCCTACTACCCCTGTGTCCTCTGTTCTGATAGCAAACTCATTACCGCAGCTCACAGAGAGCAAAGCAGCAAGAACAGCATGCTGAGAGCCTGGTCCACCTCCCACGCTGCTCTCAGATAGACCCTTTTTTTTTTCCCTATGGTTACTCAAGTTCTCTCTTGGCTATTACATACACCTATACAGATAAATGCATACGTGTTCCTATACACAATGTATTCTATAAAAATGTGTACAAATCATTAAGTATAAAGTCTCTCTGTGGCATTGTTATTCACATTTCAATATCTCACATTTCAAATTCTTCTGAAATATTAATAGATACACAGTCTTAAATTTGTTTTAAACAGGAAAGTCCCCAGTCTGCACATTTGGGAGTCACACACAAATTCCCAAATAAGCAGAAAGACACTAATTGCAATTAATAAAGCAGAAAGAAATTTGAAAGTTGTTATTCCTAGCACAGCTGAGAAATAGTTCTCAGTATTTGTCAGGATGTAGATTTTGTGGTCTGGTTCTTAGTAGCTCTGAAAATAAAACAATACATGGACTGAGCACAACTGATTTCTAATAAGGAACAAGATCCATTAATAAAAGTGTAAGAATCATTTACAAGAAACGATCTAGGGCTGTTTAAACAGTGTAGAGATACAGAAACTCCAAACCCAAAGACAAAAACAATAAGAAAAAAGCATAAAAAAAACCCCCACCCAAACCAAACCTTGTCCTAGTGTAGATATAGTAGTTTCCTATAACAACAATTGGGAGAAGTCGTGGAGAACAGGAGAGGTGCCTGAGGACTGGAGGAAGGCCAACATCACTCCAGTCTTCAAAAAGGGCAAGAAGGAGGACCCTGGGAACTACAGACCAGTTAGTCTCACCTCTGTCCCTGGGAAGGTGATGGAGAGACTCATTCTAGATGTCATCTCCAAACAAGTTGAAGAGTGGGGGGTTATTGGAAGTGGGCAACACGGGTTTACCAAGGGTAAATCATGTATGACCAATCTGATAGCCTTCTATGATGCCATAACCGGTTGGTTGGATGAGGGGAGGGCAGCAGATGTCATCTACCTTGACTTCAGCAAGGCTTTTGACACTGTCTCCCATAACATCCTCATTGGGAAACTGAGGCAGTATGGGCTGGATGAGGGGACAGTGAGGTGGATTGAGAACTGGCTGTGCGACAGGACCCAAAGGGTAATTATTAATGGAGCAGGTTCAAGTTGGAAGCCTGTAACCAGTGGAGTCCCCCAGGGGTCAATACTTGGACCCGTGCTGTTTAATATATTCATCAGTGACCTGGACGAGGGGACAGAGTGTATCCTCAGCAAGTTTGCTGATGATACCAAACTGGGAGGAGTGGCTGACACCCCGGAGGGCTGTGCTGCCATCCAGCGAGACTTGGACAGGCTGGAGGGCTGGGCAAAGAAGAACCTCATGAGGTTCAACAGGGAAAAGTGTAGGGTCCTGCACCTGGGGAAGAAAAATGTCAGGTACCAGTATAGGTTAGGGGTGGACCCGCTAGAGGCAACTACTGAAGAGAAAGATCTAGGGGTCCTGGTGGACAGTAAAATGACAATGAGTAAACAGTGTGCTCTTGCGGCCAGGAAGGCCAATGGTATCTTGGGTTGTATAGGGAAGAGTGTAGCCAGCAGGTCAAGGGAAGTCATTCTCCCCCTCTACTCTGCACTGGTGAGGCCACAACTGGAGTACTGTGTCCAGTTCTGGGCTCCCCAGTTCAAGAGGGACAGGGAACTACTAGAAAGAGTCCAGCGTAGGGCTACAAAGATGATTCAAGGATTGGAGCATCTCCCTTATGAGGAGAGACTGAGAGAGCTGGGACTCTTTAGTCTGGAGAAGAGAAGGCTGAGGGGAGACCTTATCAACGCCTACAAGTATCTCAAGGGAGGGTTGAAGGAGGAGGGAGCCAGACTCTTTTCAGTGGTTCCCACCGAGAGGACGAGGGGCAACGGGCACAAGTTGGAACATAAGAGGTTCCACTCAAATATGAGGAGAAACTTCTTCACGGTGAGGGTGACGGAACCCTGGAACAGGCTGCCCAGGGAGGTTGTGGAGTCCCCTTCTTTGGAGATTTTCAAAACCCGCCTGGATGCAGTCCTGAGTAACATGCTCTAGCTCTAGGCAATCCTGCTTCAGCAGGGGAGTTGGACTAGATGATCTCTATGGTCCCTTCCAACTCTAGAAATTCAGTGAAATTCAGTGAAAACAGCCTTTAGCAAAGTTACGAGAATAACAAACATGTACAGAAGAGAAAACAAAAACTTACTTTCAAAAAGATGAGGGGAAAAAGGTTTTATTCCACAAACAGGCTATACATTAGTAAATGATCTTCTAAGCACTGTGATGAATTTCAAATAGTACAGAAAACAGGACTCTTGAAAACAAAGTGATGGGATTTCTCTGGGCTGTTGGTGCAGTACCAAGGACCGCACCTTCCTCTGACCAGTTATCTTTTGAATGATGCATTTGTATTATAATTTAACAATTTTTGGACTTCATTTTTGAATGGTTATTTTTTGCAGGACAGCTTGAATACATGGGTTAGCACAGAGATTAACATAAAGATGAGCTCACAGCGTTTTGCTGGGACAATTCTCTGTTGGATGGAAAGCTTGCAGGACCCAGCATGTGTTCTCTCTGATGCAAAGATAAGCTGTTTTTTCACTCAGGAATTTAAAAAAATAATTTAAATTCCTTCTTCAAATGTGATTTATTTATTACTTTTTCCCCCATGCTATTTATGTAAAAGATGTCGAAGACAATAACATATGAATATATAGGTATGTATGTACATACACATTATGTATTCATATGCTTTTAGGCTGCTTTGCATAATAGATCATAGCCTAAAAAATATTGCTCTATTTACTGCCATTTTTAACACTGTGGATATGATGTGTATTTAATGTTATTTAATTTCAAATGGGCAGAATGGTTAATTACGAAACCAACACGACAGCAGTGTCATGCAGTATCTTCTGTATTCCCAGTGATTACAACAGAATATCGTAGGAAGATAATACGTCAGTCTAATGTAGCTTATCCGCTACCCGTTGTTTTTATGATCTTACTTTTCATGGATCTCTCTTATAATTGCCAATGCTATGAACACATGCATCCAAAATCACTAGCAACTCCAAAAAGTATTTCTGTATTTGATACTTCTCAGTTTCCGGCTGCTGAATTGAAATTTCTGGGTAAAGTCTAAGCATCCACAGTTGATGCAAACTACCTGCTCCTGCCTTTAATGAAGTTCAGATAATCTAAATCAGTTAAGAAGCTCATTTCTGCATCTATCTCGACCTTGTATAATCACTTCTTTTACTTCTACCATGCACACAGCCCAGTATCTTTGACAGCATCACAGGAGTTTTCAACACAAGAAACTAAAACATTATACAAAGCAGACATAAACCAACTCTTACTTTTAGGTACCACTGCCCTGCTCACCTGTCATGTGAAAACTTTAGCTGCTGCGTTTGTTGTTCATGAGCATTAATCAGCAGTTTCTTCAGTAGTTCACACTGTTGGTTCAAGTGTAAATCACGGATCTCTTGCTCTTCAGCACTGTGCGTATTGATCATCTCGGACCACTCCTTAGTGTGCTGTGCCACAATCTCTTTGACCTGTAAAGAAATAACAGCAGCTTTTCTAGAGGTTTTCAGCTAGGCTAGGAGATCAACTAATACTGCTGATGAAGATGTAGTAAAGACAATTATAAAAGAGATTATAAAGAATGCAGCTAAATTGTGAAAAATGAAGTTACACAAATGAAGTTGCTTCACAGAGTAAGAAAGCCACTGAGGACATTACAGTGCATTACAAAAACAGATGTAAAACAACCCCTACTATTAAGACTCTATTATCTAAAGTGCCTTGAATAAATTGGCTGTGTTTATGCTCTTGACTGTATTACTGTTATTTTAAAACCCTCTTTAAGACTGAGTTCATAATAAAACAGTTTCACATTTTGGTTGCCAAGAAAAAAATAATATTTAAACTATTGAAATTAACAATGGAAAAAACAAAGCGAGCAGGATTTCTCTGAGGGCTTAAATACACTCTTTGATTTTGTGGAGACAGTTTTACAAACTTAGTCAGTTTACAGAGAAATCCTGTATTTAATACAACCTGGATCTGAAGATGGGCTACATATCTTTGTTTTATATTCATTAAGTCAGCAGGGAATCTGACAAGTATTCTTCTTCTGCTTATCTCCCAAGTCTCACAAGAATAATGAGATTAAAGTTTTGGAAAGTTCCCAAGAGACAATATGAAGAAGTCTAAATCACCAGAGTTGTTATTATAAGAATATATTGCACTCAATGATTTAGAAAAGAAGCTAAGAGAAAGATATATTTTATTATCCTTTAATAATTATCTTTGGGTGTTTTGCCAAGCTATCCTACTTTTCCATAAATGGTATACAAAATATGCCTCAAAATAAACCTATTTTCAGGTAGTCATTTCAACTGCTACTATGGTAACTAATAGCATCTGGGTCATCTTCTGTGGAAGCTAAACCTTACTGTTCAAATCAAAAATTGCTACCATGTTGCTCAGAAAGTGAGAGACCAATGCCAGTATTTTAGGTGCAGGCCCACATGATGCAGAACAGACTCTTCTGCACACACCAGTGGTAGTGAAAGAAGAGGGGACCTTCACAGCCTCAGTCTCTATTCTGCCCTGGAGAGGCTCCTCTGAAAGCCCTACTACACAAAGCTCATGTTGGGTAATAAAGCTGGACTCCTAATGGAAAAACAAACAAACAAACAAACGAGTAATTTTTTAACAGACCAGGGTGACTACCACTACCTGGAAAGCCAGACTTGCATTTAACTATAGTTAAATAATGGTCCCATATCGAAATAGACGGGATTGGAGACAGAAGCAATTGATAGAGAGCTACCTGGAGTTTTCTGCAGCTGTCAAAAAAACCAAAAGCATTTTGAGGAAGGAGATTGGTATGACTGATACAGCCCTAACTCATCAGGGTATTTAAGAGTAAGCGTACCTCCAGTAAAATGAGACATATTTATTTTTGTGCATGGCTAAGTATGCTACTAAGCCAGAGCCTGTTAACTATAAGCTGATAAATACTCTGGAAGGATGTGGAGCAGTTAGTGGGAGCGATATCTTTAATAAGATGTTCAGAAGGCAGTTCCGCTTTCAGAGCCAGAAAAACACGAGAATTCAGTTTTAAAATGGGTCAAAGTAAATGCTTGGATGCTGGTAAGGAAAAGACACTTTTCAGACAGAGGTTTAGAAATGTCAAGGGGCGCACACTCTGGCTCACCTCTGGCACCCACATAAGGCACTTATGTTAGGACTAAGTTTGGTCCAAGCTCCTTGTATTGCCAATGTGAAGAGGTGAGCAGTTTCCAAACAGGATTTATCACACCTAAACCCTGCCTGGAGATGCATCTTCTACCTACAGGGTCACAAGCAACTAGACACTTCAGTTAGGTTGCATGAATCTCCTCTCAGTAGTGACCTCACTTGGCTTATCAACCCCCAGGGAGACCTAGAGTGGACTTAACAGGAGTTAAAAGCCAGTCATGGCTGAAGTTCTTGGGAAAACCAATCCCATATTTATTTATTTATTTGCAATGCAGTTTCCAGATGGAGTCAGCTCCATCCATAATTTGGAGAAAAAAGGTACAGGTAGATCCAAAGTCCTGAGTAACTGGGTATAATTGGAGCCTCAGCAGAAGACAGATCACATACTCAGAACTTCTATGGTCACAATGTCAGAAAGTATTAATATTTAAAAATAGACAAGTGCTATTATGTGACCCTGGAAGCAGGCAGAGCCAGCAGCATATCACACCTGTGTACCACACATCTTGGCAGAGGAGACAACACATGGTTCCTTACATAGATTTGTGATTCAAATTGCCTTCCTGCAGAGAACGCTGACTGGGCTCTGCCCCCTTTAAACATCAGTTGAACCTTAGTGGGAGCCGTGACAGAGCTGGCCAAGTATTCTCTTCTGCCACTTGCTGCTCTGTGACTCTTCCATACAGTCTGCCACTTAGGACTGGGCTTCAGACTAATTTAAAGTATTAGAAAGCGCAGGGGATATTACCGTATAAGATCTGATTTTTGCTTTTATTTAAAGCCTTCTTACACTGTAGAGAAAATGCAAAATAATCTTTGCATTAAAAAAAAGAATCTGACAATAAAACAGTGGAACAAATAAGTGTATAAATAGCAGAAGCCACGGTGAAAGCAAATATTTTGTGACTTAACTACAAAGAGCATTTACAAAGCCAAACAAATGCAGAGAGACAAAGACTCAAGGGGCCATTGCACATGAATAATATGATCACTGTTTTAAAGTTGTTAGCGCTGTACGCTACAGAGGAACACGAAGGCAGGAATCCTGCATCTCAGGTCCACTGACACTAAAGAATCATAGAATATCTCGAGTTGAAAGGGACCCATAAGGATCACTGATGCCAGTTCCCAAAGAAGAAACCCACAAGGAGACTTAAGCAGGACAGGATGTAATCTGAGAAGATAGGAAGCAAGAATCCTAAAAAATCTGCCTGGACAGATGTGCTAGTTATTTCAAAATCAGCATGCAGCCTGAGAAGCAGGTACAGCTCCTCATAAAAGAAGTTTTTCTCTAGGGTTGGGAGAGAAAGTGAAGATTTCTTTTTTAAAAATATCCTACAAGCTAGAAGTCTCATTTCAGGTAGAGCAAGATATAACCTGATGAGAAGGATGTAAGGGATTTGTCAGACACCAGTTACAGGACTTGAAATACACAATTTGACTCTGATTCAAATGACCTTAGAACTCAAGACCATTAAATCATCTGAAATCCAATTTTGCTGCAGATCTGTGATACACTTCAAAGGTCAAATGCAGTAAATTCAATGTATGCCTCTGCTTTATACCAATTTATTAGCATCTTTGCACTGGTTTGTGCTCATATCCTACTTTCCACTATTAAGGTAGTGCTGCTTATCCAAAAGGATAAGAAAAAATACCATTAGCTAACTTCTCTCTTTCCAGTTCTACACACTGTGTTTGCAATCCTGTCCTTTCATCTGTTCCTACACTGGGCCTAAGAGACTAATTAAAATCTTGATAAGGAGCTTTCTTTTGCTCAACATATATGCAAGACGTTTGTTTAGTCACTAAGTTCAAGCAGGCAGAATCTTTGAAGTAATCTTTCCTTTTTTTCTTTTCATCCTCTGCCTGCTTGATATTGGGACCTACTTTTCTAATGCAGGGCAGTCATTTGCATCTGCTAGGTTAATTTTGTGTGAAGTACACCTTGGGACATTCAGATCTAATTTCAATATTTTATGTCAAACTTGGGCTGGATGTTTCCTCATGACAGGAAGACTTTTGTAAATGAAAGGTCTCTTTGGTGCTAGAAGTACATGCACATTGTGACACACAGCAGAACTGGAGGACATAAGCTGTAATTAAAGCTGAATTATGGTACAACCTGATAAAAAGTAGTGGGCCAAATGCTGTGAAATCTGGAACAACTGCTAATTAGTCAAACTCCCACTATATCAGTGTAATGCATTCAGCACCTCAGAATTTAATCTAATTTAATTGCACCTACCTTCATTTAGGAGAAAAGTAAATTTCCCTACAGTCTTGAGCACTGTTTTCCAACCTGTTGCTTGCAAACCTTTGAATCCAGGAATCATTCAAGGACCCATACACAACAATTGAAACAAAAGAAGTTTGTGAGAATACTAAAATCTGGACATTTTGATGGAACCACAGTGAGAAAGGTATCGAAAAATCACTGACCTAGAGAAAACCACAGGGGCAGATGACTTGCAGAGGAGTTCTTCAGGAATTATCCAACACATAGAGCCTTGGCATTTCAAAGGAGCTTACATTTAAGTCCCCTTTGAAAATGTCATCCTAAAACCTGACATGGGAGTGGACGAAAAATCAATCTTTCTTCCAGGTATGGATTAAATTGAAGGCAACCAGTTTGAAAGCAGGATGTTAAAAGGAAGAGAGCTCAGAAATTGCATACATTTGTGGAAAGAGAAAACATGAGACACGTTTATTGGAAGATTAATGAGTACTTGGATTTCCCTTGTGTACAAATCACACTTCTTAACTCCAGACTGTGAATGACACAGGTGAGAAGCAGAGATCACACCAAAGAATTTTCTACGTAATATAACTTCAAATGAGTTTTGGAGTGTATGTCTGGATGATAGGGAGCTAGTGCTCCTCAGAGAGTTTATATCAGTAAGAAATGAAAGAATTATCTTTTTTTTTTTAAGTTGTCAACAAATTTGCTTTTAAGGAAACCATTCTGGGATTTTCATAGGAGAAGTAGATAGGTAGATAAGACAGTAGTACACTAGGTTTTATTCCTGGGGCTTTTCCTACATCTTTGGCAGAGCAGGTAGCAACAAGACAGAAACCTTGTTTAGAAAACCAAGATCTTATCCTCATGAAATAATATCACCAAAGAATAAAAATAGCAGAAGAAAAGATGGAAATTATTTTTTTCTAGTCTCAAAGATGTGGCTGCTTTTTTTTGTATTTTCTACACTTGTCTGATTTTTTTTTCACAGGTTTCCACTTTTATGGTAATTCTCCTGTACTGTGGTCAGTCTCCTGTATGCTTATCCCTCCAGACTATTTTGTACGTGGATGCGTCTTCTAGCATACCTGCCACCTTCTACTTTGGATACCTTTCAGAAACCTGAAAGCACATCAACAGGTGGCAGATAAATCTTTCAGAGGAAACAAAGTTGGTGAGCATAGTGATATAGAAGTATAGAGGAAGCAACTCTAAGCAGCTCAGTGTGAGCCATGAAACACAGCTGGATACCAGCTTTTTCAAATTAACTGAGGTTGAGTCTCAGAGCACTTTTATTCTCCAGCACCTTGAAGAAAACAATGCAAGTAAGTAATGGAGGAAAAAAATATTAGAAAAATGATGGCACTTTGTTCAAGAGCAACTTGGACTCCTCCTTCCCTAAGAGACAGACTAGCAAGTGTTGTCCATGGTGACAATAAGGGAAAATGAAAAATAAACTTCTTTATGTATATATTTTCAGAAAGTAATTAGCATCCAAATTTCTTACACAATATATTCATCTCTTTGTTTAGCTAGAACTGACACAAATGACCACTTCAGTTTCACGAGGCATGAATAGGGCACTTTCTTAAATAATTTTTAAAAGGGCAGGAAATTGATGTTGCTTTTTAAAATTTTTTTAAGAAACACTTTTAGACACTCAATTACTCCCATTCTTTTCAACATGTTATTATTGCTGAAAATCATTCATATGCTTCCAAGAAAATTAACTACCACTTGGGTCTCCAAATCTGTCTTTCAGATGTTGCATATGTTAAAACTGGCTGTTTGCTTACCTTAGATTTGTGATCTGATGTTAGTGTTTGAATTTTAATTTCCGTTTCTTTCTTCAATTCAAGACAGTTACTTCCTCTAAAAAAAGGAAAATTACAAATGTGTGCCACAAGTTAAACATCTTCCCATTCAGTCAGCTTTTACTAATTAAAATGTTAATCAAAGTTGAAGTGCTGCAGCGTATTGGAATGAAATTATTTCTTCTGGCAATTTATTCACAACTTACAAAATATTGTTGGATTAATGATCATTCAATTCAAACACCACACAATTAATTCTAGATTGGGCCAGCAATTATTCTGTTGCTGATGATATGTCGAGTGCCTCCATTTATGATACTTGGTTCGTTTTCCAGGCTTAAAATACCTTGCCCAGAGAAACCAGTTTCTGCCTGAAAACTTACAGACTTATTCACTGCCTTGCCATGATTTTATCCTGTGTTTGCAAAGTAATTTTTCCTAGTATTTTTTTAGTTTGAGACAGGGAGAAAGAAGTAATTTGACTGACTACCTCACAGGGCAATTACTTGGGCTGTGCACTGGGTGGGACAGATGTACAGAAAAACTATTCCATTGCAGCTACAATAGAAATTTCAATTACTGTCTCACCAAAGTCACTATATTTTTGAGGGCTGACAAGCTCCAACTTTACCAATCTTCTTGTTCTCTTTTTTTTTTTTTTGCAGTGAAGGTTTTTACAACAGAATACAAATTCACACATTGGAAGTCTCTGGTTTTTTGTTGGAATACTACAATATTGAGAGGAGTCTATTTTAATGTAACTGTGATATTTCAGTGTTGGATCATCCACTGATGTAAAATGCTGTAACTCCAGTGAGTGGATGTAGCCACATTCATTTTAGCATCTGAAGCTGGCCCTAATAAGAATGGTTATTGCTTGACAGCACTAACATTAATCCATGTTTGCTCTAGAAAAGGAGATTTGTGAAACTCTTAACAAGTTTAAATCCTATTTTAATATCAAAGTACTGCTAAACTTCTGGAAATTAGCAGAAAATTTTATCATCAAACAGGCCCAGAAAAGCCCTTACTGAAAACAGTAGTGTAATGTGCCTTGTGTTCCCAAGGGCCACCAGAAGGACCAGTCATTTATTTTCTAGCCATAGCAAGGGAATTTTTGTAAAGATTTCTAGCACTCATTTGACACTCTGGAAGTAATATAGAGACAGGTTCTGACCACTGTTACCTCCACCTGAAAAAAAAGACAGCTGGAAAGAAACGGTCTTTGATTATACATGTGGGTAGCTGCGATCAGAGTCCGGCTGTAATTCATATGATATACACTATGAAAGAGACTGCTTCTTAGGTGAATCAAACATAGAATCCCAAATTAGTCTAATTGGTTCAAACACTGAACTTCTCAGAATCTCAGACATCAAAACTACCAGCTGATCCCTTCTCTGGAAATGCAGCTTTCACTGTAGCTCAAGGCAATTTCCAGTCAGGCTGGACATAATGAGAAATCTCCCCAGCTGCAGTGGCATAGTCCATGGTTAAGCCATTGAGCCACAGTTGGGAACAAATACCCAGGGACAGCCCGACCCAGTGTCACTTGTCCATGCTTATGCATACACATACACTTGAATTTGTGGACAGTTCTGATAAATCAGAAGGATCTTTATGTGCCCTTAACTCCATTTCAGAGTGGGAACATGAGCATACGTATCCCCATAAGCCTCTCTGAGATTTGTAAGCATTTGAAATGTACAACAGAAATAGCACTGGGAGTGAAATCCTATCCATCTGTCAGTGAATTAGCATGTGATTTAAAAATTCTGCTTTGCAGAACAATATGCAGTTGACATTTGTCACACCATGTGGCAGAAATGGACCACGAAAAACTGCACAACAAAATCAGAAAATAAAGTCTTCTACAAACCTATCAAAAAGCCTTTTTTTAGGAAGTATCTGACAATTTCAATATGAATGCCTTGAAAACACATTTTATACGTTCTTTTACAACTTTTATTACTTGTAAAAGTTCCAAAATTATAGCCAGGGAAATGGAGCATGTCCTGTACCCACTGAACCCAGGACCCCTTATTCATCAGATCATTTCAGTTCAATAAAGTCTTCAAGTCTCAACCAATGTGTTCACTTTTAAGCATGTCCTTAAATATACTTCACAGTGGGGGTGAAGACAAGTGTGTGCATAAATACCTTGCTGAACAGGCCTTCAGGGCTGCATACACAATGACCCTGAAGGGAAGCCCTTAAATCACTTCGATACAGAATTAAAAAGTGTTTTAACAGAAATTCTGTGCTGATACTGGATTTGCCTGTTAATTAGATACCAATAATTATTCTTGTAACACTGAAGAGCCATCAGATGACTGAGAGCTCTGGAGTCCATAAAAACTATGGAGTCCAGGCAAGGAATAGTGTTTGGCTGTGTGCTGGATCTGCTTGTGGAGTAGTCATTTCCAACTTTTTACATTTTAACTTTTTATGATAATTTAAACCTATCACAAAGGCTTTGGCATCCATGGGCTAAGTGTTATAAAATTAAGAAAAGACACTGCAAGTAGCCAGTGAAGTGATCTCAATCTGGGAATCAAATTATCAACTACTTTTATACTTGTCCCACTTGGGATTTCTCTGGAAAGCACTATTACCCAGTGCTTTCCACTATGTACTGCACAGACACAGCCATTACCATCTTTAACTTTCTGACAGCCCTTCATTTCCTGTTTTGCCTAGACAGACAGAGGCACAGGCTTTTTCTCAGGCCAACAGGAATATTGATCCATGACTCCTCTGATAACGAGATTCTTCAATACCAGAGCATAGGGAGGCCTTTCTCCCCTCAGAATAATTATGGTGCAATGTCCAGGGCTTAACTCCCTGCCACTGTAGTAAATACCCTCACTGTAATTATAAATCCAGCTATATTAATAACCTTCTGCTGTGTTATAGTCAATGGAAAAATGAATCAAAGCCACATTAAATTCATTAGTCCTGTAATTGTTCCCTCTCTGTTTGGAGTAGTAGTAATTTTTTGGAAGAAACTACATGGATTAGAAGTATTTGTGTGCTTACAGTTCCCCCTTCTTGAACAGAATAATCCAACATGAGCTTTTTAAAGCGTTTGTGAGCTTTAAGTATTGTAGTGAGAATTTTCCTTACCTTGTTTACTTCTGACAGCTCTATTTCTGTTCCATTGCAAGTTTATAACATGCACACTCAAAAAACACTGCCATTCCAAATAATTTATAAAACAAAAAGTATTTGTATAAGAATCCAATGCCAAAGAGGCATCTATGCTCAGTATTCAGTGAGCTGGTTGCCAGTTGTTGCCAAATGAAAACAATATGAAATTTAGGGTAACTATTAGCATAGCTGGATATAGAAATAAAAAAAAAAGTAATTGCTGCTTTAGGTCATAGTATTACAGTATAAACCATCGTCTCAATGAAATGCCGACAAGTGGGTTAGAGGTAGAGAGCAGAAACTGCTGCCAGATTAACACAGTAGCAGCAAAACAACAGCAGGTCTTGCTACATAATTCCAAATGGGACTGTAAGAGGGACATTTCATTAGTCACCAGTATCTTCTAGTAACTTTAAGGGGAGATTTTAAGAGATTCACACAAATAACATCCCAGGTCATCAGCTAATGCAAACCGAAACAGATTCACTCATGTCAAAGGAGTAATACTGATTTATCCCATTTGACGATGTGAATGGTTGTTCTGTTAAAAAGAAACTTCAACTTGACAGCACAGGAAAACTCTAAAACATTCAGGATTTAGAAGCCAGCTTTTTCCCCAAAATCAAATCATTGCTGCTTTTTGTTCATTAGAGCTATTGAGGACCTTAGTCTGCTCTCACTGCACACAACAGTGACATTCCCTGGGGAATGCAGTGAGACCAGATCAACTGCAGAAATAAAAATTTGAGGCAGCTCCTACACTTTTACTTTTAAAACCCTGATAGTAGAAGACTGGAGAAAGACAAAGTGAGTACAACATTTATGGCCTGTTGCTAGAGCCTTCAAGCAGCTCACGCTCAGTTTGACATAGGATGCTGGTTCAAGCTGCAATTCATTAATGTGAATAACCTTTTTATGAATGTTTTATTCCAGACCACAAAAGCATGAAATCTATTTTAAGTCTAAAAAAAATATTTTAAAATCATATCTTACCCCTTCTTCTTGATTGCCTTCTCTAACATTTTCTCGTATGATCCCTTTTCTTTATCATATTGTGCCACTATTTTGTCAATTTGTGTGCAGTGCAACTTCTGCATAGCGCTGTGCTCCTGGAAAACAGTAGGACCTTAAAATTAGGTTGCTGGATTTTTAATGTTTAGTTTTCTTACAGTGTAAAAATATCAGTGTACAAATGGATAATTTTGATAATGGAATTTAATCTGGTTTAGCTATCTAGTATTAAAGGTTCCAGATACTCCACCATAAGCACTAAAACATTTCTTCTTTGTTTGAAAAATGAAAATCTGTAGCAGACCTTAAAAATATAGTATACCTTAAACCAAAAGAATGATGGGGAAAACTTCCTTTTTTTTTGAATAAATATCCATTTAAGTGCAATGTAAGAAATCCAATTTACAAGCTCAGATCGTATCATTCAAAGTTTCTGAATGCAGAAGACAACAAAACTCATCCTAGTCCCCCTTTCCTCTACCTATCTCATACCGAATCCAGAGTTAGCCCCCTTGGCGACTGCAAATCAAATAGCTCAAAGTCCAAACATTAGCTAAAAGTCATATCATTAACAACTGACATTATGAAGATCTGGCTGCAACCCTTAATGACAGCAACAACCTTATCAGTAAGAAACTGCACCTTGTTACAGAGCATCTCCCCTTACAAGCAATAGGAAGTTGTGTAGTAAGACTTTCAACTACACATGCAGACTGGAAATAACCACTGCCCCCTTTCCTCCCCCCCAAATAATCCAGCACATACTGGTAAATTGGATATATGAGGCTACTGTGGAGCATTAGACATCAATGCTAACCTGCTGTCACTACTATAGTTATGTGGCTTACACTGGTGAAGTGGCAGTTATCTATGGAAGGGGAGGAAAAATCTATGATGAAAAGATGAATCACTAATGCATGTTACACAGTTGGGTCTATCATACAGTTCCTTTCCATTACAAGACTGTACCAGAAACAACACACTTTACTTAGTGCTTACATGTAGACTTCATTATTGAACTTGACTTCATATTCATGTTTATCAGACATGATGCAAATATATAACTACCAAGGAGAGCACTAACTGTTGAATTTACATTACAATAGGAAAAACAGTTGTTCATTAATTTACATTATTTTATTAATATCCAATTGCTCCACATTTTATCTAACCATAAAAAAAATATGGCCTTTTCCAGGACTTTATCTCTCTTTTGTTTTATAGCTCACTTTGCATTTATTCTACCCTCACTACTCTACTGCTCTTTGTTACTATTTTCTATACACTTGTGTTTGCCTTATCACTGTTTCTTACTCTAAAAATATTAATTAAAAACTTCTACATTCATTATTACAGAAACATTAACACAAATATTGCAATGCTTTTAAAAATCTAGCCCTGGGCTGTACCTGAGCACTCCAACATCTGTCAGACACTTCCCTGGGGAATGAGTACAGCTTCCAAATTCTCTATTTAGAGTGGGGAACTGAATTTTCCGTTCTACAGAGGATTTACAGTGAAACAAATAGACTTCATCAACATCAAAACATGCCAGCTTCACCAGGGAGTATTTACACTGACCAACCAGGTAAAAAAAAATATGGACAGTGAGGAGAATGACATTAGCTTGACAGCACCAGCCAGGCACAGGTCAAGTGACTGAGAGTACCTCTCAAACTACCCGCGCTCCCCTAGATGAACAGAACAAAACAATTCTTGTTATAAAAGACTAAGTGCAAACATTGCAAAGTACAAGATACTGGCCCACTCAGGTGACACTCCATAACCTGGGAGGGCACATCACGTAGAGCTAGAATCCCTGCTTTTCCCTCAGGACAGCCAAGATTCAAGCCTTTTCTCTCTATCACAAACCCACGGTAATCTTTTGCACTCCCCTCTACTGCTATGTATTGTTCATGCACAACTCTATCTTGTATCTGAAACAGATAAATTGTAGACCATATTCCCGTCATTACCTTCCCTGGTCCTCCTCCCCATCCAGTTCAAGGAACATACATTTGTTTATGCACAATATAAACAGAGCTGGAGGAGTAAGATGGGCTACTAATAACCTCCACATGTAAGACCCAAAGAGTACTAGCAGTCAACTCCCTACCAGAGTTCCTTGAATTATATTGCCTTCAACCCCTAGAACACTATTTAAAATGAACTAGCTGGTCTGAGTTTGATTTTCTGTCTACGCTCAAAAGAAAATTCATCACAGCTAGATGCTGCATCCTAAACTTCTGTCAAGGTTCTGAGAAATATGAGTGACTCCGTAGCATCTGAAAACACTCTCTATATTTTGTTTTCAGATGCAACAAAATTTCAGCTGGTAATGTGTTCTAGATTTATTCAGAATATGTTTGCAGATAAAAGTCTTCTCAGTTAAGTCTCTCATGATTTCCCTAAGTCTACTGAATTTGCAGCTTGAATTCACATGTTTTTTACATGAATATATTCACAAATTACATTAATGATTATATTACAAACTGAAGCCACAGTTCAGCCAAGGTTCTGAGAGGTCACCTAATTGATATAAAAAAACCTCAAATCACAGCAAGACTATCCATCAGAAAAAAAGTAAAGAATCACATATAGTTTCATTGCAGGGGAGGGGGATCACAATTCAGTCTACTGAAGAGAAAAGGAAATAAGTTACTGTTATTCCTGCCTGGTATCTCCCTAAAGCAACACAAATTATCCTGTGTACAACTGAAAACTGAAGTCTGGAGGATTCTCAGTACAGAATACAAAACTGAGGAAATAAAAGAAACTATTATCTCCAAATGAACAATCCATTTTGCAGAATCTAGAATTCTATAGACATACTGTTTGCTTTTGCATTGTGAGATGGAGATTTTTTTTTAAATGTTCTTTTTTTACTAGGCTTTACTTCAAAGTAAAATAAATGCACAGGAAATGAATTCTGGGATTTATATTTTTGGGTGGCAATTATGCAATTCTGGTTACTGTCTATGGTTGTATGAAACTCCTTAAGGGGGCACTTGTGACTATGACTGTCTTGCCTGAAACCGCTAGAACTGTATACCACAATCATCTGTTGTGCTGTTGACTGGTAGAGAATATATCAAGATAATCCCTCACTATGCTTCCTCTTCTGTCTAACCCAAGAAGCACAAAAACTACATGACATCCCTGCAAAATATTAAAATTCAGTAGTGGCCCACTGTTAGCCACTGCTAACAGAGGAAATCAGTGACTGAGGCCCTCAGATATGCGCATCTCCTTGCCTTCATACCCCATCTTCCTGTGATGCCGCCCCAGACCATCTGAAAAGCTACACTGCGTTCTCATGGTGACCTGTCTCATTCCAGATTCAAAAAGCCCTGTTAGGTGAAACTAGTCCACAATGCAAGTAAATGGACTGAGGTTTGGGTCATGTTCTTTCCTCAAAAGAGCAATCATCTGTTCTTTCACAATTCCAACAGTAGCGCAATGCTACCTCAGTCATACTCATGCAGACACACCTTTTCAGAGACTAAACCAGCCCGGCAAATATTCACTCTCCCCCCTTCAACGCTCTCTTTCTTCATAGCCAGGCCACAAACTAAGCAGAGGGTTGGGTCTGAAAGCTACAGGCAACAGCTCTGTTGCAGAACTGAATGGGCTCTTCTGAAGTGGAGGAACTATACTTGCACACTGACACTGAAACTAAACTTGCTGTGAAATATTAACCCTTTCCAGTATTCACTACAGTTTGTCCTGCCTTTAATTTCTGTGTTCTCTTACAATCCTTTAAGATTTCTTCCAAAGCGTTGTCCTGCCTTTGCACAGCTTTATAATATGTACCTCTGACATGATTCTCAATACTGAGTAAAAACTCAGCTCTTAACTATTCATAGACTTTGTGAAACCCAAAATTCGGCAATTTTTTGCAAGCCACTAATCTGACATTAGGGAATGGGCAAATTTAATTTTATCAGTCACAGACTGGCTGCCTAGTAATGGTAATACTAAGAACAGTGGATTTCCTGCCAATCTAATGGTCTATTTAGACTAGATGTCTTATTTTTCCTATACAAAAGTGAAAAAAGGAACAGTGAAGATTGTACCTCCACCGGCTCAAACATCCTTCTCCTAAAAAAACAGATTAATAACAACACTATTATAAAGTAAAGTCACAGTATGTGATGTGTCTGTGTGTGTACTGGGTATTACAGTTGTAAAGAGCTATGCCACGTGGGAAAAACAAATTAGTGATAATATGCAGAGAGATGTTAGGAGAATCTTATTGTGCCACTGGAGTCAAAATGGCTGAAAACCTGAAAGTAAACAAAAAGAAAGACAGCATCCAAAAAATACTATGAGAAAACTGAGACTGAAATGTTTTCATATAGAATAACCAACCTCCGCCAGCCAGCATTACAGTACAGCTGCTAATACTTCTCTTCATTAAGTGGATGCTGTCAGTAAAAGCGACTCTTACTGCTGTCATCCTCCTTCGCTAGCTCTGCCCAGGGCTACCAGATTAGCTCCTACACTGCTCAGATCAGACCGCCTTCCTCTCAACCTTTTCTCTCTTCCACACTTGCATGCATTCATTTTCCATGACCCTTTTTCCAAGGCCAAGTTTAGATTGAAAAGTACTGGACTTTTCTTTCCTTAAACAACATGAACAATTCCCTTCTGTTTACTTATTCCACCAGGTCTCTGAGTGTCTATGGTTAAATGAGAGCCAATCTATTTCTGGAAGTTTTAAGTTCGGTAACTAAGTGCATAGCTCTCCAGCTCCATCACAGCTGATAAAATGGAAGAAACACAGTGATGAGTATACCAAGCACTTCCCTAAGATCATCTGTGAGCTAATAAAGTCACACTTTTCTGCTCAGACTTTCCTTTTCAAATTCAAGAAGTTGCCCTTACTGGAGCCTTTAGCAAGGCATGCTCTACACAGGCACTTTCTTGTTAGGACAGACTTGCACTCTGTACTTAAGACCAGCAGGACACAGGCTGGCTCAGACCTAAAATAGCTGTGCTTGAGCTAATACTGAAAGCCCTTCTGAGTGCACAGCATTTTCAGATTGTGGCTGGCAATTCCTCCCTCAGATTAGAGGAAGCAAGTGCAAGCCTGAACAGATGGATCAATTTTTTAACATTAGCAAGTGCAGTCTTGGCTAAGATATCCTTACACTACTCAGGGTTACGTATATCAAGAACATAGATCATTGAGTATAGCTGTTTTCTACGTAACCATGGTACCATTTTCATTTGCAAAAAGTTGCTACAGGAAACTGCTGGATGTTGCCCAGTGAATGAGAAAGTAGTGTTTAAAAATAAGTAGCCCCCTAAATGATTAACCTTATGAAGGTCTAGAAACTGTCCATGCCCAGAAGTGTAGATGACAGACACTTTTTCTTCAGCATAGGCTTCACAGACAACACTAAAATGGAGAAATTATTAATTTCCCTTCTGCACAGAGCCAAGTAAGGAGTCTGAAATGTAACTACTTTATTTTCTTATACTACTTTTAATACTGAGACCCACAAAAGTGCCAATTACTGAAGTAATTTCTTCATACTTCATTGTACAGAATCCCACGCCAAAACAACAGTCATGATAATAAACACAAAGACTGATATTAAAAATGCCCAGGCAACCACATTATGTCAGGTCTGCAATGAAATCTACTATCAAAGAGAGGAAGGGAATAATTGTCCCAAAACCCCCCAAAATAATGGATTTATACATATTGCCAAAACTCAGAATTTAAGATGCTTTATTCACTTGTTACGCCTCTGTGTAACAAGAGAGTAAAGTCTTTCTAGTGATGAAGGGCAGGAGAAAACTGGCTGTGATTTTCTGATGTAAATTATATTTGTGATAGTGTTGTATGTATTTGGGACATCACTGCCAACAGTACCAAGTAAAAAGCTGAATATAAAGTGGTTAAAATAGATGTAAGCGACGAGGAACATTTCATTTAATTTTTCAGATCCATATTCCAGTTCTCTCCGGCGATTCTGCAGTTTCTCCAGTGCCTGTCTTTGCTGCAGCACCCTCTCACATCATTGCTGCCTTTTGTTCCAAGCTACCTGTCAATATGTCATACAAGAGGAAGCTAGATAAAATCATTACCTGAAAAAGGTGAGGTTTGGATGCATATATAGGTTAAACCAATGTGCACTGAAACTCACGGAGACATACAAAGGGTTGCTAAAGGGAATATTTGCTCACTGGAGCATATTTCAGTACATTTAAAACATATACGCCTTTCCTGGTGGTCCAAATACTGTTCCTCAGTTTTTCCTTACAATTTAATTAGGAGCAGTCTGTACTAGTGAGTGCTGCAACTTTTTTCAATTAGAGTGTGTTGCTCAGAGTCCTTAATGATCATACCTTTGCATGTTTCTTCTTTAAGGCATTGAGTTCTTTCTGCTGTTTCTTTAAATGCTTTATATAAGCCTACAAAAAGAGAAGTTGGATCAATTTTTCTGTGGTCAAATTGACTTTAACCAGATAAAACCCCAGCTACTTAACACATGTTGAAAAGCTTGTGTCCATACTCACCTTCATTTGCTTTAAATCTTCTATTTTCACTTGAGGAATAAGGTCTATACCTAGGAAGGTATTGATACAGTTTATCTAAGACTTCATACACACTAGTATATCTCATACTTTCAAATTTGAGTTTTAACACAGATATCCACACTTAAATTAGCAATTAATTAATGTTTTTCACCACATTAAAAAATAATTGCAGGTTAATGAGAAAATTATTCATCAAGATATAGCTAAGATACAGTTAATTTCCTTTTCAAATGCACTACTCAATCAATTGCCTTGTGAACAAAGAAATGAATCAATGAGTGATTTTAATTTCTTACAGTTCTGGACTGAAGTGTCAAAACACAGCCATCTAAGAACTGAAAAAGCTCCTTTTCTGAAAACACAGCAAACCATTTATGTACATTAAAATTGAACCACGCAAAACTTCAGAATTTTGGTCCATAGCTGGAGATCGCTCTGGCACCGCTTGCTTTAGGAGGGAAGCTTCTTGGGTAAGGTTCTGCACGACTACATAAAGGGTTAACTGAGGTTAGGTATACTTCCCCTAGTTCTAAAACACAAAAATCATAGGAGTGAAAATTCACCTGCAGCTTTGATGTTAATGGAGGTAAAATTTGCTTTTTGGTTAATAGCAGGCTATAAGAAAAGGAGCAGTAAAAATGGAGGAGAAACACAAAATCATAAGAATTCAAAATTCTAGTGAAAATTCAATACAACAAAGCCAATCTATCATAAAAACCAGTACTATTTAGATGAATGAAAATATACTTTGATCACCCTAGCTGCAGTGCAAACAAAACCCAATCTCATTTCATGTTTATACTTTAATAAATGTTTTGTGACATATTATGATTTTTTTTTAAATGACTAAGCACATCCTGCATGTAATCATTAATAAAAATGTCAATACAATGCCATGAGAGTTGTAACGTGTAGGTTTTTTCTGAGGTTTTACACAAAAATTCAATTCTACATAAATACACTGCAAACTTATTTAGTTAACTGCTCTTAATAGTGTCTGTGGACTACAAGATTCCCCCTGCCTTGAAAAGGACTTTATGCCTTTTAAATGAATTTAACTGAAAAATATTCAGATGCTGTAAAAGAAAAAAAAAAGGTGGGGGTGAGGGGTGGAGGTAGGCAGGTGATCTCCTTAGGGAACACAAATTTTTTATTTTCTTAAAAGCATAAGATTCTGCTCAATTACATGGTATTAATGTTAGACTAGTAAATGAGACTGAAAGAGATTAAGGCATGGATAGAACCTGAAGTTTCCAAAAACACAAATCACTTAACTACTGCTGAAAGTCAGAGAACAAAACCCCAACAGTCATGAGCATTTGAAAGCCTTCTCCAGACACCCTATCTTGCTGGATATGTAGTTTCTACTAGCAAGGGGAGTTGTATATCGTAACAACATTAGAATCATTCAGATCTTAAAAGATCACAGAGATAAGTAATACAAAATAAGGATTGTTACATAGGATATAAAAATGAACAGCTCTACTTCAACATGAAACAATATGGATAAAAATGGTTGCAGACAAGAATGCGGAAGTACTGAAGTCTCAGTTGAAGACCAGGGCTGTGTTCTAAACAAACTTCCTCAGGATTTTATTTAAAAACACAGACTCGTTTACTTTTTTCACCAGGTCTGCCTCCATGGCAACCAGAAATTACATTGCCAACCCCGGCAAATTTCATGCTTAATTAATGCACAATAAAACTAATACTTGTGCATCTTGGTGATGATACATGAAATATGAAAACACCTCACTGCATAAAATAATCTGGGTTTTACACCAGGGAAGAACTTTGAAAGAGCTCAGGTGCCAGAGATGACCTGTTTTATTGCCAAAAGTGACTCCAAAAAAATGGCATCTTGTTTCTCAAGAGATCCCTTCACAGGTGTGTATTCAACCACATCTGCTTTAGTTTAAGAACAAAAGCAGTTAAGTGCTCCTTTTCACTCCTATCAATCCCTCTGGGCCAAGGTGGATGAAAAAGAATGAACCAGATTATAATTATTGTGGCCCATTAACAGAAGTATTTATTGTGTTTCATTCAGCTGTACAAATTTGTTTTCTCCCTTAATCTTCATTACCTGTGATGATATGTGAGAAAACAAATAATCCCATTTGACTCTGTAAGATGATTTTGTAAAGTGAATGGTAAGTAGTGTGGAAAAAAATACTTATTCATTTATAAATGAGCACATTTAATATGGATATTTTTTACAATAAACATGCCATTTCCATAATCACTGTTCAGAGTAAAACCACACATTGAAAACATTTCTAATTGTTGGGAATTCTCTACAGAATACAATTAATTCTAAATGCCTTTAAATACTTATATCTGCAACTCTGCCAAGGGATTTGTAGAGGGAGAAAAAGAAAAGCAGAACAGTTTCTGTGGAGTATACCAGGAAATAGTTATTCCTATTGGCATTCCTCAGGTAGATCTTCAGTAAACTACTCCCAGAGTCATGCAGGTTACTACGATAGGCAGTAGGTACACAGCTACACAGAAGTCACTTAGTAAAATAAAGCTGTATTGGCTTTATACAGCTATTTTATTAATATACAGAATTTATTTGCAATTAGACAAAGACAATTCTCAACAGGAAAAGAGGTTACCTTATAAAAGGGTAAGAATGAAAAGAACTGAGAAAACTAAAATTGAGTAATGAGTACTTTTCTGTGATTTTCTGAAGCACTTCAGAACTGAGGGAGTGGCATGTGATTTCTGTCTACCTTTCTTAGCGTCGGTGCCAGATCCACAGCCCGCGGTGGTACTTGGTCGAAGTTCAGAGCTGCTCTGAGGTGTTACGTTGGCTTTGGCATTATTGGCTTTTCCTTTTCTATCATTCTTTGAAGTGTCATTTGGTACATCAGCTATATCACTCTGAAGGAAACATTCACATCATAATAAATTAAAAGTTGGGTATGGGAAATATCTGAACTTGCTTACTTTACACATAATTAAAAAAATTGCAACATACTTTCAAACAACACTATACTCAGAAAAGTATTTGTAACCTATTGTAAAAGGCTACCTACTAAAATATGGCTCCTTTCCCTTTTCCTAAAATTTCTAAGGGATGTGTTAGTATGATCCATGGAAAATCAGATAGTGAATGGTATTTCAGTACATGTTAACTAACAAGCCAATGTATTTCAGAGCAGGACAGCGAGGCTTATATTTCAAAATGAGAGATGATAAGGAAACATGCGTTGATTGGAGGACTAGTTTAAAAAAATAACACAGCATGGATGTAAACGGACTGTGTTTGTCATTAGACTTACAGTTTCGATACCCATAGCTCTCATTTGGTCTGCTCTTTTTTCTGTGATAGACAAAAATTTCTTTGGATCTGATAAAGCATCCACAATATCTGCAAGACAAAAAATAATCAACTTTTTATGATCGTCAGAGGCATTTGCAAATTAATCTTTTACAAGAGCTTTACCAACCCTGTTGTTACAACCCCTGTTGTTATGAGCCATGACTTGCAGCAATAGTCCAACTTTCCATAGTGAACTCAGCAGGACTAAAAGCACTCATCACCACAGCGCTTGAACACACTCAGAACATGACAGTTTATAAATGCATCAAGGGAATGGTGTTCATCCAGGTACCTTATTTAGGGAAAACACAGTGACTCTATCAGACCAAAGTGACCCTAACTTACTCCCATTTGATGGCACTAGAATTTGAGACCAGAATGGGCTGTTCTGAGCCACAAAGCACTAACAACTTTGTCTCTTGGTTATTCGAGGGGGTGCTGACTGACTAGGGACTGCAGGGAATTGTAGAAAATGCTGTTATATTTCCTAGCTAAATAGCAGTTTTAGATGGGTGGTTAAAGCAATTGGGGGAAATCTGTTCTCACTCCTCTTTGTGATGCTCCGTTTGTGAAACAGCTTTTCTGTGAATCATAATGACCAGTATTTGAATCTTGCACATGACGCAGTACCACTAGTGGTATCACTGCACTACTCAGCACTGGATACCGTATAGATCATTTAATCTCTTTTTCATATGCAGTGATAAATGTCCGAGCATAGGTTTACAGGAAGACAAAGACACATGAATCTTTACCTGCATATTGAATAATCCTTTTTTTGTGTTAATTTCAACAGAGAATTCACAAATGGAAAAATTACAAATTAAACTGATTCAGCTCCTACAATAATAATGTTTCCAGAGACCACAGCAGTGATTTGTTTTGATGATCCCTCAGAAACTTTAACCTTAGTATTATGGAGAAAACGGGCCACTGGTCTCAGTTAATAAGCCTTCCTTGTCAGAGCAGTAACTTAAAAAAGGAAGTCTGAATGCTGCAGCCCGACTGGCTCATCATTCACTACAAAATATTGTCATTTAATTAACTCAGATTTTTTGTCGTGACTGTTAGCAGGACTATGAACTTCACTTACGAGGAAGCTGCTTCTTTGCAGAATGCTGCAAAGCCCTATTTTCACCTGCTTACAAGTAAAAGACAAATACTTTGCAGCCTTATATTCTAGATGGTTTTGCTAGCATAACAGGCCATCATTTCTGCAATGACAGTTCTCACATTCTTGGTTTTCATCATCATTTGAATTTTGCCCATGTTTTATGTCATCTCCTCAGCCACTTTCCAAGTTAGCTTCCAATGATGCAAGACAAAAGCTGGTCCACTGACCAAAAGCTCTGGGAAGAAACTTGCTATCCTTCTTGTGCAAACTAGAGGCTGGACTATATCAACTCCCTTCCAACCTAAGCTGTTCTACAAAATGTTCCTCTGAAGTCACCAGACCCATTTCTCAAGCAAAAACACCAGACAGGGTTCCCACTCCAAAAAAAGTTATATTAAATACACAGCATTACCCTTGACAGGTCTGTTTATCTACACAAATATGTTGTCTCTAGTAAGTGTCATGACTCAACATTGTCTTCTGAAACTTACTTCATATACACAAAAACCATGTAGAACTTATTTTCAGCCTTGTGGCTCAGCACTGACTGTCCTCCTTCCCTAACTTAGCAAGCATGTCTGTTTGTCCTTGGCATGCGCTCTTCAGTGAAAATCCAGGACTACTCTGTCAAGTTGATGCGTCATTTGAAAATAGAACCTGATTATCACAAGCTTCAAGGTAAGAATGACTAACATGTTTGGGAAAGCTAGACCTTTGTAAATTGTATTACTAACCACACAAGCACATCACCAAAGGCTCAGCATTTCTACGAGGGAGATGTGACTCATCGCTGCTTCTCACATTGTCATTTGTCCTCTGCTTACGTTTTTCTTTCTCCCCAGTGAGGTAAGGTGGGGGTGGGGAACAGCATTTTGTAGAATTGCAATTAAATATAAAACTAGGAAAATCACTGGAAGAGTACATTAGAGGACTCTAGCCACTAACCTAACTAGCCATGCTACTTACGTACAAACTTCTATTATAGAAGCTTCTCTTCGGAGAACACTACTTCATTTGCATTAATTTGCACCAGTATTGTGTTTTATTGGGAACAGAGTAGCTGATGCAAATAAACTACAAGAAATTACTAAGTTATATGAAAAACAAAATTATGCATCTTTTAAAGCCTACAATACATTACCCATTCTAGTTATTATTCGGTGCAAGTTTTTAAATCTTACTCATACAGGTTAAAAAAAAAAAGAAATAAGAAAGTAGGCAGCTATTGAATTGAGCTATACCTTCCTACAGGTTTGCTCAAGCAACCCCAGAGATCCTAATGATAGCTCATAAATCAATGAGAGGTTCACTGCGGATGATAAGTAATTAAAAAACACATGCCAACAGCATACTAATGATTCCACCCAAGTGTCAGAAGTTATTTCCCCGTTGTTCATCATGCTGTTGTTCTATATTGATAAGAAAAATACCTGAGACACATCAGAACTGTCTGGGAAGGGAAAAGGGAACTAACAGTTGAACTTACTCAGTTCATATTAATAGGGGGTCTGTTTTTCCCAACACTGACAGTAAGCTGTAACAACCAGTTCTCTCATTCTAGTAGCATTTTACTCTAATGATACTGTTACTTAGGGATAGTAAAGTTTTTCTATGTTCTTACCTCAACCAGATAAAGAGTCTGTAGAAATGCTGATAATGCAGTATCAACCAGTACTGAACTGCACGCAACTTGCAAGTTCTAAACTGGTGTTCGTATTCTCTTTGAAAAGCAAGTCTTTCACTTCTGAATTTGTATAATGCAGTTTAAAAAAGAAAACAAAAACATATTTTCTCTCTATGTGACCAGCACGCTAGCAGCTTGAGCCACATCAAACTCTGCTAAATTTAAATTCTATTCTTAGAAAAAGCATGTTATCAGTCAGAAAAACATCAATCCCAAATCAGAAGCATGTCCCTAGTTTAGAAAACATTTTAATGGAGTAATTTACTGTCAAAAGCTTAGTTTGATGACAGAATTAACGCACATGCTTAAATGTGTCCCTTACATTCATGGTTCAATTACTGCCTCGAGAAGCTCAAGCTTAAGCAGAAGCTTACATTTCTCTTGAGAAAAAGTCCCTGAAGTTAAATAGTGTAGATGAAATGTGCTGCATAAAGGCACGGTAGCGCTCCAAGACCTGTGGCAAAACTCCAGCTGACTTACCAGCAACCAGGATTTCACATATGAACACAAACACTTCTGTAAATGCTTAACAACTTCTGTGAAATTTGTTACTGAAGTTTAGGCCTGCTCATTTTTTTTTAAAGCTTGGATAAATACCAGCAAGCATAGACTTGGAGAGATACTATGGAATATGTTAGGTAAGCCTTTCCTTTCTCCAGTTTGTACTATGGAAATGACACTCTGAGAAGTGGCAGTAATTCTTTGCATAGACAGCAGGTTTGAAATCATTTTTGCAAAGAGCAAAATATTTTTACCAACGTTTCGCCAATAAACTCTAAGGTGAACTTCACTTTGCTGCAGAGTCAGAGCACTAACATTTAGTGCAATTCCCATTTTACAGTTTTAAATGGTTTACATATTGTCTAATGTACAAGCGAATTTCATTACTGCAGCGAAGAAAACATTTCCCAGAGGTACACCCTCAGGGTGAACTTACCCATTACACTGATTTAAGTGGTGTAATGATTATTCTCATCTGTTTGTTCCTATCCATGTGTGGCAATTTGCCACCACACAGTATAAATGACCATGGCCCTGCCAATCTGATCACGGAAATGGCTCACATTAAAAATTACTTTCCTGAAAACCCCAAAATAATTAAACCACACTAAAAACATGTAAATTTGGGAGAGAAAAATGCAGAAAGGTTTTGGATGCTAAATTATTTCACTGTCCATTTTTAACAATATGCCAATATTCTCAAGAATGCAAAACTAGTTTTGCTTGAAAAAACATCTAGATTCTGCACCAATTGTTAATACCTATAGGCCAAACAATATAGCTGAAGTATATGTTAACGTTACAAATATTTATGTCGAAAAAATGTAATTTACAAAAAAAAAAATATCCAAAGAAGAATCTTCCTAAAATGTCAACAGAGAAAATAAAATCAAGCTAACTACTATTAGCTTATTTTGCATATTATTTTGTCATTTAACAGATATGTCAGTATCATGAACACCGAGGCAGGCACATGGTCTGAAAGCTGATTTCTTAACTGAATATGCAGGGTTTCCAAGGAGTTAAAATACTAAATCTTTGCAATCCTCCAGCATTGCCTGTCTGTTCCGGCTGGCATACCCATACCACACTACTTCAGTACTTCCACACCAACACTGAAGATCTACAGCACGCGGAAATACAGGTTTATCTCACCTCCAAAACCATCAGGCACATATGTTTTAAGCACAATGTTGCAGAAAACCGTTGGAAGAGACAGTGGTTTGTTGCCCTCATTCCGAAGGGAAATATGTCTGTAACCTGCTTGCAGACCATCCAGAGGCAGGATCCTCTGACCAATCAACTTATTATTGTCATCATACACTGCTATTCTCAGGACAGCAAGATCAGGGAGAATAACCTGGAAAGTCATAAAATGAAGAAATTCAATTACTCTAATACAGTAGCACCCTTCCCACCTTCCATGTTTGAATCATTCACTTTGTATGCCAGTAACAGACTATCATCACTGTAAGAAAATGTCATTCCCCTGCAAACTGCACACATTGAGATGAATGTTTCCTAGAAAAGCTTTTTTTCTACTCTAAATAATGGGCAAAATTTAGAACATGCAAATCCTGCAGCTTACAGTTACACTAGCTAAATAATTTGCATAATTATTTTTCATTACCGATAATTTTTCATTACCGATAAGAAGGTGGGTAAATACTACCTGGGAAATGACAGATACAGTGGCAATCAAAGGGTAGATAGCGCTGAATCAGGAGGAACTATGACAGAAAGATGGGATTTGGGATGTATCCAAAAGGGCAGTGAAGAACATAAAGAGTGCAAGCACAAGCTGATGGGGATCCATGCTGAACTATGGGTTCTCCAAAGGGGAGAAGACAACGGAGGAGGGCAGGACAGGGTGACAGACCTACTGAAATGGCATGCTGCCAGCAGAAGTGGGTGTGCTGTACTCACAACATGAAGGGTATATGGTATGCATGGTGCAGGGATGCTGCCAGCTATCTGCATCTGTCAGCCCCCATCCGGACCAACTAAATCAGTAATAAAAAAAATCCCCTGCCTTCCCTGAAACAAAGGTGCTGCCTCTGTGAACAAAGCAGTGAGGAGAAGACAGCCTGAGAGGTGCAGCCTCTCTGCCAGCCTGCCTCGACCATACACTGGGAAAGGTCTTCCCAGCTCCTTCCCTACCTGGCTCTATTCATCAATGCTTATGAGACAAAAGGGAAGACCGAAGTAAACTGCATCTACTATGTCCCTTAGACTTTCCCCCTGCCGCTTTCATTTTCTGTTCTTTAGAGGGCACAAAATAAAGTATGGTTTTGGTCTCTGAACCCACCTCAGCTATTCAGAGATAGGCTGCTCTACTTGATTATAACTTAACACTCCCAGCACAGGTTACCACCAGCACTCACCCTGTCCCCCCCCGCTACACAACAGGGTGACAACACAGAACTTGGGTTAGAATGACTGAAGCTTTATTTTAGTTAAAATAAAAACAAGAAAACATGACAGAAGAACAATCAAACACTGTACCTGAGACCAACTGTGTAGGATTAAACATCAGCTTGAGGAGAACACTGTAACCCAAACAGGACAGGCAAGATCTCTCCTCTATGGGCCACAGATCACGATATCTTTCATTACATGATGGGCTCAGATATAGATTTACTAGGGATGAGGAGCGGGAACTAAGAAGTTTATTGTTCCCTCTCCATTAATTTGTTCTATGGTATCCTGGTAGGCACTTTCACCCTCATGCCACTCATCTGCTTGGTCAGCAATGTATGTCTTGATTATAATGCTAAGCCTGATATGGTAAGAGCCTGAGATGAAGAAAAATAATCTCCTGGCTGACTTATACTATGAGTTATTCAAGAGAATGTGTGACCATGTAATTGTTCATTGCAAAGTAAAGCATGAAGTGCAAAGAATATTGGTATCAGTCACTGTACCCATGCCACGATACACAGGTACCCCCCTTTCAGACTGAGGCTGCGTGCATCCTGTAGTTTATAGGCCTTTTGATTTAAAAAATCAGAGAGCAGCAGATGCTGGCCATATGGCCAAGAAGCCATGGGCAGCACGATTGCCTGTCATTATACCTAAGCATCTTCCCTGTGCCTCCTCATATACAGAGAAAAGCACTTGAAGCCACATTAATTCCAGAATATATTGGAGTCCAGAAAAACCTCTTGCATTAACTACATTTCTATTAAAAACTGGTTATACTGTTAAGAAAGCAGTTTATGTGTGTAATATACCCAAGTGTGAAGTGTTATCATCACTCGGCAGAGTCTGTCACTTTGGAATAAAAGAGCAACAATTTTGCATGACAACAACACAGGTGTAAGCAAAACAGACGTTATCAGAGACGGCACTGCCAACACATGTAGTCTGGATGAAACTCCAGCTGACAGAAAAAAAAATAATAAAAAGATTTATATGTGTATATAGAGACAGAGAGATAAAAACTGAACACAGATGACTGATCTCTCTCTTCCAATCCCCCATACCAAGTAAAAAAGGTTTGTTTTTCTTTTGTTATTGAAAAAAAAGAAGAAAGAAAAAAAAAGAAAAAAGTACATGATGCACATGGACTACTGAAGGAGGGAGCTGGCAACACATCTGAGGAACACAGCACCCTTCCAACTTTTCCATGTAATAACATTGACCTTAGCTTTGGATGCAGCATCTCACCTGCCCTCTGGGCTGAAGGAACAGTGCAAGATAGCAGCCACTGCCAGGGCAGGGAAGAAGAAATCTCCAAGGAATGATGGTGTCCACCAGCAGGGGCTCATTCTGAGCAGATGCATACCTTGAACACAGGCATGGCCACGGAGGAGGTGGCTGCCTCCAAGTGGGAAGAGGAAGCAAAGGGGAGGGAAAAGCCCCTGAGATGAAGAAAAATAATCTCCTGGCTGACTTATACTATGAGTTATTCAAGAGAATGTGTGACCATGTAATTGTTCATTGCAAAGTAAAGCATGAAGTGCAAAGAATATTGGTATCAGTCACTGTACCCATGCCACGATACACAGGTACCCCCCTTTCAGACTGAGGCTGCGTGCATCCTGTAGTTTATAGGCCTTTTGATTTAAAAAATCAGAGAGCAGCAGATGCTGGCCATATGGCCAAGAAGCCATGGGCAGCACGATTGCCTGTCATTATACCTAAGCATCTTCCCTGTGCCTCCTCATATACAGAGAAAAGCACTTGAAGCCACATTAATTCCAGAATATATTGGAGTCCAGAAAAACCTCTTGCATTAACTACATTTCTATTAAAAACTGGTTATACTGTTAAGAAAGCAGTTTATGTGTGTAATATACCCAAGTGTGAAGTGTTATCATCACTCGGCAGAGTCTGTCACTTTGGAATAAAAGAGCAACAATTTTGCATGACAACAACACAGGTGTAAGCAAAACAGACGTTATCAGAGACGGCACTGCCAACACATGTAGTCTGGATGAAACTCCAGCTGACAGAAAAAAAAATAATAAAAAGATTTATATGTGTATATAGAGACAGAGAGATAAAAACTGAACACAGATGACTGATCTCTCTCTTCCAATCCCCCATACCAAGTAAAAAAGGTTTGTTTTTCTTTTGTTATTGAAAAAAAAGAAGAAAGAAAAAAAAAGAAAAAAGTACATGATGCACATGGACTACTGAAGGAGGGAGCTGGCAACACATCTGAGGAACACAGCACCCTTCCAACTTTTCCATGTAATAACATTGACCTTAGCTTTGGATGCAGCATCTCACCTGCCCTCTGGGCTGAAGGAACAGTGCAAGATAGCAGCCACTGCCAGGGCAGGGAAGAAGAAATCTCCAAGGAATGATGGTGTCCACCAGCAGGGGCTCATTCTGAGCAGATGCATACCTTGAACACAGGCATGGCCACGGAGGAGGTGGCTGCCTCCAAGTGGGAAGAGGAAGCAAAGGGGAGGGAAAAGCCAAACAGAAACAAACAAACAAACAAAAAAATCATGTGACAGCTACAGAGGTTATCTATTAGAAAAATAAACCAAAGCAAAATTAAAAAAAATAAATATAAACAACCTCTTGAAAGCTTATTTCAGCTTTGGATTGTTTACTGTGGTAAACGGGAACCCTACAAATGCTTTTTCATGGGAGCAGTACTTATTCATGTGAGCAGTCAGACTGAAGCAGGGAGAAGTGGCTCAAGTGAGCAAGGATGCTCATGTGCAAAAGGGCAGAAAACCACAAACTTTGCTTTCTAAATATCCTACCTTTCGAAATACAAACGATTCTTCATTGTAAACAGGATTCAGACCATTGTTCATCACCATGCGTGTTCGAAATTCTTTACGTATTGTGTCCGTGGGTAAACCATACATATCCACTTCTACATACGTACCAATTTTTTTGTCTGATAAGAACTGACCAGATATTACCTGCAACATAATAACAAAGCAGTAAGGAAAAGCAATACAAAGTACACAGCATTTTATGAATACTGGAAATACTGTTTTGTACTTTTTTATTGACAGCAGCCTGAAAAAGGCTTTATACAGAGCAGCTATATTTATTTTATCATATGAAAATGGTATATTTAGTGCTAAAATTGTGTTTCTTTAGGAAAAGCGTTTGTGATAAGACCTTAAATATATCCTTAATTTGAAATTATTGCACTCATTGTGCTATGGTATTAGCAGCTGTAAGTCAGTCAGCCCAATTTACCCATGTCTCCCAGATGTATTCACTATATTACTGAAAGACACTAAATGAAACAACCAGATTGGGCACTGCTATTCTGCAACTTTTTTCTGTTCAGAATTACTATGATCTATTATATCTCTTGACTACCAAGAGGTGAAAGGAAGCTATTGCTCTGCTTTCACTTAGGTAAAGGTTTTAAACTAATCTAGTATTACATGACTGGCAAGTGTAGGATTCTTAAAAGCAAACAAACAATAGACCCACATGACTCCTCTACATTGTTATGTATATGAAGATTTGTTACAACTTTACTCCAAGTCAAGATTAATCTAGCCACAGCAGGTGATTACTCCAGGGAAAATTTTTATTCCATCAAGATGACCTACTAGTTAAAAATACAGCTAATGTTTTCATTACTATGATCAAGGAGGGAAGAAAAAAACTGAAACAGGATTTCACAGACCTAAGCTCATTCTGAGTCCTTTTCTTTTCATGATCTAACATTCTTCCAGGGAACACTCTGGATAATGAATCTGAAAAGTTATGTGGCTGCAGGGTATCATCACCGTCTTTGGTCAACTAGACTTCTTTATAACAGCATTTATATGGAATTTTATACTAGTTTTAGTCTCACAAGAAAAGCAAGTGGCAAAATATGCGATCTAAGAATTATCTCTTGTGGTAGTTAGAACATATGGTCTCACCACCAGATCCCACTTTCTTCTTTGAGGGATTGTACTAACATCAACATTAAAGAAAAAAAAAAAAAAAGTTTTTGTACTTCTGGAGGTGCAAATGAAACTTAGTTAAAAGTCTAGCATGCACAAAGGTCAGGGAGAGTTTGGAATTTCCATGCTATACATAGACAGTGATAACTGAAAACTCAAGTCTTCTGTTAAGATGCACATGGGGTATTTGAGCAAAGAGAGTAGAGTGTCAAGTCACAAAACAGATTTTACAACTGTCAGCCTCCTTCCAAAATTTGATACATAACCATGCTTTAGAACTACGACAGAAGTTTCATTGACTTTGTTACTCGTAGGTAATTTCAAAATAAGGACATCATCACATGAACCCTTTTTCTCTACTTTGAAAATACCCTGTCCACATGTGCCCATACTCCTCCTTGCTCTATAGTGACAAGCGTAGTTTGTATAATTTCATACTGTCCACAGAAATGAACTTCACTCATTTATTCATTTGTGTGGGCTGATGTAATTCAAAAAGAGCATGAGGGTGTTTAAAATTCAGTGATAACGTGTAATAACAAACCATTTCTAATTTTATCATATTCCACTCAGATCAAGTAAAACATAGGTATCTTAGCCAGCAATAAAAAAAAAAGAAAGAAAAAAAATTTATTAAATCCACACAATCCAAACACTTTTCTGTAGATACCCTATTTTTGTTAACATTTAAATGTGACTTTGGATGTGATGACAGAAGTTTGTCTATTGCTGTTTTACCTGTACAGAACATGTTGCAGCAATTACACCATCTACAGGAGTTTCAGAGAAAGGGTCAAATGTTCTATCAGGTCGTCGCATGAAATCTGGTTTAAGTAGATACCTTATTTAAGAAAAAGAAGACAAAAATTATTCTTGTGTGGAAATTAAAATTATTTAAACACAAATAAAATGGATGTTCTAGCTTTAAACAATTTAGTCTCCTGCAGCACTGTAAAATACAGACTATCATTCTAGTTGCAAGTGTAAGGAAGTAAATGGAAATGTTACGGTTGTCTAGAATACAGATAAATGTTAATCTTAATTTTGAATTACCAGCTACTGAGAGATGAAATCAATTTGGGATTTCAAGATGAGAATAAATGTAGTATAAACAAAGACATTTCAAAATAACTTAATAATACATTTTAGAAATACAATGAGTACCACATAATAAAAGTAGATGCCCTCATTTGTTTCAATTCTTTAACACTTTGGAAAAATACAGAGGGATTATTCAATTTTATTTTTTTAAATGAAGCAGTTCCATAGAGTCAAGACTCATATAATAAATTTCAGCTTGAAACTAATTTTTTCATCTCAGTTATAAAACCTTGGGGGAAACAGCTCATAATGTCAGTGCTGACAGATTGTTAATTATACTAGCATGAAAGGTACTACCATAATAGCACTTACAACACATCCCTGAGGACTATACACTGGATCAACATATCAATGAAGCCGATACGTGCTCTGATGAATCAAAATCAAAGGATGCCACATTCAAAATTAAATAGCAGTTGATCCCAGAAACACTGTGCTATATATGACAGGGCTTCTCTTCCATTGGTGGAAGAAAACGTGTAACTGGGGTCATCTTGCTAATTCTGCAGCCTTGACAGACAACAGCTGCTAGAAGATTATTTTTTTATCCAACCTTAGTCTCTTTAGTGAATCACTGACAGACAATGTTCAGAAAAATTCCAATGGAAAGAATGTCAAAGTTTTCTTCCATTTTTTTATAATGTGGGTTCTGTTTAGGAAAGTAATATTCCTCATCTTTCTTACATTAGAAATGTATGTGATTTCATAATATTTTATTAAAGTAGTTTATGGGCAGAAGGGAACTATCAGAAACATCCTTAGCCTCTGCTTCAGGCCTGCTGAAATAAAAGTGCTGAAGCTAGAGTGACTATCTTGTTTCACCAGGATGAAAGCTGTAAATCCAAGAAAAAAGGAGTAAAGATAGAAGGAAATGCAGTTTTTCATTTTAATTGCCCTGCATGTTTTCTGTGACTGAAACAGCACCACATTTATAACACACATAAAAATATACCACCATATTACTGTAATACCAGAAGACTGACATAAGAATCAAGTAATTTAGTTGATAATGAGCATTTGGCAAGGATGCATATGTGCTCTTTTACTAGGTTTATGGGTCAAACAAGAAAGGAATCATAGTCTACCATTAAAAAAAAAGTTTTCGTTTTCTTCTATTTTTGATATCCTGACTGAAATGACCAGAGAATGCACTATCGTCAAATCCAACAGCCCCTATCTAGAGAGTTCACAACTGAAATAAAGGCATGAAGTGGCAGAGCACTATGTTGCCTATTCTGCAGATGAGGAACTTTACCAAGCCTCATCTATTCAGATTTTCTTTCTGAATAAGGCTTGCATTAGTAAAGGAGTTGTTTCTTCCCAGGATGAGTTTGCAATGTGTTTCTGGACTGTCATTTCCTATAATTCATCATACTTTTCTCTTGATGTTAATGATTTGGGTATAAACTCAACATTTGAGAAAAATTTATCAATATCACTTGAGCATCACACCCTTTTCCATGCAAAAGTTATGAGCAGGAACTTAGAGAGATGAGACACTTCAGTATTCTCTGTGAAATCTGCTCTCCAACTAAAGTACACAGATTAAAAAATGTTCCCTATGTATTAAGACTCAACCTGTTCAAGTAAATTAGGCAATTCTGTGAACCGTGCAGTGAATTTCCATTCTGAGATGTATCTTCAAAGCAAGACTGAGAACAGAAGCTGAGGATTTATTTAAATAGCGGTGTGTGGTATTCATGATCATCTTCACAATTTGCACACAAAACCTCTTCTATCTCATCTTTAAAAACTGGGCATAATTAAAAAGCATTATTCATCAGAGTACGTCCTTGCAGGGGATAATTCTCCCTGAATCCTGCTAATTTCCACCCTTCACCTAGCATCCCATTTTTATTTTGTAACACATAATTAATAGTGACAAAATTTTATTAAAACCATAGTAAAGAATTTTGATACACAGTGACAACAGTTTAAATCATATCACTCACCCGCATGATCCATTATATTCAAATTTTCCTTGATTCAACTGCATTGCTAAATCTGTCAAGAGTGAAAAGAGTTACTATCTTTCCTTCTGAAAAAGCAGATCATAAACAATCCTTTTTAGAAAATACAACTGCTTGTCTACAATTATCAGTTTAAATAAAAAATATATTTCATGCGTATACAACACACACATTTAAGAAATAAAAAGAAGCAATAGGAAAACTCCAGATTTCTTCACAGTAGTAACAGCTTTATCAACCAAGCTGAAGTCTACATTGTGCTTAGAAAATGGTCTTTCCCTGAATTCAAACACACATGGTAGGCAGAGAAGCATCAGACTGGTCACGTTAAGTGCCTTGGATGGGATTTCCATCGTCTAACTTTTGGTGTCTACAGTATAGATTTCTCAATTTCTGCTAGTGATCTACAATCACTTTGAATAACGGAGGGATACAGGTATTTTAACAGTGCAATTAAGTTCAGTCTAAGGCAAATTTATATTAGATGAGACATCCTAGAAGTATGTATTTCTCTACAATGGCCACAGACAACTACATGCAAGGAAGCTGTCTGTATCCTGATGTCTTAAAAAAGGCAAGAAGAATATCACACTGGTTTTCTACAGGCTTAATTCAATAAAAGACCACAAAAAGGAACCACAAAGATCTCAGCAGCATTGCCTAGTTTCAACATTCAAATCATTTGAGTTTTATTCAATGCATTACTATGGTACTCGTATATAAGGACAGGTAGTAAACACATAGTAAGTTCCCTCCCATCCAACACTCTCCCAAACTTTGTAAAAAATGTTTTCCTGCAGGTTTCCAATTACACTAGAATACAATATCCTTGTTTAGTGATAACAGAGGTATTCTCTTGCCCAACAAACTCTACCTTCCTCAATTGTTCTTCAGCCTGAAACAGCACGGTTGGATCATAGAAAACTAATACAAGAAAGTTGCTCACTTCCAATTATACTATTACCCCTCTTTTTTGCAATATAAAAAAGTTGAGAATCACATGCAGTGGGCAGAGGCAATGTTGGGAGCAGAGTGAAATCTGCTCTAACCTCTGTGCCGTGTCCAGTGGAGTGCTTTATGAGCAGTGTATTGCAGCACAGCTTTCTCTTGCGTTGTCAGCTAGTGAAATCAGTGCAAAGCTTTGTAGGACAGGAGTGTCTGAAGTACCAGAGACACCATTCAGGGGGTACCACAAAAAGTCCCAAGCAAGCAAAAAAGCACTATTCACAGCTAGAAAAAGAAGATGGAAACACTGGTCTGTTACATATATGACTGAAGACATTCCTAGATTAATTAAAGAAAAAACACAAAAGAAAACAAAAAAATCCCTACCCTGTTAGTTATAGTCACACCTTCATTGAACAGGAACAATACTTCTCCTCTCAATTTACGCTGTGGAGAGGCATTTACATTCCCTGGCACCACTCTCTCAGCTGGGATCTCAGACCCCATTCTCAGATGCTGAACACATCACTCTCTAACGCTTTGCAGTAACTGGTCTAGAAATGCATTTGGCATGTTGTCATTACTTTTTACCATCTTAATTTGTGCACTCCTTCATCTTTACTTTGCAGACATGCACCCAACCAAGGCTGTGTTTTGTGAAAAACAGTGATTTCCCTGTTAATTAATACCTTTTATTAATAAAATATTATCATTTATGTAAGAAGTTACAGTACTCTATTATTTTTCCATGAAAGGGGACTGAATTTTCTTTCTATGTATGGCTTTTCTATCTCTCTTTTTCTTACGCTTCCATAATTCCACCCCACTGTATTATTTAGCCATATGTCTGTTTCCTCAAAAAATGCCAGAAGCAAATCCATGGCATCTGTTTGAGAGTTCCTGCCCAAGCCATTCTTTAGGATTGAGGTTCACTGGTCGTTGCTGCCTACCTGGGGTCTGATAGTTCAGTGAGACCATCTGGCAGCCAGCGTTCCAGAAAATTTGAGGCATGTAATTACTGGAATCCACTCGGCCTCCCTTTGGGTATATCCGACTCATTTGTCGCTTATTATAACTGTATAATTCATCAAGGCAAATGAAATAAAAACATCATAGAAATGTATGGTCATATCCTGGTATCTTCAATATTTCTTATATTAATCTTAATATTTCTCACCCTATGAGCTACTTTCCCTTTCCCTTTCTAGAGGTGGGACATTATAAATCTAGAAAGGTACGGCTGTTTATTTGTAGCATTAGTAGAGAAGTGGTATGAGGAGATGAAAGGATACTTCACAAACTCAATGGCGTGGGTCTTCAAATACCCTAGTCCGACTGATTCATTGAAAGAGGACATATTATGATGAATATTACGTTCTAGAAGGAAAAGACAAGACATTTTAAAACACTTGTGTAATGACAAATCAAAATTCAAAATCATGCACTATACATAATAGCAGGATATAGCAAATTCTGGTCTGTTTCTCCATTATCAGTTACTCATAGAATCAGATTATACTGAAGAGAAATTTCATAATATTTCTGACTTGCCTTTTTCTTTCACTTCCTGGGCAATCAACAAAACTATCATTTTTTGTTTACGACAAAATTGTTATTCAGAGCCTGCATCGTGTGGCTAGATAAGGCAAAACAACATGATAAATTGTCTAGTGTGCAATATGAAAGCATCAGCTAACTGCTGACCGCTGCGACAATCACACTCACCTTACTTTACAGAAAGACAAACTAAAAAAAGCAGTTTAGTTGGAAAGGTCTATAGGATGTAATCAACATTAACAGCTTCACATTCTCCCAGTAATTTAGTGACTCCATGTGGATGACCAATGGAATAACATGCTAACTTTACATTCAAGAAAACAGATCTAAAAATATATTGATGACGGTCATTAAACTATGAAAGTCTTACACTGTTTCTACACTCAGGAAACGTAGAGATCAAAAAAACTACCTAGGATAAGCACACAAATACTTTTATTTCATTCAACCTTTTATGTTACCTTCTGCTACATCGAAACCTTGAAATTTTACAGGTTGAGCATAGTTGACCATTGTTGATAAATATGGATGTATATTGGTTGTGGCACCTACATATTTGTAAGATGCCATCCACGCTTGTTCATCTTCAACAGTTACTAAACCCTGAAAACACATTAAAGAGAATAATCACTATCTATGTTTGCACACACTACTGTTGGAATTTTCAAATGTGATACAAAATTATACCCAAATCTGCAGAAAGTTAAAGAAAGTGCAAATTAATACAAGAAAAGTGGAAATTTAATGTCACAAATTAAGATTTATTTTCTTACTGATATATGCACCAAGCACTCTCAATGTTACAGGATGCATGCAAGAGGACTGATGATAGAAAAGCTCCTAAACAGTGGGTAAGTATCACATGATGTTAGTAGGATAACTTTGGGATAAAAGATAAATATCATAACAGACTGAACAATGGTGGGAGGTAATGATCTATCTTTGTCAAATAAATTCCTAAGAACTGTGATTTAACATACATTAAATATAGCAACTGCAGTGGGGTAACACATAGTTGGTACTAAATAGAACTGTCTCAACATCAAACCACAAACAGGTTCAATTGCTAACCTTTACTAATAAAAGCAAACCGAAATATTGGGATTACAACCTTCATTGGACAAACAGATGTCACAAGACTTAATGAGGCACAGTGCCAAGCTCATATTCCTGGCCACATAAAATGATGCAAATCTGAATCCATCATTCACAAAAGATGCACTACATTCACAACAGAACTTCAGAAATTTTCTGCAAGTATCTCATCTGATAGAAACCCATAATAGGAAGCACTTCTTATGTGGATCTACTTCAACTTTTTCCTTTCCCTGAACCAGTTTAAACACATTCTTTTCACTAAAAGAAAAAGAAAGATCTCTGTCAATCTAAGCAAACTCTGCAAGGCTTACTGTTCATGGCATTTTTCCCACAAACATTTTTCTTGTTCTCCTACAAGTGAACCAGGTACCAAAAAATTTAAATTACTGCAGGCTGACAGTAAACTTCAGCACAGAATTACTAAGTATATTCAAAAACTCTTACTGTTCTGCTTTTTATTTTCAGAATGCAATTGATGTTTGTCAGAAAGTTCTCCTCCATTATTGTATTAGGAAACAGTAACAGGAAGCACTGCAAAGTCGTTTTCTCTGGCAGTAAGTCTCAGCATGTCCAACAGCTTAAAGCATGGATGAAGAACGCAGTTAACAGTACCTACACTGCTGCAACTCATTTACTCAGGAGATGGAAGAGTAATGGAAACATGAAACTACTTGCCAGTACTATGAGTATGTAACTCTACCTGCCATATAGTGCAGACACAGTTCAAAAAATTAATTCCATTTGAAGTGGAACACTTTATGCCTTGATATGATAAGACAATTATAGTAAAAAGGAATGTAATTTTCTGACTGCACAGAATTATCACAATGAGTCTAGGTGCATGTACATGGGTTTATGTGCATTTTAGACTGAAGTAAACTTTCCAGCCCAGGAAATTTCCATGCTGATCACCAGGGCTCAACCCAACTGCTTTTCAGGAATCCACATATTGAGGATTCACAGATCTGTCCCCTAAATATGCCAAATTCTACTTTATTAGTAGAATACAGGCATTTTTTTTGTTACTAGGTCCATATTTGTTAATAGAGTTTAGATCAAATTAAGGCCAAATTTCTTCAAAGGACCTAGTCCTTTTCAGGGTCCTCCTTTTTGGAAGGCCAGTAATTTAGGAAGAACTTACCACCCTTCTTCTAAAAATCAGGTTCCTTTAACGTGCCTCCTGCTGACTGCTGAGAATTGCTAATGATATTTTACTATCTTGATCCATAAATGTCCAAGTAATGAAGCACAGTGAAAAGGAAGTCAAAGAGGATTATCCATGCCTTAGGGCCAAGGCAATAGCATCCCGCGGACTATAGCTGTAGGACTGACACACTAGCTCTAAGAAAATGTTCTAAGACAATCTACTTGCCATTGATTTTATCTTATTTACTTGCAGACCCATAATTTTTAGAGCACGTGGGCTATACTCTTTGCAGCGTTCACAATTTTAAAACTATGAATTAGAAAGAATAAGGATGGAATGTTTCATAAAGCCTAGGGAAACGAAGGAATGGTTACAACAGCACATGACGCTTTTAGGGGCCACAGAAAACAGCGGGAAAAGGTTGATGTTTCTGGGTTATTTACACCTCCCCAACCCTCAAGAAAAGAAGCAGAACCCACTTAGAAAACAATGTAGACTATAGACTGAAACAAAGAGTGGTTAGGAACAGGAGCAGCTTTAATGAGAGAAGAGAAAGAAGGAAAAGAGTGGAAGGAGGCGGGAAGAGTCTTACAGAAGGGATTCCTGTGAGAAGATTAATGTAGAAGTCCCAAGGGAAAGCAAAAGGAGGAAAAAGAGAGAGGAAAACAAAGTGCAGTCAGGGTAAGGGAAGAGGAAAAAAAAAAGAAGCAGGGATGATACATCTCAATGCCATTCAAAGAACTGCTGTTTCCCAGTGCATCACATTCGAGACTGGGATCAGACACTTATAAGGAGGCAAAAGTCATGCACTCCCGTCTTTCAAAAATACTCTGTAGGTGCAGTGAAACTGCATAAAATTGTTAAGCCACTTAGAATGTATGGTAAGTAGTATGTTATATATAAAGCAATAAAACAAACTATATAACATCCTATGTGTCACCTTTTTATTGTTTTCTTGTTCAGAATCTTCAACAGCCTAAGGGAAAAAAATATATATACATTATCAAAGAAAAAGCAATAGGAAACACTCACAGTAAGAAAAAAAAAAAATCTCAAAAAGTTAATGCATTTAGAAATAAGTATACCCTTTTCCACTTTCCTGTGTGGCTCACCTGTCTCATACACTTGCAAAAATTTGCAGTTTCTTGGAAATCTGTGCATACAAGATATGAAATTCAACAGCTGGCTAGCAATGGGAATAGGAGGGAGGATGGCAGACAGTTAAGCCCAAACCAGTGCTATCCCTAGATGCCAGGAATAGGAAGTTTCAGAGAAGAATGAAATAATGACACACCTTGACAGCACAAAAGATCATTTGATCTGGATATGCAAATAGCCCACATTCTGAAAACTTAAGGGTTAAGACTGCTGTAAACTGTTCTTTAAATGTCCACATTTGGAAAAGGCCTATCTCAAGATGCTACTTGCAATGCAACAGTGTGCTGTCTGTCTTCAATTACAAGCTGCCACTACTGAGAATCTCAGACAGATAAATGTTGACTTGGCACTGAATGTACATTCCTGATCAGCAAAGCAGCAAAGAAGTTACCCAAGGACATATGCTGTGGATGAGTGACTAACCTGAAAAAAACCCAAACCCCAAAACACTCAGGTAGTTAAGGACCAGCTGACTTAGAAAGTGAAACCAGCCCCAGAGCAAAGAAGTTAAACAATACTTCAGTGGGAGGATTCATAAAAGTCCTGAAGAAGCAAAGATGTTGACTTGAAGAGATACCAAGAAGGTAGGTCTGATGTCTCAGTGATACTGCTAGAGAAATACTGCCAAGGGCAAGCTGTGCTATAAGAGATTTCCTATACCTATACTTTATCTGGAGTAAGATCCAAAGGTAGCCAGGCAGGAAAGAAGTGGCCAAAATACTTCTGATAAGGAACCTTAGCACTCACATGTGGGTTTTGGTTTTTTGGTTTGTTTTTTTTTTTTTCTTTTTTCTGTAGCAAGAAGCAATAACACCTTCAGTGCCACAGCAGGCTTAGTTTTGAATTCCAATATTCTGTACGTAATTACTGTCAAGTAATATTCAAGTTACTGAGCACAGACCGATAAACTGCATTAAATAAGGTAATAGTGGAAGAAAGGGAACTCTCACCCTGCCTGCCAGCTAGCTCTCTGGTATAGCCCCACTGCCATACCACCCCACTGGAGAATGATCGTCCAATTTAGCCTTCATTGCTACAGGGTAGAACCTACCCTACGAGTTAACGATAAAAAATAGCCAGGGAATCCCTGTAATGAAGACACAGGATGCAGCCTTGCAAAAAAACATTGTTCAGCAAGGAAGCTGAAATTCCACCTCATATTAGGGCTCTGCAACTGAGAGGCAAAGTTATAAAAAAATAATATCAGAAGCTGTGGCGGGAAACTGCCTTTAATAAGTATTTTTGATCAAATCCTCCGCTTGTATACTGTTTTCCTACATATGGATTCTATTTCCTCAATGAGTATTCCACCTGAACAAGCAGAAGATATTTTCAGCTACAAAACTGTGTCTTCTCATCAACCTAAAGGTTAGGAATCTGGTAAAGATTTAGGGTTTAACTCTTCTGACAACACATGCTGTGATGCTTCCACAGAACAGAGTGTCTTTTACACCCACTTCCACAGAAAGCTTCCAAAGAAATATTCATACAAGAAGTAGTCCCACCTTTTTGACACTGATGGCAACAGCTTCTTTTTGACTGTAATCATCTACAGTAAGGTCACTTCCAAATTTGTACTCTGGATGAGCTTCTTCTTCTTGGTCAGCTGCACAGAAAAGAAAAAGGAACTGCTGGTTTTGTGTGAGACATGAAACAAATGATAGTTGAATACACAGGTTTGTTTTTGGCATTTTTTAAAAACAGGAATTAATCCAGGTTATTAGGTTTCCAAGCATTAGTTGTAATTACAGCTAAAGGCCTAAGATTCTTACAGCTTTGACTTCACTATAATAGAAATTTTATTTACTGTATTTTTGAAGGAATCAGTAATTTGCTTAGCAGAAGTGTGAAAAAAAAATCCAACAGGCTTGGGGAAATAACAAGATAATGAAGACAGTTCTTTGAATAAGGATGTAAAAAGTTGCTGGCGTCCAGGCTTCTCATGTGCATTGTTAACAGTCTCCTTATGTGCCCCCTACTATAGGGAATGATTTTCATTTGCTTTTAAGGCGATTTTCCATTAGAATCTAGTCTACTCAAAGAAGTTAAAAGGCCTCTTACAAACACAAAACCATTATTCATATGGATTTAAACAATAATTTTAGAGAATACTTATGTGAGCCTCTTGATAATCTAGTATGTAGTTAATGACACAGCACAATAAGAACACTATTAGAAATAAGCATTCCAATGGAAATCAGCCTGCAAAACAACAGCATCTCCTTGGTGCTCCTTGACCACCTGAAGAAAGACACTGAGACGCCTTTCAAAAAAATTGTACTTTAGTCCTTTTTTTTTTCCTCCAAGAACAGATATCAAGATTTGGATTACCAAGAATATCTTTTATGAGGAACTCTACTGACCGCAACAGCAGTGGTTTTGTGCTAGTTAAAGAAAAAAAAAAAAAAAAGGAGAGGTACAAGGCTTAAGCTAAAGCTGGGATGTTCACTATGACAGGGGTCACAGGCCAGTACCCTCATACAGACACTTGCAGGCAATGCATGATTTACCCCTTCTGAAGGTGGACATTTAAAACAGACAAGGTGAATCACACCCTAGATATGTCCTTTTTTCTCTGTTGGCCATAAACACATTCCACATCACTGGTTCAGATCTAGATGTTTACACTGAAGACTGGCAAGAAAAATCCTATCCCTCATTTTATCCTTATAAAGTATAATGCAATAATCCAATCTCATGTTGACACAAGTATTAAAAATAGTGACAAAATCTGTTTTCAAAGCAAAGATCACAGCTTCGCACTCTCTCTCTCACACACAGAATGAAAATCTGCCTTGGTTGCTGCTCCAATATGACTTCTGAAGAGTAAGTAGAAGTCAAAGTTACCACTAGTACCACCCAAAGTAAGCTCATGTTTCTACCACAGACTGCCACGGAGACAGGAGCAGCTGTGGTATGTACTGGAGAGGAGATGGTAAGGCAGGAGCTCTGTATAAATGGTCCTGCACTGGGCCCAGACTTGCTGCTGCCGCCGCCACAGACCATGGACATGGGTAACATGCATACTAGCTGCTCATGCCAGCCTACTGATTTACCACAGGCAATGTTTGAAAGCCCTTCTCTATGATATCCTCACCACTTTCTATTTCTTCTTCATTATCATCCTCTAGGATATTTACAGGAGCAGCAGTTTCCCCAGCCTCCATCATCTTTTTCAGAGCATCAAGCTGTTCTGTTAATAAGAAAAATAAAAATAAATTAGCCATGACATAAACATTTGTAGAACAAAGAAATACAAAAGAACAATCATAAATTATTCTCTGATCTTAAGAGCTACTTTTATTTAATGGGATCTCTAAGTTTTCAGTTAGCAATAACATTTTACAAAGTACAAGCACCATTAGATGTACTCGGCTGTTAGATCTGAAAAGGTCAGTAAGGGCTGCGTCCAAAGCTCACTGAAGTTAAGAAAAATATTTCTGTAGAATTCAAAGGTCTTAGGAGCAAGCATATTACTTCTTCAAAGAATAAATAGACAGCTATCTCTTTCGTGCTTGATCTATGCAAATGGAGACAAAGTGCTTGGATTTTTAATTGTGTTTGATGTTTATTTCAGTTAGGCAGTATGCACATAATCATGTATGACTGAAGTCAGTGGAAGGTCTGCTGCTTATCTTTGAATGGAGAAGGAGCAGGGTTTATCACTACAGCCATACTGGAAACTAATACAGCAACATTACTATTACTGAAAGAAGATAAATATCAAAACTGGCAATAATAGCAAGAAGAGCAATTTCAAATTCCATTTCATTTTATGCTTATCCTGGAAAAACACAGCAATGCAAACACACCAGTGTAGGCAGAATTTACAAAAGATTCTATCTGCATTATATTTTAGCTCAACCAGCAATCTGATAAAAATCCCAGGATTACATTTCTAAGTTTATATATGCCTATGCCACATGCTGATACCAAGGCCTAGACTCTGGCACTCACATGAAACGCAAGAGCAAACACATTGTAATTTACATATAGTTCATATTCTTCCAACACTAACGTACAAGCAATTTGGAAAATTTAGTAACATGCTCTATTCATATCTATCTGGACTTTTGTTTCATTTAATACTTGACAAGCTTTACTCACTTTTTTCTACTTCAGGCTTCAGCCTTTTATTCTTTATGAGAATCTTTCTTTTGAGATCATTAGGAGAAGGTAAGGCTTTACCTGGATCAAGCTGTAAAACAATTTTAAGAAAAGGCTTAATAACAGCTATTTGACCTCTTTGTATCGCTATTTGAGATTTTGACTTTAGGACAGCAATGGTAAAGGGCAGTGAACAAGCAGTGCCACCTCAGGCACAACTCTGGGAGGTAGTGTGACTGCAATTATATTGTCTCCTCTGCTTCTTCCATATCCCATGGGAAAGCTGTGCTCAGGTAAATGTTGCGGGCTGAAGCCAGCACACTGGTCTTCAGCCTACACCATCCTCAGCTGCACTGGTCAAAATGCCTCCCCCTCTCTCCTGCAGTAAGCAAAGATGTGACCTGCAACTCTTTATCAGAGGACTTCCTACTTTCCCTCTCTCCCTGTGGTTCACACACAGTCCAAGTCACAGTTTAGTCTGTTATCATTTGATCTCTAAATAAGTCACCTTTTATGGTCCCTTCCAGCTGTAACAACGCAAGTGAGGCAGCCCACACATACTTACGGACTAGAAATGGGCTGGCACTGGTGAATGGAAAACTACCCAGTCTTTAGCTAGGTAACACGGACTGTTTTTGCCAGTAGGGTCACATCTTTAGTATTTGTGAAAGGCAAATAGCAAGCTTCACATCCACAAGTAAGTACTACTAAAAGCTTTTTTCCAGTTTGGGGGAGAAAAAATAGTATTGCGAAAAGAGAAGTACAAAATCCTCTGATTTAAGCCCTGTCACATCACTGAGGCTAAGAAAGAGATTTGGGTATGGTAATTAGTACCCTTCCCCAGCTCAGGCTTGCTCAGAATATTATGCAGGGAGTTGCTGGTGTAATGGACTGTGGTTTCCAGTGAACCATAAGTGACACAGAAGTAGAAGATATTTCCAGGACTAGTAAAAATTCTTAGAAGAAACATTCAGAAATCCTTAGCCTTAAATACAACTCTGAACTATGCAGAAGCAGCATTCTAGATGAAGAAACAAAAGAAAAAAACACCACGACTTGAAATCAATTAAAAAAAGCAGCAGAGGTGACAAATGACAACCCAGCAAAAAACCCCGTATCAACCCAACCTGACAAGAATGGGACCACACCTCCTAACAGGAGGGTAATGATTATCCACAACCACCAGGCTCAGTCATGGGAGTTTCAGCATGTTGGATGAAGAGAAAACACAATTGTTCCTGAGAGCACTTGGGTTGTAATTCCACTAGATGTCAGTGCTGCAGAGCTCATTTATCCCAAGCTTCCAGGATGCCAGTCTGCCTGCATCCCCAGGCACAGGGCATAGCTGGATGCCCATTTGGATAAGTATTTGTTTTTACTTAAAACCAGATCTGCTTCAACCAGTGCCACGGCTCTCTTAAGTCTTCCCTTCTCAGTCGAGGTATCAGAAACCAAGCACTCACAAAATACATGTTTCAAGCTCTTCCTGCCATCTCTGCAACATTTGCTTTGTAAGCAGCTGGGGACTGAATTTACCCTTCAGGAGGAACAGACACAAAATGCAGAAGGCTCAGCAGTGCTACAGAGCACAGGCAGCTGAGGCTTAACACCGGGCCCTGAGGTAGCAGCATGGCAGCCTTTGGCCAACTCTATTTTAGGCTTCCCTGAAAGCTGCTTTTGTAAGGAATGTGGCAAGGTGCTACATAGATAAGAGGAACACTACATATTTAGTTCTCTGGGATGCACTTTTCAGGGCAACAATTCGCCAAGCCTTATGAGTTGCTGTCCCTGCCAAAAAAAGCACAGCTCCAGAGATGATAATGCCAGGAGGCTCCTTTGCAGGGGTTACACAGACAGGATCTGAAAGGTAAAGCAGAGTCCTCTTCACTGCAGTTTCCCACAGCACTAAAGAGCATCTGCGTATTTTGGGTGCCTGCTGGCAGACAGTGAGCACGTTGCTCAGGAGAGTAAGGAAGGCCTGGAGGAGTAGCTGCAAGCACTGAATAACAAGCTATTAAACTCTCAAATACTGTGTTTGTGAAGGAGTGGCTGTTATTATCTCCTGCCACACAGGAGAGTGAAGTGCATGCAGATTACAGTGCACTTGATAGTCCAAATGAGACTGCAGGGAACTCTTCGTGCTTAATTTAATTCTTAATGCAGTAGTGGGGGCCACCTAGACTGCAGGACCTGATCTGGAGCATGAAGCATGCAAAGTGCAGCTGAAAGAGGTTTCCTCAGCTGAGACCATGCAATTTATAATTAACTGTTCTTCAACAGTGACTGGCAATTTCAGAGTTATGAATGACCTGCAAATACAATGTATGTGGTGTATTTTATGTAGGTGCTGATATTACGTCACACATCAAGGGGATGGATTTCCCCAGGCTGCTCGGCAGAGCCCTGTACAGAAGAGATTAAACAAATCAGATAAGGACAAGTTTGTACCAAAAAGCGTAGACACCCAAAATCACTAGCCATTTTTGAAATCACAGGAGTGGCAGTGAACAGCACTATAGGTGATATGATCATAGTTTATCATTTCTGTTAAATATAGCTAATATAAAAAAATTAAAAAGAGTGGCAGAATATAACATACTGGATGTGTTTCTAGAGGCTGCTTCAAAAGGAGATCTCCAAAAAGATCTTCACAGTATTTTGACATCTTGTACTGTTGATATTTACTGGAAAAGATGATGTTGGTTACTTTTGTAATATAAAAAAGAAATCACTATTACTCAGCAAAACAGAATAATATTAAGTAATGTACATATCCCAAATTATATACCGCTTGCTTTCTCTCAACTGAGTAGTATTACTCTACTGTAATTAAACTGTCAATAAAAATCTATTATCTGACATAGATGAATTTACTAAGACCAAAAACATAGATTAACTGAATCCCACACAACTAATGGAACATTCAAGTATATTTCCCAGCTTTACCACAGATAAAAATATTGCCATAATTAAGCTAGATAAAGATTGACTAGGATATTAAAGCACAGTCTCTTCCAAGTCACATTCAGTATACCTGCATATCCCTACACAGTTTTCAAGTACACTCAAATTATAGTATGTTTGAGGTTTGAGCTGTGTCATCTTTCCCATACATCACACTACAAGAAAAAAAAAGAAATAAAAAGGCACTATATACCTGCAGTGATTTTCAAATGAAAGAATGACAGGATACTCTGATGTAACAAATGCTGTTTCCTTAATGGCTTGAATGACATCCTTTAAAATTCAGTAAGAGGATTCAAATTAGATCAGATCCAATTACAATCATACTGAAAGAGATTTTATTTGTCCTCCACCCCACCCTGAGAAATACAAAGCTCAGTCTCAAATGTGCCAGGTGAAGCCACAACCAGAACAAACTATGCTCATTCTTCTCTGTTCTCCCACAACAACCTGGACTCAGCACCCAACAGGTGCCTCACTGCACCTGCAGCAGTGATGGCAGCTTCACCCAGAATGCATCAATGCTACCCCTGATCTGCTGCCAGCTTCTACTGCCAGGGAGAATTTCTACTACCACACTAACTCCTGCATCTTCAGGCTGCTTCCACAGCTAAGGAACTTCTCAGACAATGGAGAAGATACTTATTCTGTGGTACAAAGAGCCACAGGATGTGAAAATTTGGGGCAAGCCTGCTTCCTGCAGTTTCTGTGGAAAAGCAGACATAACACAGGGGTGTATGATGAGAGTAAGAAATAAGATCTGGGGACACAAAACTGTGCCTATGCAATTTGCTAGTCTGTCACAAGGGAGTAGCATCTGGGTGCTGAGGAGGGGAAGGTGCCCTGCATGGATTCCTGTGCAAGGGTTCTACTGGGGCTTACTACCAGGTGTAGAGGTCAGGCATTTACCTTGAAAAGAATATCTGTACACATTGCTTTTCCATGTGTTATTATTGGTTCTTGATCTTCACCTTTGCCATCCCAACAGTCCAGCTCCACACACCTAAAGACCCAAGAAAAATGATGTCAGCTTCCTTAGTGTTTCTGTACAAGCAAACTACTCAGGACAAGTTCTGAGCAGTGATGTTCAGAGCAGTAAGTTACAAAGCAGTTTTGGGCATTACATATTTCCTTCTAAACTGCACATGTGTAATTTCAGACTGCTTTTATAACTTTGGGTATATTACCTTAAATACACTATGTGTGGCCAAATATTATTTACACCTGAACAATGCTTTTAGCACTGTAACACTCTTCTAATTTATTCTCTTACTCAGTTAACTGTGACACATTCCAGTACGTTAAGAAATTAGGAAGGAAATCCCAAACTGATTCTAATTTACATATAAACTTCTAAATTAAAAAGTAAAAATTTCTCTGAAATTCTTCAGTTGTCATTTTGAGATCAGACTTGTTATCTTTCTCACAATTTGTCTCCTGACATCAGTTTCTACATTCCACTACCTTTCAATGTTTTTTGTGAGATAAGTAGTATCTTAAATATAAACATTTTAATTTAACACACTAATACATTTATACATTAAATTATGAAATATATCACCACCAAGGAATATTACATAGGTTTAAAGTATTAGATCCACAAATATCAAAGGCTGTTATCTTCTGCTTCCAACCTGCATCCAGCCAAAAGCACTTGTCTGTACATCTCCACTGAAGACTTGCCCCCAAACTGCCTGCCTGTTAGATACGTATTGTGAGAGGAACTGATGAAATAATGAGCCAAAGGATGGTCCATTTCTTGATATAATTCCAAACGGTCTAGGAAAACTGGGGCGTTTTCATCTGACATCAAGTATCTGCAAAACCCATCACTTGATATGACACCTAGAAGGAAGAAGAAAGCATAGCAAATTACTACTAAAAATGTATAGCAGGCAGGAATCAAACTGTCTCACAGAGCAGGTACCCTAGCACAAAAGCTATGCTATTGCTTATTGCTACTGCCTTCTTTCTTAACCTACATGATTCAGCAAAAAAAGTTGTTAAGCTTAATTATTTTGCTCAACAGCAAAGTTATACCTAAGAAGGGGAAAAAGACTGCAGAGAACAACCACTGCTGAGATATATTCTTGCCTTCTTTACATGCTAAGGTTCAACATGCTATTATATTAAACCACCTCTTTATCCTATTGATTACACCAGGATAAAATCCCTATCAGTAAATAAGATCAGTGGAGGAATGCTAAGAGGACACTGCTGCTGTTCCATTGTTACTCTCCATAAGCCTATCCCTGCAGTAGGTTTACCACATTTATTTAAAACCTGTTAGAAATATAAATCAGAGAAAAAATCTAAATAAGTAGCCAAGACTCAATAACTGGCAAAAGAATAAAAGACAGTATTATTCTCTTGCTACAGCTTGGTGCTTGCAGAATCCTTTGTGAATTACGGAACATTGTTTTCCAGTCCTAGATTAATTTCCACCTCCATAAAACATAGAATCATAGAATCATAGTTTTTACATCTTCTATTCTAAACATGTGGCAGCTACCTTCCTCATTTTGGAAAATACATAAAAATACACTGGCATCAAGAGGAATCACAGCTGAGTGTCTTTAAAAAAAAAAAAAAAAAAAGAGTTTACTAAAATCAAGTAATTAATACTTGGAAAATTCTACTTCATGTAGAGAGGAAGAGAAGTAAGTTACACTGCTTGTGAGTGGAAAATCCTCATAATGTTTATAAATGACTCCTAGACAAGAGAAGCATCTCCCTCTCTCTCAGATGATTCCTGGAAAGTCCATGTTTTCACAGAATTAAAGGAGCAATCTATTAATCTAGCATACAACGCAGTGTCTGGAGTAGCATATACAGTAAAAGCTCTTCCTCTAGGGGTTTGGTCGAAGGACTAAATTACCTTAAGGAATGGTGAAAACTATACATCCAGCTACAGAAGGATTCCTTAAGTTTAAAGAATGAGGAAGACAACTGTAAACTCTTCTCAACCAGTGGCCCAGAGAAAGTGAGAGGGGCAGGTGTTGCTGTGGAAGGCGCTGCTGGCGTCAACTCCTGTGATCATAAAGCAGCAGAAAGGCACAGAGGGGACCCACCAAGGCTGCAGCACTGAGCGAGAGTGGATGTGTAAAAGCTATTCAGCTTCTTCAGCACTAGCTTAATACATTAGCCTAAATGTCTCATGAAAGTGGCTTCCTGTTAGAATGCTTGAAGGTCTGTGGGCTTTGCAAGACTGCAGTCTCCTCCTCTGCATGCTATGATGATAGTAATTTCCAGCAAAAGAGCAGGGAGGACAGAGATGGATAGCAACATTTTTAATTTCTGCAGTTGATCCCAACACGGTTATTTCAACAGAATGGGCAAGAACTAGGAGCTAAGTTCAACCACTGACACCTCCAACACCCACAGCAGCTAAGGACAGGAGCAATCCAAGAATGGCCTGGAGACACTTCCTGCAATCTTGCTCAGAGAGAACATTTTTCAATGCACCCATGTAAAATACCCTGTTCTAAGCTAGGCTGCTGCCCTCAAGCACTACAGACTTTATAAGAAGGTAGATGCATACCCAGTGGTGCACAGAGGAATATTTTTTTTTTTTTTTTTTTTTTACACAGTAGTTGTACAGCTTTGTAGTCTCTCAGAGACCTTGGCCATAGCCATATGCAAGTTGCGTTGTTGCCAGGAGTCTCCATGTTGTTCCCCATTTACTCAATCTTAGCCTCTCCCATTTTGTTTCAGGATGGCTGTCTCCAGCCACGCTGTAACCTAGATCAGGGAAACAATCCTTCTAAAAAAAATAACTGATTTTGAGGGGGAGGTATTTTTCAGCAGCTCAATTTCCTGATCTAGTTCACTAGGTGGCCAAACAAGTGCTTGCCCCCTTACCATAAGGACTGCGAGCTCCCTTTTAAAAGTTTGGGTGCTTTGGAACAAATTCCCCAAATGCCTAAAATCAGTGAATACTGAATTCCCTCCCACATTTACCTTTACTCTTCAAGTCTTCATCTGGCTCATATGTCTCAATTATCTGCATTGCTCTTTTTGTGTCATAAAAGGGAAATAAAATTTCATTGAGCCGAGGATCTCGTTGATGCTAAGGTTAGAAAACAATGGAATTCAGCAAAACAATATAGTGCAAGGCTATCATCCAAGAGCATTTCATTACTGCAGATGAGAAAGAAAGAAGTGGACATTTAAAAAAAAAAAAGAGCCCTAAAACTTACAGACTACTCAACAGTAACTTTAGCTTTAGACAGAAAATGAACCTTATCTTTCATAAGAAACCTAGGCAGTTTGATTATTAAAATATTTTTTAAAAAACATTCTAGTGCAATCATATAACTGGTATTACTTTTACTTGTTCATGAAAATAATGACTGCACGTGGTATACGTGCAAATGAAATGTTGAAAATAAATTGATAAATCTCTCATCTTGGTAAATTCTCTCTTCCTAATCTTTTTTGTAGGTCATGTAAACTGACAGTCTTTACTGATGGAGCTGTAACCACCTCTGCAAAAATATGTCTTCAGCAATATCTACAGGCAAAGTAAAATTTAAAATAAAGCTATACTATAAATACAGAATTTGAAACCCAAGTTTAGAAATGTGCAATTACTGATGATTATTTGTGAATCGTGGAAACATTGTGTTATTATCTGTTCAAAAAACAGCATAGGTTCTTAGAAGAAATATGTACAACTTAAAAGAGCTTCACAGTATCATCTCTTCAATTCACAATAGTTTACAATATTAGGATTTCATAATAGATGTAATATTTAGATACAATTTAGCAGTGATTTCTAATACACTACTAAAATTCAGAGTTTTTAAGTTTTCACTTAATGGTGTGCTATGTAACTCTTGCTTTTTTCCAAAATGGATTAGAGCTGCACACTGTGTGCCTGATTCTCCATCAAAAGAAAATTAAAACAGGACTGAACGGAGTAGTGGCATGTAAGCAGATGCAATAAAACAAAGAAATAAATATGACTGTGAAAACACTCTTTTACCCCAGTAGGTGCACAGTTTTCAAGCTTTAGTTTAAGCAGAATTCAGAAATGTAACAGGCCACCCCCATATTGGTGATCAATATTTAGGAGTGGACAGGATGGTATTGATATGGCTTGGCACAGCACTATCGGCATTTGCTGTAATTCCTTATGTGTAAACTTTTTGACATTTTGATATGAAAAAAAGCAATATCCAATCAAAACCAAGCACTTGATTTCTTTTCTTACTATTAATACATTGCTGCACGTGCTTAATTAATTCCAAGAAATTGCAACCAATGCCAATTTAATCATGCAATTAAGGAGGGATCTTTCAAGTAATGCTACTGGCAGTCTGCAGCATCTAAAATACAGCAGTTTCATTCACTACACATCGGCTGTCTGGATATCTAAGTAAAACTCAGATGAAATATGATATGAGAGCAGGTGGAAGCAGGACAAAACTTGCTAAGCAGCACACAACAGCAACACAACACTGGCATGCAACAGTACAGTCTACTGTGACAAATGACAAGCTTCATACCATTAGTGACAATACACCACTTCAAAAAAATTGTAAGAAATAGTTGGGAAGGTTCTTAAGGAAAGTGCTCTTCCCCACTCTCTTTCTTCTACAGTTAGTCATAAGCAAACAGAAGAAAATAAATGGGATAAAGCAAAAAAACTCTCCTCTGAAGAAAGAGTCCCAGAGTTATTGGAAGGAGCTAAGAGGAAAATACTACTCTCGTAGCAATGATCATTGCTCATTATCAATTTTCTATTTGAGCAAAAGCATGTCTTTATGTTTATTTAGTTTAAAAAATAAAGCAAAATTGACAATTGATAAAGCTTTACTTAAAATAAGGAAGAAAGCTAGTGTCTCTTGGGCAAATGTCCTGCACCATTGAGCTTGCTGGCACAAGAAACTCGAAGCCCAAAAGCTGACCACAACTAGAAGCATGAAGTTTTATCTAGAAAGACAACATGCTCCAGGACTAATTGTGTACATCCAACAAAGTTGCATTTGGGAAGAGGGAGTGGGAAAGTGGGAGGGGGCAGTGGGAAAGGGAGGTAGAAAAGGATCTCCTCATACCTCCTTCCCACAAGAAAGGATGAGTCCTGGTCAGACTACTGAATTTCCAGTTTGACAGTTAATTGGCTTATTAATTTATTGCTGCAAATGAATGGCCGGAGCAAATCTCAATAGTAGTGATTTCAGTTCTTTTTCTACTACATTTTCTTTTTTCAAAATTTGACTTCAATACTTAGTGCCTGACAATAATGGAATTTCAAAAAACTTCCCAGAAGCTTTAATACACAATTAAATCAGCTGTCAGCCAGCAACATTTAAAAGTCAAATAGAGACAGCAGTTTGGAAAAACTCCAGGAAAGCAGCTCACACTCCACTCATACCCAGTAACGTACCCTCATGCGCCCTTAAAACCCCATAACACTTAGAGCTTCTGTAGCATGCCTTGGAGATTACTGATTAAAGATAATTTAGGTTAAAGACTCTCATGAAGAATGGCTCTGCCAAGTAAATCCCCTCTCCTATATAATGATAATAATCTTTTTATATTTTCCAGCATTAAACACCACTGCTAATTGCAGTGTTGGCCAGCTGTCAAGAGGACAGAAAAGATAACTTCAGGAGGGAGATTCCAGGTCATTTAGTACTTTTCAAATCATGACCAAAATTTTAAACTCTCTTTGAAGACCAAAAGAACTCCAGCACAGAGCCAAACGCATTAGTTTCAGCCATCAGAATGAATGTCCTGCTATACAAAACCACTTGACTAATTTTTCCGAGCTCTGGTCACGCACTAGCGGGCCAACATTCCAATTCAAAATGTGTTGTGTTGGTAAGAATGTAGCCAATAAAACACATCTTTCTTCAATACTGCCGAAAAATAAGGCTTCAAATTCTGTAAAAAGATCTGCAAACACAATATAAAACTGAGAGTACAACAATTCAATTTTAATTTTTTAATCGGTTACTGTAGGTAGCCAGGAAATTCTTACAATTGCTGGCAGCTCTTCTTCAGAAGTTTGTGCTTCAAGGAAGCACACTTTGAACTAAAACAATTACAGAGATCAATTTTAAAATAATGATAAAACAGTAATTTACTGAAAAATTAGGATTAACACTAAAAAAAAAAATAATCAGAAGCTAATATGATTCAGTGTGGGGATAGGGCAGTGTGCTTCAAGCAGTGAAGTATATCTGTCACAAGAAGTGAACTAGAGGGTTCATGTACTTTAAGGGGATAATTTATAATTTAAATCACAATGTTATCCTTTCTCTCAAATGCAGAAGCAAGAATGCCTTAGCTGTGTGCTCCAATTTTCTAATAGAGAGAACTAGGTGGATACAAACCAAGGCCCCAAGCAGGTAACCATTAGTCCTGAAGCTGTTTATCTTCTCACTATCTTTTATTTTTGAATATTCTTTCTATGTGTAATTCAGGTTTGGGAAAGATTAAGGCCTGTGTTCCCTACTGAAAAAAGAAAATTATATTCTAAATTTGATATATGGGGAACTGACTACTCAAATCTTCGTATAGCAGTATCAGAAATAGATTTATAAATATTAAAATAATTTTAGATGGAGAGATTTTTGGTAATGCACCCAGTCCCTAAAAGATCAAGCAGCTATCCATGCTCCAGATGACAAGAATCTACAGGACCAAAACCAAGCAGAATGCGCCAATTTTCCATGTGTATGTTCTTGTCAAATCTACATAGTGCGTTTATTGTTGCCATTCCAAATGAGTCCATCTTCTATAACTTACTGTGCTTTAGGAATAGAAAAAAACAATCCCACACTGTTTATTGAACTACTTAGCACACTCATGATGTTTTTAAGAAATGCTAAATACTCTTGCCAACAACTGTGTTCTGGAAATACAGCAATAAAAATATTTCCTCTTATTCTGCACACATAGTATTTTAAAAATCATATACAAACTCTTAAAATATCCTCTTAGCTCTTAGATTTGTAACAGATTGAAATAATACTGTTGAGAAGAATCAAACCACTGTTTATAAAAGCCTACTTTATTTTTTCTATTATTCAGAAGAATTAGCAGATATATTTAGCTGTGACCTACAGGTACAGTATAAAATGTGTAAAACATACATAACACACAACATAACACAACAGTAAGTAATCAACAGATGCAATCTGCAAAGCCAACATGTAGAAAGCACAACAACATACAAGGTTGAAGCTGATTTTTGCACCTGGATATTACCATAATGGAAAGATCAGCGGATCAAAAAAGCACAGCAAATAATGGCATGATTCATGCAATGGAAAGATTGGAAGAAGCAAGCCACTGCAGACAGACTTGTATGGTAGTTAATGTATGAAAAAGCTTACTTCATTTAGAAAGCTCACTAATTGGTCTACCGTTAAATAATCAGTTTTGTCTCCATTGCTGAAAAGAAATTTATTAGAGAGTGTAAGTTTTCATGTACGATGCTACAGTAGGTATGATTTACATGTTGACATTGTTGATACTTTTAAAATCACCTGCTTTTCTACCTCAAGTAACTCTATAATCTCAAAATTAACAGTCACAGAAAACATACTAACTGTCTATGCTTGGCACAGTATATCTCCCATAACTTCCTATAACTTAACAAACATTACTTCATAAAACAACATGTAAGTCCTCCCGCTGAGAATAAACTGAGTGAAAAAACTTTTTAAACTTCAAATTTCTTATTTAATTTAATTAGTTCACATACTGTGTTAATCACCTAAAGGAGCAAGTTAAAATTACAGTTAGTTAGTAAAGCCACTGCAAAAAAAAAAAAGTTCCAGGTGCTTCCTATAACTCATGTAAAAGTTGCTCTAAAATACAGAGTGAACTTTTACATTAACAATCTGAGAGGGAAGGAAGGGAAACACAGAGACTTGAGTTTGTCTTAAAATACTGCTGATGCTACTAGGATTCAAGGTTTGATAGTCTTTACAGTGTTCTGTCACTATTAGACTAAAAATACAGCAAAATGAGTTTAAAGCAAGATTATATTAAATTTGAACTTACATCTTCTTAAAGAGGTCCTCTATATCAGTTCGGGGACATATCTTTTGGGTGAGCTCATAAAATTTCTCATAAGTAAACGCTGCAGGCTCAATTTCATCATTCTGCAACAAAAAGCAAAGGTACACTTATCCAGCAAAAAAGAGCTTATATGGTCTTTTCCCAAGAGCGTATCTTATATCAGAAAAAGCAACCAAGAATAGATTTAGCTCTTTACACAGTACATGCCTAGTTTCTTTTGCATTTTCGGACAAGAGTTCTTAATTCATCTTTATCATAAATTTGTTTGATGTGCTTATATTCTGACCTCACAGTAACAATTCTACATTAAAAAAAAAAACACCAAACTGGAAAATTGTCTTTAATTTTCCTCTGAAGCTTAGAAAAAACCACCCAAAAGTCCAAAATAGTGCACAAACTTCAGGATACTTATACCGAAGCCAAGGAACATTGAGAAGAGTCCCAGGTTTGGTGCAATAGTTTTAAAAAGCAAAGTGGCTCTCATACAGGGACATGTAAAACTTTCATGAGAGGGGGAACACAAGGCTTAACACATTCAGTACTGTATCCTCCTCTGATCAAGATGATAACTGCAGCAGTGAGGAAAAATGTCACCTCAGGTGCCAGGCACTGCTACAGCTGGGGGATTCGGGTCTTTCTACACCCCTGTCTCCCCAGCTGGGGACAGCAAGCTGCTGAGCCTGCAGGGCTGCCCATCACCAGGCACTTGCCGCGGTCAGGCCAAGAACCAAGGGCTGGAGTCTCCAAAACAAAGGGAGACTGGGCAGGGAGTAAAGCTGAAAAAAAACCAGCTGCAACTGTAAACAGCTGCCACCTCTCTGGGGCTGCTGGCAGGGGCTCCCGCCATGAGTGAGACGCAGCCAGAGAGCAGTCATCCCACATACAGGAGGAGTCCAAGAAATACAAGACAGCATGCAACAGGAAAAAAAAAATATTATGTGCATATTCTATGCTCATATACTTTGCATAAATGAATGAAAGGTAATCTGTTACAGAAAAAAAGGGAAGCCTCATCCAAGTGGTTTACAGACCACTATGTCATACAGATTTAATTACATTTTGGTTTTAGTAAACAACTTACAGTGATTAGTAAGTTACTCATGAACAATAGGCGTGTGTTTGTGTGATGCAATGACTTAGATCACAGCTACAAATGTTAATGATCCATCAATTTATTAGTATATAAAACAGTTATTCAAAACCACTAAATACCTTTCCACTGGGAAGACCTAATTCCTTAAGTGCCTGAAAGATCACTTTTTCTGTTTTACCTGATGCAAAGGTTCTGGTAATGCTAAAACAAAAAAGAGTGGGGAAAAAAGAAAAAGGAGAAATGTTAGTCACTTTTTAAACAATCAGTTCTCTCTCTCCTGCTTTTACTGCCAACATTTTCCTCTGGCTTCAACTGATGAATGTAAGCATCTTCCAAGTAATAGTGCAGTTGAAAAAGCGCTCTAAGCTTCACAGAGCAGCAGTGCTCTGCCTGCAAGCTATCCATTAGATAATATATCAAAATAATGGACTTGAAAAAGAAGAAAAGAGGGTTTTTTCCAATATACTGAGACACAGAGCTGTGCAAAGCATTATACTGTTGGCTTTTTTTCAACTCTATACAGAAATGACTGTGTTTAAAAAGTAGCAGATTCTTCAAGTGATGAGACTCCTGTCTCCAGCCATTCCTGCTTGTGGTGGTCACTGGTAGCCAGAAACGCCCAACATGCATGTCAAATCTCATTCCTGCTCCCTCACCAGCTGCAGTGCTCCCTCCTCCCTTTGAATGCTCCCTCACCTTATAAACAGCCCTGCTGTAGACATACTATGCACAACTCATTTAAGTAGGTCTCAGCTGCCGCTCAAGTATTTCCAACAAACTGATTAACTTCCTTCTACAAAACAGGGGTGATTTCACCATGCATGAGATTGATCAACTTGAAATTAAACAAATCCAATTAAGTTTAGCTGTTTGGTATGATTCATGTGAAAGCATTTGGTCTATTTCTGTTTCCATTTGAGATAAGTATGAGTAACTTCTAACTGTGGAAAAGTAGATCCAAACTTGACCTCTCCACTTCCTTCTGTTTAGGGTCTAAGCTAAAATGATGTGTCCCACAACCCCTTGATTCTGGTGTCTCAGTCTGGAAAGAAAATCTGAAATTCTGTATCCAATATCTATTTCTAATGCTAAGAAAAGTTGTACATTGGAAAAGTCTCTATAGTTGCCTGATAAGAATATCAGGCTTTTATCATCAAGTGAGACAAACATTTCCTGAGACTTCACTAATCTCATGCATACTAAATAATTTCACATGGTGAAAGATGTGAAACAAACTGTTGCTGTTATTTGTTGCCATAGCAATTCATAGTTGTTTTACTCTCCAAAGCACTCTACACTGCCTGTGTAAATATTTTCATACTAATAAAATTAAGATCAGGAAGCCAAAGATCTAAATGATATAATATTTTAAATAATATTTTAACAAATGTTGGCCCTTTTTTTTTTTTTACTGGGTTCTTACAGCAGTTCGATTTCTATGTCCCTATTTAGGCACCTAAGTTAGTTATTTGATTTTCCAAAGCTGGTAAGTACAGGAATGTTTTCACTAAAATACAGACTGAGTTTAACTTCAGGCACTTGTTTCTTAAAAAAAAGTCTCAGGCATCTATTTTTCTACTAATTCTCAAACACAGAGTAATGTCAGCTCTACTATTTACAACCTATCTCCAGCTCTTTAAAAAATTCCATGCCTGTTCTAATGAACCGGGCCCCAATAATAAATGTCATGTAAAACACATAATATTGGCATAAGTAATTAATCAGAAACGGTGAGCCAAGATTCCATGGCTGCAGGGAACTTATTTTTGATGCCAAACTATTTTTTATTTCACCAAAGATGACAGCAAACATAGCAGTAATTTGTAATGAGAGCGGCAACCTAGAGAAGATTGCATGAATCAAAAGAGAACGTAAAAATACAGCATGACACTTCCATTTTGCTAAGGATACTGTAAATAAAGCTACTTCTCCCTCTACCAGAAGAGACTTCATCCTAGCAGATTTACATTCACCTTGTATATGCCTTGGAAGAAAACTGGGCTACTTCAGATGCAGGCAAGTTACTGGTTGACAGATACCTACAGCTGGTTTACTCCTCGTGTTCTACAGCGGTTTGGGGCTTTTTATGGTAACATGGCAAAGTACTTCCGCATCAATATTTAAAATAATTCCCAAATATGGGACTGAAGGGCATGAATCTGTTGTGCTTAAATGGATTAAATGATTTCAGACCTTCACTACTTTCCAACTGTTACTTCAAAAATCAAGCCAACACATAAACTGTTCAATCTCCTGGCTCCCCTGAATTTATCAGTTTGGCTGGAACTGGAAGTACCGCTGCCTACACTGTACAAGAAATTATCTAAATCTATGATTTCCAATCATGATATAAGTATTAAAACAGATTTCTTCCAGGCACTCTAGAGTAATCAATATAGAACACATTTACTAAAAAAGCGTAATTTCACATTAACTTAATTAAACTACTGTAAAACAGATTTAAGCCTCATTTATCACAGCGTAGCTATTTTTTAATATATTTTCATAGTTAGAAGCTAAATTAGCTTAAATCCTTTTAAATGTAGTTATACAGGGGATAAGCGTAGATTGAGCAAAGCTGATTTCTAAACACTCTGGCTGAGCAGGTGCAACTTGCACATGTAGAAAATCCATTTTCTGCCAACACTGCAGAAACCAAGTAGAAATTTTGAATTTTAAGACACACTGACCTTTTAAGTCATCATTTACAGTAGTGCTAAAATCTGAAAATAAAAAAAATCTTACCAAATGCCCTGTCCTGTAAGATCCGTAGATGTAGTTCTAGACTCAGACTGCTAAAATGTATTAAAGCCCAAAAGACAAACATGGTGCTCACCTAAGGTTTTCACACTGCTAACTGCCAGAATTTCTTCTCTCCCAAACACAGCAGGTTGATAGCAACAGATAACGCCCCAGAGTACAGTAAAATCCAAAAGAAGTTGAGAAAAAAATCTTCATGACTCTACAACCCTCAACTGTACTAAGGAGGAGTTAGTTAGGAATATTTATGCCATTTACCACCGACAGCCTAATGATGAGCCATCTCAAGGCTCATCATTCCCTCTGGCCACGTGCTAGCTGCAAAAATCCTTCTTAAACCTGAGAAGAAACGCAAGGAGCTCATTTCTCAGGTGAGATTTTTTTTTCTTAAGTATTTTACTGCACTTCCATGTAAAAATAAAATACAGGAAACCTCGTGATACTTGTTCCTGTATTTTAACAGATTTGCTGGGTATTCTGCTTGAGAGAGAATAACCTTCCTGTCTGTATCCCCAGAGCTACAGCAATTGCTGCAGGAGTACCCAGGCAGCCGGAAGAAGTGGAGGTTTGACACAGCAGGGCTCACTAGCTAACACTGTATTTAAAACCAGATAGATATATGGGAGGGGCTGACCATAGCAATCTGGAGCTCAGTTGAAGGGGAAGCATGCTCTTTATCTTTCTTTCAGCCTCTCACTGACATCTCTCCTAATCCTTTTAGCAGGTGATACAGTGCTTCCTAGATGAGCCCCCAAAAGCTGCCACATTTCACCCACACCAAAATAGTGCATTCCTTGGAGCATTCAGATGTAAAGAAGATTCAGCTTCCTTCTGCACAGAATGGAATTGCAGATCCCCTACAAATTTACACTGCAAACCACTTTTGCAATAAATTAAGCTGCTAGAGACCAATTTCTGTCAACCTGGAAATAGTGCAAATTTGAAAAAACAAACTCTTGGAACTGGAAACACTTTTAAGAAAAATCATTCAACCTTAAGAGATCATTTAAGTCCTCTAAAATCAAACTGCAAATCTGGCAGGAAGATTTAATACAATGTGGACTGGACTCTTCAGCAATACGCAGGGTTGTTGCATACACAAATCAGTATGCAGTAGCACAATGGAGAGATTTATGCCTCACTAAATGTGAAGTAAAATATTTCATGGTAGAAACCATTTCAGACAAGCTAATGTACTATAAATTCGTACTGAGGAATAAAGCTCTAAGTTTAAACACAGGCATAAAGCTCTACTGTCTTGAAAAGGATTTGCCCCTGTAGTATTGTTCCCTCATCTTAACCCTTCCGTTGATATTCCTCATGGGACTTCTGCACAGAAGGTTGCCTCATGGCAGTTTATTTCAAGTTTGAGAAACAAGTTGAAAGATTAATACACTGAAGCAGCCTTAACACTGTCAGCCTTGACTCATGAAACTAAAGAAACCTGGAAGGCAGCCTGGCAGGCCCTTTGTCTTTTTGCAGATTCTATGGATGCAAAATCCTCTCTCCCTTGAAAAAAATTTTGTGAGACTTATCTTACGAAGTCCTCCTTCTTGCTCCCTTCTGTGAGTTTCTATTTCTGAAAAAAACAGCATGTCCCAAAAGTGTTGTTTTCATATACTCATAAAGAGGAAAGAAGCAAAATGTGTCAGGAAGAATTAATTGCTAGAACAGGAGAGGGAGAATTACTGCCCAGCCAGAGCAGACTGACAATCAGTAACTTGAAATAGTTGATACCTGTACAGAAAGAAACACACTGTTCTTGCTTTTCTGTTACTGACAACTAACCCAAGAATTCATTTATCATATGGAGAAAATCAGGTATTGTCCTGGGGGTTCCTATAAAAGCAAAAGTATACGGAGCAGAGCTATTTGTCTCTTTTACAAGGAACTACATTTTAAAATGTACCTTTTTGTCCTCTACTTAACTGTCTTGCAAGTTTTTATGGTTCTTTTGGTAAGTATTTCATGAAGTTTTACAACAAAAAAAACTCATTCCAGAGTTTGAGGAGTTTTAGGCTGAGAAAACTAATGCACTTAGCTCTAAGTGACTTTGAAAACAACTACAAGCACTCATACCTTCATCACAATGGACTAAGAAAAAAAATCAGTGGACTGGTAAGAAGTCCTGCCTAGTTTACCAAGAAAGTATGACACTCAGCTAAGTATGTCTAGTTCTGTATTTATTTTTACATATGTATTAGTAATAAAACTTATATTTCCCTATTAAGCCACAGAATTTTATTAACATTATACAACCAGTACTTGATAAAAACCTGAATTCCCAATTATGCTTACCTCCGAACTGGAATTTTCCCATTTGTGTTTGTTAGAAAGGCCAACTTCATCCAGCTGAAATTAAGAATGAAATATTTTTAAAATACTATTTATTAAAATTAGGATCTAGACACTTATATTTAGATTGAGATTATTGCCATCTCCGTGAAATAAGTACAGACAAATAATTGTTCTGTAATAAAAACATCTTTCTGTAACTTTTTAGCGCTTGAGGCAGAGTAGTTCTTTAACTGTAAATGCAAAGAGGAGCCCAAAAGAATCAGTACATCAATTAACATGAGTGTGAAGACAATCAAGACTCATGGGGGCTTGCTTGCATATGCATCAATGAAAGAACAAACTAAACAATAATTAAAACATACAATATCAATAAATGAAATGAACATTATAAAGTCTCTTATAATTTCTCCTGGACATGTGCCAGATAAAGACTTGAGACCTCTTCTTGTCATAGTGAAAGATAAATCCTAAACTAATTTAACACCTTTTCCTTTATTACAATGTTTGTGATTGCAAATGTTGAACTATGAAAAATATTACTCTTTTAAAAATTCCAAGTAGGAAAATACTAGTACAGAAAAATAAAGGAGAAAGGGGAGGAAAGAAAGTACTTACTGTTTCTTGAGACATGTCATTGGACTCACATTGTTAGCTCTAAAGTTATGGATGATGGATCCAAGCCCTTCTACCCATTGCTGAAAAACACGAAAATACAGAAACATCAAATTAGGAAAACTGAAGAGGGAAAAAGTAGGAAAGTTGGTCTTGAGGGAAACCTCTTCTTCCTTGCAGGTATGGATAATGCTTGTAGCCTGCATTGAGTGAAAAAACTACCCACTGTCCAGCCACATTTTACCAATTACTATATCATCCTTCACTGAACAAAGTGATTGTGCGTTCCATTCTTCCAAGTATTACATGGAGCATCAGCGGTGCTATTAAAACAGCTTATTGCCAGCAAAGGCAAGCAGCCCATTGATTGATTTATTAAGCCTTCTATTTATAGCCTGTATAAACATACGCCTCCCTTTCAGTGGTGGCTGGCAATATTAGCTATTACTAAGCAACATTATACAATATGTGATGACATATTTAACTGATTCACTTTTAGAAAAGGAATGAAACAAAATATTAATAAAGCTACAGCAAACCACAGGGAGGCACAACAATTATTCTGTCACACTGATCTCATGTAACACCCTGTTACATATTCAAGTCCTGCTTGCTTTCTGGCTTTCATCCTTAAAAAGCAACACATTCCAGTAATCACTGGTATGACTTCCAGCCAAGAGCAGCATTCCAGCACTTACTTATGTAATTCCTTTTTATGGATATATTTTCTGCTATAGCTTGTACCTAGACTTCGCAGTACTGTATAGAAGAAGCTTAAGGATTAGGCTGATTTCAGCACTCATCAATTTCAGCAAGAATCTTGGCAGGATAAAGCTATAGGAAGAGAAGAAAATGACAGCACTGCAAGCCAAGTTCGATCTCAATTATGCCATTGTAATACTAGGATTACTCAACAGATCATTTACACTGGTGGAACTGAGACAGGATTTGGTCCACTGCTTAATGTTAACCTTATGAATAAAGAAGCTTCTTGCTTCCGGCCAAATTCTGTGCATGCAGCTTGAACTGACTTGGGCAGGATCCAGAATTTGGCACTTATAAATAGATGCAGATGAGTATATTTTTCTTTTCATGAATGAGTGCTGTACATCTGCAAAACAGATGAAAAAAAATCATCATTTATACAGGAGGAATACTAATGTCTTTGGAAAACGGCATATTGTAAACTGCAGGCAGTAAATCCCTATAGGCTAAACCAAGGTCTAAGGTGCCAATTCAACAGACAAATACACTTAAGCAGACTCTTGTACTCACGACACATTACAAGCACATCACAAACTTCTCTTTAAACAAGAAATTATTAATCAGACTCCCTCAAAAATGGACCTTATAAATCTATTTTACTTTGGGAAAAGTAGCCATTTATCATTACATTTATTAAGATTTAAATATTCCTTTTCAAATTATGCTTTTCAAGAAGTACTGCATAAAATATGCATACAAGTAGAATAAGTGATATATCTGAGAATCAGTTGAAAATAGAAGTCTGAATTACAAGCAAAGCTAGCATTTGGGGGTTTCTCTGATGCGTTTTTGTGTTTGAAAACAACCCACCAGTAACAGTCTGCCCTTCCATTTCTCTTTTCCCAACTGCACGAATAAGATGACTTAATAGTCATAAGTACAGATGTACTGTCTAGGGATATAAAGAAAGCAAGATTCATGGGAAGAGATAATATTATTTATTATATTTATATTTGTATATATTCATATTTATGTATAATTTTATAAATTAATTATTTATTAGAACTGATATAACTGGAAGCCATCGACTAACTTCGGGAACACTTATCTTTTCCTACAAATGTCCCCTCACCTAAGATGATATAGGAACAGTGTGTGTGATAATTTCAGGATAAGTGCCCAAGTCTTAGATATATTTCAATCTCCTAGAACTGTTGAAATTCGACTATCACCATTCAACTATCGTTAACTATGTATGTTTGTGGGGGTATTTTTTGTGGTTTGTTTGGGTTGGGTTTTAAACAGTAAAATGTAACACTACTGCTGCATTCACACTCTCACAGCTATAAAGAAGTTCATCCTTGTATGATCTGGATTAGTCTGTAGTCCCGTAACAGCTACTCAACCTTTCAATGCTGACCCATAAAGTAAATTGGCACACGCACTGCAAACAAAAAACCCTTGCAAAATTTAATTATGCAAAATATATGTTGTGAATAAGCTTCAGTCTTTCAAAACTCCTTTTTCTTTTTTTTCAGCATTGGCAATGTCACCATTTCAATAGGAAAAAACACACAGATCCATTTCAATGCAACTACACTAGATATAACAAAATCTAATATTTAGAAGTAAGGTTACCCAGCGCTCAGTTCTGAAGCTACTTCTGTAAATCAAGAACAGCTACCAAAAACGGAGCACTGCTAGAAAAGAAACCAGTATAGAGAGAAATCAATACACTAACCACTTACAAAAATAATGTCTTTGCAGGAATTGTCCTGATGATTCCCACTTTAGAGGGCTCCCTAATCTTTTTTTCAATGATAATGCCCTTTCCCGATAGAGATGCCATATCAGGAACTGCATTCTCTTACATCAAAAAAGCACAGAACTACAGCCAAACACTGACGAACCACGAAAGCATCACATCTCTGCTGGCATCAAGCAAGAGAGGAGCCTAAGAGTCTCTGTCCATCCATGAATCATCTTTCCATTGGCACGATGTCCCCTGGGCAACGCATGGCAGTTTGAGAGACACATTTGCCTCTCTGTTCCATACCATGCAGCTGCACCACAATGTAGCATCTGGCTGCTTGTACTTCAGTTTGGGGCTAAAGTAGCTTCTGGAGCGTTTCATTAGATATTCCCTGCAGTTACCAGCTGGCCCCAAATTAACTAGGAATAAGAGAGCTGAGGGGGAAAAAAAAAAAAGCTTCTGGATTGTGAACATACTATATAGAAGCATAATGACATAAGAAGAGAAAATTTCCTCATCCATAGATTAATAATTGCTGGTTCAGTGCAACACATTCAAACTCTTTGTCCTTCTGAGACCCGAGAGCCTCCAAATAACAACTAGCTTCATAATCACTTTAAGGCACTGTGATCCTGACCAAAATATCCAAAGCCTGAATACTCTGACAAATATCAAGCTGGCAATATATTGTTTTCCTGACAAGAAACCATTCCCATGTTTAATGTACATGGATGAAGGAAGAGCTCAGATTTTTCTCAGCTAACACGCTATGAAGAATATAGCAGCAGCCTTGCTTGTATGCTATGACAGCGCTCCTTATTGAGGATGAAGCTGAAAGACCCATGTGCCTCTGGAAGTAAACAGGGATAAAGATCCTCAGTTTTCTTCTTTTGTGCTCAGCATTTCCACATCACTATCTCTCCAAAGAAGGAAAATTTTACTACAAGATGAAATTCTGAAACAAGATAGATAGGAAACACTTCACTTGGGTTTTACAGAAAGTTTGATTCTTACTGATGCTAGTCCTAAATATTTTCCGATTATCAAAATATGGCTCAGTACCTTTGACCTGTGAATGTAACTCCTGAATTGCTCTCTATATACCAAGATTTATTCCAGATTCATATAAAAGAGGAATCTTGACCCTGGTATCTTATCCTGCAGAAACAACAACCATGAAAGGAAACAAAACCAAAGACAAGTACCCAAGTGAAGTGTTTCCTATCACCTTAAACACAGACCCTCTGGCTAACACAAAAGAACAAAATCTAAGTATACACTGCAGGCTGGAATAAGCAGACTGTTGTTTTTCTCTGACAGGATCCAACATTGTCAAATATCTTTATAAGGAGAAGGTGCAAGAAAAATTGATGGAAGAAGCACTCTCCTGCTTTTTCCTGTGGCACTCAAATGCTTCTGAGGCACTTAGTAACCTTGTGTTAGCCAGGGTTCAACGATGAAACACAGGCAGCAATGGCAGGGCATCAACCTTTCATTTAGGAGCATTAAAAGGGCAAAAATTGCAAAAGGCTAAAAATCACTCTAACCTACAGCTCCTGAAATTCTAGACAAGGTCACCCATGGCTTATTTACAGATAAGGTCAGTATTAGCCAAATTGCTTGAAATTATTTTACCTTCACTTCTTCAGCGAAGATACATTTTCCAGTATTGGAAAATCGACAGTTGCACTCTATTTAATTCAAGCATTGGGAATGCTGGGGAAGCAAGGAGGCACTGCCCTCTGACTTCGGTATTCAGTGCCTGTGACTGGCTGTCAGAGTCAGGGGCTTGATAGCTTGAAGGTTCAGGAAACCCACGGAAAACAGAACCGTGTTTCCCAATTCTTGCTAAGACAGACATGGGTTGCCAGGATTCCCTGCTACTTTGCCCTCCTTTAGTGATGCTGTGACCAGTAGATGTCCCTCTTCTCTCAACACAGATGTTTCAGAAGTAATTTCTGTTCTATGAAAATTACCATACCTCTAATATAAGACAAAAGCAAGGAGACTAGACTGATAACGGTGTAAAACCTATCCCCTACCTCACCAACTCCAGCACAAACTTGTGGGGTACTGCTGTGAAAATTCTTGTACAAAGATAAATGGGACTCTTCCTACTTTCAAGTATTTAATCAGAAAAACTGGTGCTCACACAAACACTCTGTATTGGGAATTGCCTGATGTGTCCAGACCCTTTCCACCCCACAATGACTTTTCCAAGCATTGGAGGGGTCTACTCTGAAAGCGGCAGGAAAACTCACTTTGGCTGCTTTTGTATACAAAGACAAGCATAGTGGAGCTTTGCACAGCGAAATCAACCTCCTGCTACAGAGAGCCAGGACTGAAGTTTTCAATTTACTGATAACTCCAAGCGGCATAGCCAAGAAAGAACATGAAGAAGCAGAAAAGCAAGCACCAGTGATCTCAGAGATGCCTAAGTACAGGCTGGATAGGATATGGAGATTTCTCTAAAGAGCATGGTATAACATACTTGGCACAGGGTTACCTGAACATGTAAGCAGCTGTCATATACTTAAGACAGTCACAGTTCAAAAACGTTTATTACATAGGTTATGAGACATAAGCCATATACTAACATAACAGGACACAGAAAACAGCAGCAAACTCTTAGAGTTCTGTTTAAGGATATTCTGCAGGTTTCTTGGAAAGTTTTGCTTTGAAACATCACAACAAACCAAAGCTATGGGAAAAGAGAACTATTCTCTAATGTGACTGTGGGATATTCCTGTGGGAATATTCTGCTGCCTTCTAGTTACCCTCCCAGCAATATGATCTGTGCAAATAATTAACAGCTTGTTTCATGGAAAAAAGTCATGGTCAACTAAACCAGAACTTTTTATTAAGTCAAAAAGAGACACAGTGTAGAATAGCAACAAAAATTATCAGCCTGAAGTGCTTCGTCTTACCAAAAGCATGGTGGTCCATTTAACAATTTTAAACAAACTGAAAAATACTTAAAAAAGGAAAATACTATTCCAACTGAAAAGCTGACGAGTTTCAGGATGTCACAATGAAATGCTTTCAAATGCAGTCATCTTCAATACCATAATATTATTAGTTGTATGATAAAGCTTGCATTGTTTGTTAGCATATGAGTAACAAAGCATTTCAGCATGTGCTACTCGTTCTGGTGTCTCACAGGTTAGCCATCAATGTGTGATTCACTGTCTCAGTGAGTAATACACTTGTAGAAAATACTTATTTTCTATCAAATCCAGCTATGCCAGTATAAAAGGTTACTCCATTCTCCTTCCTACCCTGTCTCCCCTGTGGCTGATCCCATCCCTACCTATTGTCAGAGGAATCATGTGCATCAGCACTTCCCAGAGCCAGGTTATCTGAAGCACTGGTGTGAACAGGTGACATGAGTTTAATTCTATGGCTCTTCTGTGAAGTAAATCAGGAGCATTCACATAAAGACCTTGACAGCAACACAGTGGGAACAGTACTTTCTGGCAGAAGGGTAAAAACTATCAGCTGGAGAGATGGTCCTTCCCAACAACACAGCTGGACCTGGGAAAGAACAACTGTCGGGACAAATTTACCCCTGGTAAATTTGCAGTAATATTAAAGAATGTAAAAAGAGCTGACTTGACTTCAGTTAATCTTTTAAGTTAAACTCCTTAATGCATTCCCAAAGTGGATGAGCAAAGAAGACAAGAAGACCAGATTTTGGGTTGCTGAACTACAACGGCTTTACTGGATTTATGCCAACTTTGGACAGGCAACCTACATGCCGTGCGCTAAGGCCTCCCATCAGCATTACATCTGCACTAAGGAAATTCACCCCCAAATACTTGCTGGCCTTTTCAAATGTCCTAGATCGAGGAAAGCAGATTATCAGATTACTAGGTCACAGAAAGTACATCTGGGAAGTAAAAATGAAAAATACATACATAAACTCACACCTCTAATATATGTGTGTGTGTTCTAATTTTAGGTCACAGTAATTTATATAAACTGATTTAATCTGGATTCCGAACATTAGATTTTAAATTCCCCCTCTTACAGTCACTATCTACTACCACAGTGGAGTTGCTTTAGGAGCAGACCATGACAGCTGCTTGCAATCAGAGACAGAGTACACCCTATTTTGTGGTTGTTTTGTTTTAAAAGTGGAAATGAAAACCAATTTTTCAGATGAAAACACCAATAAAATCTAAGTAGATAGAATGTAAATACCAGAGCTGGAGCTTGGAGACAAGCAGAGAGATAATAAACACACTCTTGTTGGAATAGCTACACTTGGAGCTCAGTGATGACTTGGCCAGACCTGCCGAGCTCATCGCCACAAGAGGCAGAGGAAGGTGGGGCTGTCCCAGTGCAGAGACGATGACAGATGACAACAGACAGCTTGTGAGAAGCTCTGCCTGGAGGCGAAGGTTCACCACTGCCCACAGTGGGCAGCAGCTCCTCACATGCTCACCCGCCACAGCTGGGGCACCCCTAAGGGACTGCCCTCACACTCTACCACCCTGTCCTATCCACCCGGCAGAATCTGCTTCCCACTGATACCACTGCTCACATGGGTGGCTTAAGGAAGCCAGGAACTTACATTAATTCTCTTCTTTGTCGCGGTTACTCAGTCCCATCTAGAATCCAGCCTTCAGTGAGTAACAAGTACTTCTTGTCCAATTGCAAAGTACTAATTTGCCCCATCCCTGGAAGTGTTCAAGGCCAGGCTGGATGTGGCCTTGAGCAACCTGCTCTAGTGGGAGGTGTCCCTGCCCATGGCAGGGGGGTTGGAACTCTATGATCTTTGAGGTCCCTTCCAACCCTAACCATTCTATGATTCTATTCTATTTTTGACCTCTTTCTGTCACCATATAAAAAGGGTATGGGTTTTTGTATTTGGATCTCTCACCAAATTCCCTTGTTTTGATCTATCCCAATCAGGTGTCGACCAATCCTGGCCTTGGTTTCTCTGAGAAAGGGCCAAAAGATCTACAGCAAGTAATGCTTGCCTTCCTCACAAACCACTACAGATGTATCACTTATACATATCTGGGCTGCTTAAGTTACAATCACTGCCCCTTCTCCAAATTTTTGCCTCTGTCACTTCACAAAGGGGGGATTACTACTGAATATGGATTAAATCAAGACCTTTTTTAAACTGCAGTAGTAGCTGCACAGCTACTTAGCACCATGTAAAGCCTCACTTCTTCCAGAGGAGATTTACCATGTCTCAGAAGAAAGATGTCTTCTCATGAACAAACCAGGAAGAATTAAGCAGGAAAAGCCCTAAATGCAGATAACTCCTAGAAAATTTTATTTTAGCACAGAATTATAGTAACAAGTTGATTTACTCACTAAATACAAAAGCTCAATACAGAACACACCAAATGACTTCCCATATGCCCATATTCCTAGTGAAAGTTCAGCTTCAGATGCAACTTAGGAAGTTCTACATCGTTTTTAGCTTCACTACTTTACCTCGAAGTAGATCTCTCCCTTGTGCCTCAAACTTACCAGACGAGGTGGATCACCACTGTTGACAAGTTCTGGAAATATATTTTGGTGGAAAGACTCCCAAATGCAGGACTTTCACATTTATGGGCCTTTCAAAGCCTACCCACAAGCTGATTGCAGTATTACGCACCATTTTTGGTAAGCATCTTGGCAGTTAATGAAGCAGCAGATCTTTTAGACAGTATAATTGGCTCACCAGTTTTGACAGTCTATGTAACCAGCCAACATACTCCTCACGAGCCAATTAGTCTAATACAGTTTACTGAGATTTAAGGTGGCTAAAAAATGTAACTCTGACTCTTTTGTCCCCCAGAATAAATCAGATACATTGTTGGGTTAAGTGTAAAAATGAATGCTGCCAGCATCTCCTTTTCTTTGCTTCTTAAGTGTTTTAAAAACAGAACTGTGGTATGTTATTTCCCTGAAAGCCGGCTGAAAACACAGTAAAATCAATTTAGTGTACCCATGTAAGTTATACAAGTATTTCTCCTATCATGGAGTTTACTCAGTACTGCCAGTGTTTAAAGAGGTATGGATCCAAAGCAATGAAAAATCAACCAGGTCTGCCAAGGGACTTCATGATGCTGCATTCAGCAAACAGATACTCAGTTTTAAAGGAGGGGATTTAGCAGGTGTGTGTTACTGATCACTATTCAATGCTTATCTCCCAGGCAAAACAGATTATAATACACCCTAAGTACATAAAATCAGAAAAGTAAAAAAAACCCACCGTATTTTTAAACTCCCGTGATCTAAGCTAGTAGCATATTATCAGTACTCTAGAATCATGTTTCTCAGAGCAGTTTACGGCAGACAGATTGAGTACCAGGCCTTGGTGGAGCCACTCAATTTATATCGTGAACTGCAATCTTAAGCTCTCAGGAAAGACAGCGTGTAAAAAAGCACCATTGTTTTCTCAAGCCTGTTGCATGTCAACGGGAAACAGAAAAGAACCTGAGTACACTGGAATCCCCTTTAACTGTAGAGAATTTTCTTTCCTGTTATTGTCTTTTCAAATAATATGAACCACACAATACAATTAGGTTATTGCTGAACAAAATTTTGGAGGGTTGAGCTCCACCCACCTGGAAAATGAAAATAATTGTACTTCCCTTCAGCATCCCTGTATGTTACAGATCCACCGTGTAACCATCACCGTCTGCTGTGCAAGCCTCATGCAGAGGTACTAAACAGTTGGGGGAATGCTGTGTCCTATATTTAATGGTCTCAGTGCCTACTTTCGATAAATCACCATGCATGCAGAGGCTGATAAAGTAACTATTTCCTTTCACCATAGCACACAGACATGCTACAGAATGCTCCAAATAGATGTTTGCTCTCCTTTAGTAGGCTGCGGCAGCAGACATTAAAACAGGTATTTCAGTCAGCCAAGCGGGCTGACTTACTCAGGAAAAACAAATGAGTATGGCTAAGGAGCTCGCCTTTTTTTTTTTTTTTAAACTCCCACACACTGTTTAATTGTGAAATACCTTGGCTATTTCTGTGTTTTCCGCCACCATGAAAGTGAAGCTGATGTTCACCAGATCCGTGCCACTGCAGACACACACTATTCGTCCTTCCAACTCATTTTCAGATTTTCCAACAGCCTCAAGTGCAGTTAGTATTTTGGGATCCTGTTAAACAGAATAAATAACTTGTTATATTTGCAATACTTTTGTTATGCAATACACTACAGTAAAGATAAGATGCATTCCATCTTCATATACATTAACCTTTGCCAATCATCTTAAATGAGTGCTTTCACTTCGAATTAATGTGTAAACTTGAAAGCCAATATATTCTGACGATTAGGAGCACGATTGTTAGAACTCAGAAGTAAATTTTAAATATCTTTTAGAATGTTCAATTAGAAACTACATATATTTTCATCACAAAAAAGAAAAATTAATCACTCCAAGGACTGGAAGTAGAGGAACAGTAGTAATCCTCTAAGTAAATTATTCCAATCTAGTTAAATCCATAGGTACAGAGAGTTATGATCTGCATGACTTTCTGGCTGTTTCTTAATGACACACGTACAAGCTGAGGTATTTCTGCTGAGAGTCAAGGGCTATCAATTTAATGGGCATAAAGAGCAAATTACCTATGTAAAGACAGAGGTGAAGTCTGAAGCATATTGGTAGGGTAGTCGGCACATGAAGCATGGGATTGTCTGTAACACCACTTCTCATGCCCCTTTTCTATGGGGGAAAGATTTTAGTCTATGGATTCCCAAGAGAACTACTAACAGATAGTTATCTACAGTTAACACAGAAATACTTAACACATGAAAGTGGAAATGCAGAGGTGTTAACAGATATCTTGCTTCCCAACATATCCTCTAAAGTAAAGGCCTGGAGGAGTGAAGTCCACTATCAACTTCAGAAAATCTACATATTCCTTCTGAAGAATACCGCAGAAAGTATCTCCAAGTTTTGGGTTTCTCCAGAACTCCCAGCTAATACTTCTGTTGATATCCTTCAAAATGGCAGACAGTGACCAGCTGGCCTCTCTGACCATCTAACCGTACAAAAAAGTACACAAACAAAACTACCTGCATTTTATATGAATGAAGCAAGAAGATACAACTTATTTTAAACAGACAGGAACAAAATTTGGACTATGAATCATTTTATTCCAGATCCCTAAAACAAGTATCACAATATGTTGCTACAAAATAATTTAAAACTCTTGATACATGCTCTTTAATATCTGTTAAACTTTCACCGCACCTGAAAGCTGAGCGCTGTACTGCATCAAAAAGACCAGATGACAGAACCTTACCACTGCCATCACACCAAATTACTTGACTTTAAACTTCAAAATTTTAGACTGAGATTGTGAAATAAAGACTGGGTTACTCGTATTTTTTAAAGAAATTAACTTCATTCTGCTTCCAACTTCAGTTTAAATATTCTTTGTTTACATTAAAAATATAAACTAAATACAGAGTACCTTTGGTACAGCTCCAAAACGAACACTGTTGATCAGGGAGCATTCTAATACCTGTCCTTCCTGAAATGGCAAAAAAAAACGTTCAAAGGTCTGTTGACAAATAGAAATTGCAGCAAAAAATAAACAATGAATCTTATTGGCAAACACTGTTAATTAACACTAAGCAATATATTTCCCTTTTATATCAGTTAATCCCCTCTTAAATACTTCACTTCTGTTAATTCTAAAAGACTAGAACTAAGGCTAGTTTTGTAAATAAACTAACACAGTATTTTAGATTTTTAGAAACTAGCCAGAGCATAAACCAAGTGCAATAGTTATCTAATACATTCCTGATGTAATATACCTTTCCTTCACTTTTCCAGCTCAGAAAAAAGCCAAATTCATCCACTTGGAAGAGACAGTTGCTTTCAAAGACAAAAGATTCCTATAGAAAAGAAAGAAAAGAAAATATGACCATTATTTTAGTCAGTTTGACAATGGCAGAAATGTTAAAAAAAAACCTGTTACATTTCTCTCCAAACACCTACCCGGAGAATTTGCTATTCCCAATGCAATCAGAAATGAGGGAGGCAGTCTTTTAAAAAATGATCATTTTTAATGATTTGTCTTTTAGCTGCCATTTGAGACATTAGCATGCACTTAATTAATATTTTCCTATTTCTTGGCAACTATGTAGATTTGTGGGTTTTTTTCATAAAAGCAGAGATTCTTACCTAATCAAAAGCCTTAATGAAATGGAACTTCAAAAAATTACTGAAAATTAAATGCTTCAAACTACATAAAGGTTAAAAATATGTAATTAGCCAATACTACCTTCAGGATCAAATCACTAAATTTCATTTTAACACCCAGAATTTGGGAAGCACCACTTTTCTGTTAGACTATGACAGTATGTATGTTGTGAGCATTTTGTAGCCAGAGTATCTGCCAAGCAAAGTTTGAAGGCTATTGATTTGTAAGAGAAATCAGGAGTAGCATACCAAAGAGACTAGACAAGCAAAAATCAGATTAGCTGAATTAAAAAAGAAATTTCCTACACACACTTCTAGCCTCAATTAATGCATCACAAATTAAGCTAAAATGCAGGATAACACCGTGCAGAATCAATCACTTTTTAAAGAAAAAAAGGATCCAGGACGTCCTAACTTCCTTAAGTGAAAACCAACAAGCATGTGTGCAGACTACAGCACTGCTTACTGTTTCAGAGATCACTGCTTTGTTCTTTGTTTCTGAAGTGCCACATCCTCTCCTGTGCACATAGCAAGGGCAGCAAGCACATGAATTTGCACAGCTGTTTTCAGAGCAAAAGGTCTTGCATACAGGACAATTTGGATTTAGATAATAACACCAGGTAAAAACTCCAATGCCCTCAATGCAGGGAGCAAACCTTAAAGTTAGTAAATTTACCCAGGACAGTTCTTTCTCACTGGATTACTCTGAGGCAGGCCCCCAGCCTCACCCAGGATGAAGGACATCATGGGGCAGCCACATGGACTTTTTTTGACCCTGCCATGGAAACAAGGGCATTGTGTGGCCTAAGGTCTTACTCTGACCTGGCACTGGGCATGGAGGCAAGAAAGTTCCTGGATCCATGGCTGGGTAATGTCCTTGAGCCCTCCTAGATGGGCACAGCCAAAGGGGATACGTTATGTTTGGGATAACTGCTCATTTTCCCTGGGCACATTCATTATTGAATGGTGTCCACCACTTCTGGATAACGTTTTAGGTCCTCAAACAAGATTCATAGATTTTAAGGACTAACTTAAAACTGCAGTTTTCCATCCAAGTAGCAAACAACTATGTTAATTTTCCAGGCAGGGAAGCTGAGACAGAAAGTATGAAGTTGTTGCAGCTCAGTCTGAGCCAACACCGTTAGGCATGAATTTCCAGCATGCACTACTCTGCCTATCTTTCTCCACCATAACTTCTATTTTCCTGCCTTCACCCTAGTACTGATGCCTCATGAAACCAACTGGTTGCCAGACACCTCTGATTTACTAGTTTTACAGCCCCTGAAGTTCTGTTTCATATAAAAATGCAGCTAGCTACCAATCAAAATTAGTGTCTCTTGTATTTCCCAGAAAGATTACTCACACAATAAAAGGCAGGCAGTTTTTCATCATTTATTGTGTCCCCATCAAAAAAGCTCTTGATACACTGAAAATGTTGTTTTCACAAAGGTGTCTATGTAAACTGCACTCATGTTGATGTTTCACCCTAGCCTTGACTCTATTCATCAAATTACTTTTTCTGCAATCTGCCTTCTTGCATGGTAAAAAAAAAAAAAAAAAAAACCACCAGACCTCAGCCATCGTCAAAAACCCAAGCAAGTAACACTTCCTTGCTCATAGTAAAAACCAAACCAAAAGATAACACTTCCTTGTTGATGATTAAAAAAATCTCACTTCCTTGCTCATGCTAAAAAGCCTCTGCAGACCCACTGAGGATCGTTAACGTCCACGAGAACTTTTAGAGGTCCTGCTGAAAAACTACACATTCATACTACAGAAGAAAATAGGTCCCATGTGATACCAGAAATTTGGTCAGGAGTTTGGCTGGCTGGCTGCATAGGATCTGAAAGCATCTTACATATTCCCAACACTATTATAAAAGCTACAGTTTCTGAGTTCCGGGGAAGAGTTATAGACACAGATAATGCTTGGCATTTTCAACTTCAGTGCCAAGAACTCTGCTAAGCTTCCACCCTCGAGTGATGCCATCTGTATGGAAACATTAAGCCCATCTTTACCTCTAAGGTCTCATCTATTAAACTGACACACTCAGCTAAATTCAGATTTAGAGCAGCCAGCTAGCGGTGGCAATCGGCTCGGGGCGGCCGCTAAGCCCTGCTGTGCTGTCTGTCACCAGCCAACGAGCTTTGGAAGCAGAAAGGGCTGCTCAGAGCAGCCAGCCATCTTTCTGGCACAGGCCTGGCCCTGGGAGCAGTCATTGCATGGTAAAAAAAAAAAAAAAAAAAAGCACCTGCCATCAGTCCATGTCGATGCAGCATGACCAGTAAGACTCCTAATCATGTCTGCTTTTTATTTCCTGTGCTTTGCTGAGATAACCCTGTTCTAGGCTCAGACTCCTCAGCAAACTTGATAATGCTTGGCTGAAAATATATTTCCACGAGTTTTTAATCTTTCTGGTTAAGGGACCCATCTGTTAGCAAAAGATGGATCAAGACACTATTCCACATGACAATGACCCAGATTTTTCTAGACACTCAATAAAACCTGGGCACATAAAGACCTCTCATGCTGCACTAGAGCTGTGCAATCACTCAGACCTGTACCACGATTCCCTGAGCCCCAGTTCTATGACCTTAGTTCACTTATGATTTCTCTTTTCCCCAACACGACCCTTCTGTTAGGGTGGGGAATTAAGCACATGAAAATTAGAAGCCTAGATCTGAAACATTTTTCTTGAAAATCGCAGGACCTACAGTATAAGGACTGGATCTTGCTATGTTTGCATAGCATTCCTAAAACAATGGTCTCTCTCTTGGATAGGCTATCTAGTTACTACCACAACACAATTAAATAATAGCCTATGCATATCATAAATCTGATAATATCAAACAGCCACACCATCAAGTGCTCACTGTCTACAGGTTACAGATTTTAACTTCTGACTCACTGGGTTTTTTTTTACAACCCTTGATGATTCCTGTAAAATTGCAGATAAAATATACAGTCAGTTACCTAAGTGAAAACCTTTTAATGTTTCTGGAACAGTATTTGCTGATGAAAAATAAAGCTTTTATGAACTCCCTTTATAAGGAATTCAATGTCCACTAGTATCTTCTTAGTTTATCCATCCCCAAAACTGAAAATACAAGTTAAAACAACTATCCCTACCCTTGGCAGTCCTCATGATAAAAAAAATACCTTTTACTTACATTTCAAAAGAGGAAAATACTAATATTCCTGAAGGCACGTATTGGGATACCTTCAATTTTTACAGATTTCTTGTCCAAATAAGATTAAAAATAGACCCTGATAAAATTGTTCTCACAGGCATATCAATGCTGAGTATGAGGTAAATGTCTCAGCACTTTATTTCCACTGTCTGTGTAAAATGTCCTGTTTTGCATTCCTTTAATAGATTTGGATTAAAGCACAGCTGAAAGAGGAATCATAGTAATCATATTTCAGATAGAGTACAGGTTGATTTTCTCAAGGACATAAAACCACTCCAGATCTCAAATGATGCACTTGAATCAGAATATAAATGTTTTGTGTTCTCATATTTTACTTTCTGAGAGGCAGGTCCTCATTTTATGTATTAAAAGACAACATATTCTCCCTTTCCACATTTTATAAATACACAAAAACCGGAAGGATGCGCTTTGTTCCGTAATGTGCTTTATGAATCTGCAAAGACGAGAGCTTTATGCACATTACAGCTATTTTGATCCAAATCTCCCTTTCTCTTGCTCAGGGCTTATTTCAAATCAGAGGGATTAAACATATTTTCAAGTTATTTCTTTTGAAAGCAAAAATCTGTATAGCAATAAAGCGTATTGGTATTTCCTCCCCACAAACATTTCTGGAGTTATTTTAAAGTTTATTTGTATACAATGAAAGCAAAACATGAAATATTCTGTAACATCTGTTTATTGAAAAGAGAACAGCAAATGAAATGCAACTGGCCTCTTACCTCTTCATATCTATCAAACACAGCTCCATCTTGCATAAAAGAGGGAACTGGCTTCTGCCAGTTAAATTCATAAGGTTTTGCCATGATTATAGAAGAAAAACCTGAAATGGAATGAAAAAGCAGAGTTCCATTACTGTCTTTTAAAGGAGTATTTCAAAGTCTAAGCAAGGAAAAAGGTGACTTTTAGCTTTTTTATTTTGCACAAAAGTATTAAAAAGTCACAACACATTTCTAAATCAAGAGTTTTCTTCATGAAAGTATTTTTGTTTTGTAACTTTAAAATGAAAAACACTTGTAAAAATGTGTGTCTGGACTTAATTATTTGAAACAAAGCTTGCACTATAACATTGGTTTAGTTTAAATATCTCCTACATCACTTGTAAGAGCATAATAAGGCTGGGATTAATGCAGTCCAAGGTGAGACACAATACTACAACCTGTAATAGACACGAGTGCTGCTTTTTTGCAGGAAAACATCATCAGATCCTATGCAGACAGATTTCTTTTTTTTAATGTTCTAAATTGCATACTACCTTGGCAAACCATATTTACTCGGTACTTTGTATTTCAAAATCCATTTATATTAAACAAAGTCCTGGGTATTTTCAGTGGTATTTTATACATAAGTCAAGATACAGATAATGTATAAGTCAAAATTACCAGTGAAAAAAAACTGTTTAGGGATATAGGGCATTAAATAAAATTAGCTAGTAGTGTTGCTCATTTCTGCAAGTTTAGGAATGTGAACAAAACAACTCTGAATATGACACAGAAGCCATAGCATATGGACCTTACAATAAGGACTATTAAATTATTCAGTATCCTTTCCAACTCCTTGGTGCCTTATAGGTTATGCTGCTTTACACCAAAAAATGTCCCAAACATGTACTCTGAAATACTCAAGTTTACTTTGTCTGAAGGAAAGAGCATCTGCATTGTTCCTGCTTACTAACACCATCTAGGACATGCAGTATCTTGCTTATTCCTTCACATACTGGACCAGAAAGTCTTGCTTGAAAGAAATACACTTGACAGCAGTAAAGTAAGACTGACTCATAGATGTTAGCAAATCATTCTGTGGAATGGGATAGGATGAATACAGCACACGGTCATGATAATCTGACCCCACATGCTACTGCCTGTCTCACAGGTGAACCTCACCTTACCTTGCCCTTGCTTGCTTGCTTGCTCAGGGCCTCCTCTGACAACTGACAACGTTCATCTACTATTGACCAACTCTAGCAGCACAACGCATAGCTAAGCAGAACCAGTACAGTTCTTACTCCCTTACAATGCAAGCACCCAGACCAAGCAAAGTTTGCCTAAGTGAGAGGGATAAAAAGCATACATAAAATTCAAGGGAGAGCATGACAGCCTCTGCAATCTATGCTATGCAAACCATCTTGTAGTGTCTGTGTATGCCAAAACTCTGAATAGCACACTAAAATATTACCAGTTAGGTAACAATCCTTCCACAATTTTCTTAGACAGAAATGTCTACTTTGACTGAACTTAAACCCATAATAGATGCAAGTGTTTTAAAAAAAACTTAAGAATGTTGTACTATCCTTCTTCTCTGTCTTGTTTTCATTTGTGTAAAAAAGTTCTAACAAGAAAAAGAACAACAAGAGAACTCAGAGGATACTGCGAAAAGACTGTCCATCACCAGCCTTAAGAAAAGTTACTTTTGACAGTTTTCACCTGAAAAATATCCTTACTTCTAAGAAAATGCAGAACACATTTTGATGCTGCCCATGTCTATCTCCTGCTCTTTTTTCGCCATTGATACAGGAATATCAGAAACACATATCACGTTTCTGGAGTCTTAGGAATAAGATAAATTAATTGATTCTCCGTAACTATCAAAAATACAATTTGACAGTTATATATATATCTCACTACTAAGTGTTCACTTTGTTGAAAATGGGAAGAAAACTCAAAATAACATATATGTACTCTCCAATTAAAAAAAAAAAAAGACTAAAAATAGAGGACAAGGAATTGGGGCCAAGAAGCGATCAGCTACATGTAGTATCTTATCATAACATGTCTTTTCTTTTTGCCATTCCTGGGAATCTGTATAAGAGTAATATCATCTTCCAGATCCTTTCAGGTAATGTGCCAAATTATTTAATTTTTATTGTGTTTTAAAAACACACTTGGAATTTTAGGGTCTTTTTCAGTTTAGATCAGCATAGAGCTGCTTTTTCCTCATTCGATGGAGGAAGCTGCATGGTAAGACAGCCATCCCATTGCAATAGCACGATGGCGTCTAGTTCTATACAGCTCACAGACTTCACACTGTAGCTCAATATAATCACACCACCTTGAAAACTTAGTGTTTGTTCTTAGATCAAAGCTACATTTAAAGAAATGCAGCTTCAGAAATCTGTTTTCTGACTTTGCAGGCTTTGCTAACAGCAAAGTTGAAACCAGAACTAACGAAACCCCATACTATACAACAAATCCTCAAAGGTCTTGGAAAAACATCCCTTAGATTTAAAGGAAACTGAAAACATTCACACCTGAAGCGCTAAACACTCCTTTTTTTTTTATGGCATATTGACCATTCCCTTATCTGTTTAAATGACTTTAACTATCAGAATTTTCCCAAGAAGAAAAGTTACTTCAAATACAACCAGCAGTTCATGCAGCAATACGTGCTGCCAGCATGTGAAGTCCTTCTGGGAAAAGAAGACGCATTCAGTGCTAAAATATAAGAGAAGTGATAACACTTTTAAGACTGTGAAGAATACTCTTCCACAGTCCCTAGCCTACACGCACAGCCTTTACTCTTTTTTACTGACATTGAACCCTATGCAGACACATTTTAAAATGTACAAGCTCTGCAACTGCTCTGAACTCCTGTATAAGACACGTAATAACATTCTGTCAAACACTTTGAATCCTGGATGTAAAGAGTGCTTGAATAAACACTTATCTTTCACAAAAACTAATTACCTTAGCACTGGAAACATACACTTTTTTACCAATTTGAACTTTGCCAAGTTCATCAGCCAGTCACAGAAATACAGCTCTGTAAAAATACCTCCTTTACAGATCTTCTCTTTCTCTGCGTGTTCACACAGTCTAATGAAGTTGTCTGATTACTTCATCGCTGATAAATTAAGTAGATCGAGCTCTTCAGTTTCTGCTGCAACGCATATTTTTCAAATCTTGGAGTCAGCCTGAGCCCTCTCCGCTTTTCCAGCTGCCTTTTTTGAAATCAGATGTCTGGACCAGGAGACAGTAGCCCAGCACAGCCCTCTGTCATAAAAACCAGAGTTACAGTCTTTCTTCTTATTTGCATAACCTTGCATTTAGCTGCAAAAAAACACGCTTGATTGCTCATAATTTATCAAGCAATCAAGTTCTGTCTCAGAGACTCAAGCTCATTGTTATTTACCATCTTCCCAATCTCTTCTCTAGCTCTGCTCTCTCACAGGTCAACACAGTTTACACATGAACTGAGACAGATGAAGTGTGAGGAAAAGATGGCTTGAGTACATCTTCCAAGGAGTCAGATGAACTGCAAAAACCCAAGATTTTTAAGCCATATGCTTTGGCAGCTGTGCAGAAGGTGAAGAAAATTCTCTCTGCCTTCAGAAGAGCTCTTTTCAGTCTCTCACATTTCTTACACTCCTCTCAAAAATCCATTTTTCCGTAACCCTGTTAGCTTTTAGGATAACCAAAATAAAATACAAACTATTCCCCTGTCACTCTTTGGAGCTTTGCTAATTTTCAGAAATTTTCAAAGAAAGTAAAACCCAAACCAGCCCCACCCATCAGACCCAAACAAACATGACATTCTAACACTGATATGGCTGCAAATATATACACATATATACCCTCACTACGATGAGAATCAAGAATTACTCTCTTTAAAGAAATTTAATAATAATGAACTGTGTGAAGATTCAATGGGGAGAGAGAGAACTTATAGGAACTAAATTTGAAGACAGCAAAATTTTAAATTTAAAACTTTTAAACAGCCTTCAAAAGTTAAAATAAAAATCTTCTCACTGATTTAGGGTTCTTAAAGTATAAAAATGCCTCTGAATACATACCGTTCAAAAAAGCAGAAAGAACACTCATATAAAATACACTTCAGAACTTAATCAGTGACCACAAGAGAGAAATAGATGAAGTCTCACAAGTACAGTAGTTAAATGCCTTTTGAGCTATCTCCCTTTCTTTCAACACTGATTTATGCCCGAAGACATGATTTAGATCACATGAAAAAAAAGCATTTTTTGATTCACCTAGAGTACCCAAAGAGCAAGGACACAAAATTAACCTTATCCAGAATAGCATTATTTAATGCAGAAGTCTTCCTCTTTTGTAAGCTTGGCTGTACTAAGCTAAATCTGGGGTGTGTGGGGGGTGGAGGGACTATAAATCATGGAGCTTTTCTTTCTTTGACCAAAAGAAGGACAAGGTGTGGCTGAACAGGAGGAGGAAAGGATTCTGTTAATACAAAGCAGACAAATATTTGGGGAAAGAGGTGATATTCTAAACTAACGCACAGGGCTGGCTAGCAAGATGGATAGGATACTCCTTGGATCCCATAAACATCCTGTCAATGTTGAGACACTGTTGGAAAGGATGGCAGTATTCCTTAGAGCTGATCCCCCCCAGTCTAAAACACAGTAACTTGCAATTTCCGCAGTTTGCTTAGCCCTAGATATTATAAAAACACTTGTACATTTTTTTTTAGTAATTATTATTTTTGCCCCTGGAAGGAACCACTATTTGCTGAGTGAAAAGTGAGACGGCCCCACACCCTGTGTTTGCCATTTCACCACTTAGGTCTTTGAATCACACCACCTAAACCTGCACCAGTTACTGTCTGTGTGAGTTTCAAGGGCAAAGTGTAAGTACTCACAGAACGCTACACTGAGTTTAGTAATCTTGCCCAGGCACATACATTTTTCTTACAGATACAAGGAAGCAATTTAAAAAAAAAAAACAACACACAAAACTAATATATTTCCCACTCTTCCCCCCCCCTCCCTTCAAGTACATATATCCTTCACCACCACTCCTCTTTGGTAAACAAGGTTCTTCATAACAAAGACAACCAGATCTCCATCAGTAGACC